ATGGCTCCAATCACTGAGGTCTTAGCATCTCATAATGCTTTTTCACATTGATGGGGAAAAAATAATATATTTATGGTTAGCTCTTGGAAGAATCTATAGTTTGAAGACGACTAGAATTCCACTCTTTAACATTTACAGAAAATGAAGGTAAGTCAGACAGTCTCAAAATTTAAAAAACAGAAACAAGATCAAATTATTAATAAATGAAATATAAGACTTTCATGTCCTGCATCCACACTTATTTGTAAATTGTAAAGCATTTTAGTATGTTTTACATCTGACACAAAAAATGTCCACCCAAAGCAAGTAAATCAGACAGAATTTTCTGGAAATGATAACCAAAGACATTTGTAAGAGTGTAAAATATTGTTAAATCTCACAACTAATCAAGTACTATATATTTCAAATCTGTTAAACTGCTTTCTAGTACCTTTCAATAGAATAAAGTGAGCTTTGCCTTGAATTTAAGAAATATTATATAGCTTCCTATTCTTAAAATAGTTTTTATTGAGTAAATACATAATATTAAAAGTCAAACTTATTTAAAAGTCCAACAATTTAGTGTTTGAAAACCTATCAAGTTGAACCTACTCTCTGAAATCACTCAGTAATAAAGCCCAAAACAGTGAACTTGCTGCCAGGTAAGCACTGTACCGCTGAGCTAAACCCAGAGGTCATTATTTCCTGACTTTCAGGATGACAGGCGACTTCCAGAATGTGCTTTTATAATAACAAAAATGACAGCTATCACATATTGAACATCAATTAAGTACCAGGCACTAGGCTAACCACCATATAGCCTACAATGACAATCTTATGAGATACACTTATGTCTTTAACCACAGAGAAGCAAAATGAGACTCAGGGCTAACTACAAGTGGCTGAGCCAACACTTTTCTCCATCCAGATTCCAGAGTCTATATTCATAAACTTATGCTACAGTGCTTTCTATTTATAGAAACATCTCCTGTCCCAGGAACCACTGTTATCACCTCCTACCTGAGAGAACACACAGACAAGCTCAGCAACAGGGCCTGTAAAATGAGGGAAATTAATTTTGTCCTGGCAATAGAAATACATATATGTATATGTCATTTTTCTCCAGTATGTTATTTTTATGAAACACCACTTTTTTTTTGGGGGGGGGGTGAGGGAGAGGTAACTGGAATTGAGCACAGGGGTGCTTTACCACTGAGCCACAACCCCAGAACTTTTTATTTTGAGACAAGTTATCGCTAAGTTGCTGGCATCAAACTTGAGATTCTCCTGTCTCAGCCTCCTGATTCACTGGGATTATAGGTGGGTACCACTACACCTGAAGATTAACACTTTTGGGGGGCTGTGTTTGGTAGTTTGAGTGGGAAAAAATTTCCTGCAGTTTTACAATGGCTCAGAAAAGAAAAGGAACAGAATTTTTTATCAATTTCTTTTGTCTTCATGTAATTTTTTTTCCCTGTCTTACAGCCACATTCTTGGGGTTCCATATACTCATGTATATGTGTGTGTATGTGGCTGCAGATGGACCCAGGGCCTCACATACTGGGCAAGCGCTCTACCACCGAGCTACATTCAGCCTTTGTAGTTGCCTACCAAAAGAGTACAGTGGATGTGTTCTTTCCACTGTTGTATTTTCCCTACTCTATGAACTGAAAATACTCCAATTCAGAGGTACTCCGAACTCCTAAAAAAATAAAAAGCTTCCTTTATCTTTCCTCATTCATATTAATATTAGTTTTTACAATTTCTTTGACATATGCTGTTCCTAAAGCCAAACAAATAATCCAGATATTCTGCTTGTGGAAAATATTCTACAGCATTGACACAGGTTATGAAACCTCTCCTAGTACGTTGGCCGCAGGAGACAGGCATAGAGCACTCTTTGTGAATTCCTCAATTTTGTAAGGCCTCCCTGGCATCTGAACAAGCTGCATTCTGCAGAACACCAGACTTGGCACGAAAATCAAGATTCCCACATGGAGAGTCAACAGAAAGATCCCCCCCTCGTCAGCACGCTACAGGGAGCTGAAGGAGCAGCACCACATCGAAAGAGCAAACCGTCACATAAACGAACTCAGAGAAACCCATGAACCAGCTCAACACCAGAGAAGGGTGTTGATACTCTGCTTTATTTGGGTAGGGGGAAGTAAAGGTGACTGAGTTGTCCGTAAGTAATCAAGTGATACTTTGGTAAAATTCATCTCAAAGGCATTGAACCCAAAGAGACTGCCTATTAACTATTTCTTGTGGAAAGTAAAATTTCCCTAAATCTTCACCTTTATTCAAATTGTGGTATATTTTATAGTAATTGGTAGTCTCCCTCTCCAATCTCCCTCCAGAACCGATTATCCCTTCTCTTCTGCAATTCCTTCGTGGGTGCAGAAGGATTTTGTTTCATCTTCAATAACCTCAGGCACCATCAAGAGCTAAGGAATTCCAGGGTGAATGAACACAGGTTGTCTGGCAGCCTCTGGGCAGCCGGGGCTGTACCTTAGAAAAAGATGCCCTCAGAGCTGGATAATAGTCCCCCGAGTAAAGAGCCAGGAACAGGACCATGTAGTCCTCCTACATCAGGACATAGGTCACCCTGCTGATTGACAGTCACTCTGGGAAAATAGAGAAGGATACAGAAAATACCAAACATGGGGAAATTGTAAGCCAGCCAGAAATAGATGTGTCAACATGACTTTCAGGCTTCATTCACTGATTCATTTATTGTTTGACTCATTTATTCAACAGCCCCCTAGGGCTGAAAGGTACTAAGGATATGATGCTGAATGAAATAGACAGTCTTTGCCCAGTAGAGCTTGATTCTAGTGAGGAGACAGTGAGTAAGCAATTATATATAACTGTTGAGGACTGAACTGTGTTCCCCCACATTCATATTTTCAAGTTGTAACTCCTAATGTGACTATATTTGGAGAGAGAGCCTTTAAGAAGGCAATTAAGGTGAAATGAGGTCATAAGGGTAGGGCCCTCATGATAGGATGAGTGCCCTTATAAAAAAAGACACAAAAGAGCTGGCTTCCTACCTCTCTGCCATGTGAAGCCACCCAGCAAGAAGGCAGTCACCTAAAAGTCAGAAAGAAAGCCTCATCAGGAATGAGCCCTGATAATACCTTGATCTTGGACTTCCAGCTTCCAGACCAGGAGAAAATAAATTTTTGTTGTGTAAGTCACCCAGTCTATGGTACATGGCAACCTGAGCAGACCAACACAGTAACATAATGTCAGGAAACAAATAAGGACTATGAAAAAATCAGGTGAGGTGGAGAAAGAGACTGATGGAATAGAGAGCCACACTGAATAGGGGACTAGGAAAGGCCCCTGGGGATATCATTCCAGGTGAAGGATTTTTGCGGGAAGTCCTAGACACGGGATAAAATTGAGGCATGTGAGAAATGGCCCAAAAGCCTATGCAGCCTGAGCATGTTGGGCAGAGTGTGAAAGAAAGGAAATGGACACAGAGAGGAAACCAGAGACCGGATGATTAGGGCAACACAGGCCATGGCAAGCACTTCAAAGTTTGTACTAAGTGGGGTCGACTGGAAAGCCACCAGAAGGCTATAAACAGGAGAGTGACATTTATGTCTTTAAGAGGATCACTATGACATAGGCAAGAAACCATAGCACACACACAAAAAAAGAAAGGCTGGTACATTGTTGTGAGGCCAGTTTAAAAGCCCAGGTGAGAGAGTTGGGAGACATGGGCCAGAAGGCGTGGGGATGGAAGAAAGGAGAAATAGCTGGATTCAGAGTATATTTGTGAGGTGATTCAACATTTGTCAAACAGATCTGATGCAGTATGCAGGAGAAAGAAAGGAGTCAAGGACACCAAATTGAGCTGTGCTGCTGTGTACCTGTCTGTGTGTCCTTTACTGAAGTGACAAAATAGAGGAAGGAGAAAGTTTGGTGGGGAGTCGTGTTGAACCAAAAGTTCAGTTTCATGTCTGTTAAAATTTGAGAGGCCTATTAGAGATCCAAGCAGAGATGTTAAATAGGCAATTGGACAGACCAGCATGGAGTCGAGGGAGAGATCAGACTAGAGATATACATTCGAGATATACATTCACTGATGCTGGTATTGAAAGCCCAGAGACTCAGTATCAACATAATTACTGCCAGCACCTGCTTCTCAATGTACAGATTCATCTTTGGGGCTGGGGGCAGAAAGGAGGAGATATTCTCCTCTCAGTTCTTTCTTTTCTTTCTCCATCACCTCAAAATGAATTCATCAAACTTTAAGTGGCCAGTGTCTTCGCCATTCTGGGAGGTGACATGGGCTCTCTTGCCCCTCACAGCTTACAGCACATTCTCAACATGGGGCTGATGCACGCTGAGCACATTCTCCAGTCAACCGCAGAAGCAGAGTCCTCCGGGTGGTCTAGGCCTGGCCTCTCTACAGCCTCCCTCCCTGACAGAAGAGCCTCTCCCCTCACCACTCCACAGGGCTTGGTGTCTAACTAACCCTTGTTTTCCTTCCTCCACTTCAGTAGGAGAGCACGGAGCAGATCTCTTTTAAGAGGCTCACAGGCATCTTTTCCTTAATGGAAAAGAAAAACAACTGCTTTAGGTGAATAAGGAGAAAAACTGAGTGTCTCTGGGAGAGTCAAAGATCCCTCTGCAGTCTCCAGGTACACAGGGCCCCTGAACTGAGAACAGAGAGCAGCCTGGGAAGAGGAGACTCCAGATTATGGAGAATCATTTTTAAAAGAGCAGGGTATTCAGCCTGGTGTGGTGGTGCATGCCTGTAATAACGGAGACTCAGGAAGCTGAGGCAGGAGGATCATTAAGTCTGAGGCCAGCCTCAGCAGCATAGTGAGGCCCTGTATTGAAATAAAATATTAAAAGGACTGGGGATGTAGCTCAGTAGTAAAGTGCCCCTGGGTTCAATCCCCAATAACAACAAACAAAACAAAACAAAACATGCTAACTGCCATGCTCTCGTGGTTTTTAAATGTTAGAACAGGAAAGTCATCTATTGAAACGTGATGTTCAAAATGTTAGGATTTTCAATATTTTTATTTTCCAAACTTTATTTTAAAAGTACATTAAAAGCATCAGAAATACAAATCTGGCCTAATGGTTAACATAAGAACAATTATTATAAAATGTTTTAAAGACCTCACATACTTTGCATCACAGTAAAGCATCAAGAGAACTAGTTAATATACCCTGCAAGTTAATCATATTCAATTGAATTCTCATTACTCTTAGTTCTCATTTTAGCCCTTATAAAGAGACAAGTTATATATGTCTATCTATACCTTATTACTATTATATAGGTATAGACAGACATACATAACTTATGTAGAGACAAGTTCTGTCCAAATATCTATATCTACTTACAGATATAGATGTGAAGGGGAGCTAAGAATCTAGCTCACTATGTATTTCATGCAAGTTAAATCAATAATTTCTTGAAGAGCATAAAGAACTGAATACCTTATATGCACATGCTTAGTTTTCTTTATGCTATAATTTTTACTTCCCAAAGAAGGGCCCCATGCTGGTCAAAACATCTCAAACTCAAAGGTCACACAGGAAATCTGACATTTAAAATTTTATACATAGAAATTGCTTTTGTTATAACCTTTTATGAAATCACATTTGAAATGCCTGTCCAAAAACATATACCTTAAAAAAGTGGGAAGTATCTTCTTGACTTATGTTATGAATTATAAAAGGTGTTTGGTTGATTGGACCACTAGCTTCTGACTTAAGACAAAGCTCTGATTCTTAATTTGACACAGTCCTTCAAATCGTCTTGGAAGAGGATGTTAGATTTCTTAATTCTTTGTTAAAAAGGGGTATATATTAACCTATCTCATGGGAGTATTAATAAATAAGTGCAGTGTTGTATTAAAATATAAAAGCACAATTGAAATAGGTAATAGGGACTTCCAAAAATAGCATTCAATTACCCACCCCCCCAAAAAAAATGGTGAGAGAGTGAATATGTTATCTTCTGTTATAAAATTCGATAGCAAAACCAAAGGAAGAAAGGAAGAGAAAGGAAAGAGGAAGAGAGAAAAGGAGTAGGTAGGGTAGTCAGTCCTGAAAGGTGAATTTAAAAACCAAATAAATCCTATAGTTCGTACTTAAATCTCAGAAATAGAAATGACCGGGTAAATACTGGAGGGTGTGAGGCACTAGATGAGGTGAAAGTGAACGCTAGTTGAAAATCTACTCTCTGTCCCAGGCCTCCCTGGACCTCTACTTAGGAACAGGCTCAGGGAGGGGCGCTATTCAAAAGAACAAAGTACTTCCCAATGTGCAACAGTAATTCTTGAATACAACAGTTCATAAAGATAGGTTTTGGAGTGTGATGCTTGAGTCTAATAGTTGAGTTCCAAAATTCCAGTGAGATCAAGTACTGACTGTATAATGAAAAAATTTTACTCATTGTTATCCTAAGAATCACAGAGTATAGAATAAAATTGGTTTCAGGTACAGAGATACTTAATCTAGTTTCCAGGTTAAGGTTCTGGGAGTCATGGGGCGTACTCCTGTAATCCCAGCTACTGGGAGGCCAAGGCAGGGGAACCATAAGTTTGAGGCCAGCTTGGGCAATTTAGTAAGAGACCCTGGCTCAAAAAAAAAAAAAAAAAAAAGAGTGGGGTATTGGGGATGTTGCTTAGTGGCTGCTAGTGTGTACAAGGCCATGGGTTCAATCCCCATTATGGCAAAAAAAAAAAAAAAGATTAGTGGGAGGAAAAATAAAACAATTAGTTTAAAAATATATCACCTTGATAATTTTTTTTACCACAATGATACAAAAATAAAGAAAAAGGAGTTATTTCTAAGTAGTTACTTGAATACTGACAGGTACTTAATAAATTTTCTTACACTGTAGGAAAACCTCCCAATCCCATCTCTATGCCAAGATAGCCTAATGAATGACACAATAGTTCACACTGCCTCCCACATAACAACCCTCTCTAAGAACAATGCCTCTACTATAGGGGCAGTCCCCATGCACTAGGATTCTTGGATAAGATCGTTCCAAAATATAGTAATTCACTTGTAACAAGCTAAAATATCTTTCTTTTGAAAAGAACTATACAGCCAGAGGCGGTGGTGCATACCTATAATCCCAGCAACTAGGGAGGCTGAGACAGGAGGATAACAAGTTTGAGGCCAGCTTCAGCAACTTAGTGAGACCCTCAAAAAATTAGTGAAACATGGTCTCAATAAAAATAAAATGAAAAGAGCTGAGGATGTAGCTCAATGGTAAAGTACCCTGGGTTAAATTTCCAGTACCAAAAAATAAAAAATTTAAAGAACTATACAGCTACCCCAACTGACACAGAATAATAATGTCTCTAATAAGAAATGGCAATAATCATACACTAAATTCTTAGTTGAGTGTCTTATAAAAGGAAAGTACTTAATGCTTGTGTGTGAATTTTTGAGAAGGACAAAAATATAGGTATCATATTTGTGATTTTTTTTGTTTTAACAATGTTATTTTTATTCAAATAAACCTGCTTACCAAAAAGTGTATTAATCCCTATTTCAGGACTTCAAAGAATCAAATTTTACATTCTTAAAGAATAACACCTTCAGGAGGCTGAGGCAGAAGGATCACAAGTTGGAGGCCAGCAACTTAGCAACTTAGCAAGACCCTGTCTGAAAATAAAATTTAAAAAGGGTTAAGGATGTAGCTCAGAGATAGAGTACTTCTGAGTCCAGTCCCCCATACCAAGAAAACAAAAACCAAACCAAACAAAAAAATCAACTCATACCTTCAAGTTCGTCTATTTTTTTTTTTTTAATCCATATCTAGAGCTGAGAGTGCAGCTCAGTGCTACAGTTCATGCTTAGCATGTGCAAGGGCCTGGGTTCAATCCCCAGCACCAAAATAAAATTAAAAAAAAAAAATCCAGCAATATCTTTGTAGACCCATAATACTGACTCAGAGAATTACAACCAGTCGATTTCCTACTTGAACATATCACCATTCCTGGCCTCTATTTAAAGGTTCAGCACAAAAGACTGGGTAACAGGTCTGGGTTAAAAAGCTAAATAAACTTTTACATCATATCTTAAAATGTCAAGAAATTACAAATCAAATCAAGACATTAATATTTCAGAAAAAAGAAAAGTCCCAACTGCCAACTTTTCGGCTGAATCTTTAAGTTTTGATCTGCGGCGGCTCTCAAAAATCAAACAGTGTGAGAAGGCAAAAAAAAAAACATTTGCACAAGATTCTCTGGCCTCCCTGACTTTAAACGGAGGGGACTGGAATTTGCTTGGCTGAAGTGCTGTCGTACTCCTGCATTATTAGGTCGTTGGTGGTGTGATAATGCATGGCAATATAGGAGCTTGCAAATCCAAAAGAGTTTATTGGCTGCAAGTGGCGTGGGCTGCTCTCCTCCTGGGAAGGGCTGCTGTTATAGATGCTGTAGTAGGGTTCAATCCGAGTGTTGATGGGGGTGGAGCTGCTCTGACCACAGTGCTGATGTCCAGCAGAGATCTTGGGACTTACCACACTTTCCTTTGAATGGCTTGGGCCACAAGCCTGATCCACAAATTTCTTCTGTGGCTTTGGAGACAACATGTAGGCAGAGTTTGTTTCATGATGGGAGGATTTGTTTCTGTTGACTTCGAGGTTCCCTTTTCCCATGGCTCGAAGTCGAGTCTTCTGTTTGCAGCAGAAAACCCCCAGGCCAATGTACTGGAGGCACCAGAGCACTTTCCTTCTCAGGCCTGCACTGTTCCGAGAATATATGAAAGGGTTTAATCCTGACTTGAAAAATATTAGGGTGAACCCAAACAGTTCAAACTGGTAAAGGATGAAGCTGCCACTGCTGGACAGGACCACCTGCACCAAGGAAATCCCCAGCGGAAGACAGCACACCAGGACCGACAGCACAATGATCACGCAGGTGACCACGGCTTTGGAATCCTTGGCAGTGGAGAGGTTGATGGCTGATACCAGCTGGAGTCGGCTGGCTGCAGGGGTTGGCAGCTGGTTGGGACTCTTGGTGTACCCGTGCGTGGGAACGTGCTGCAGTTTGTTGTAATTCTGGTTCCTGTAGAGGGCCGGCACGGTGCACTGGATGGGATCTCCGCCTCCCTTGCCAGGAGCCCCCATGAAAGGCTGTGGTCTGGAAGCATCGACTGTGATGACAGGGAGGCACTTTCTGACCTGTGCATTCTTCCTCAGGGTCTGTGCAATCATGATGTAGGAGACAGACACCACGGCGATGCAGAAGGTGAAATCGACCACATAGAGAGACAGAATGGCTCTCCCTTCTCCAGCCACCAGACTGGACATGGGAAGGCAGAGGTGGGATTTATTGGTCTTCAGGGTCGCCAAGGTGGCGAGGGTGAAACTGGTGGCCCAGAGAAGCAGAGTGAGGAGCAAGGTGCAAGGAAAGGAGGCCGTGCGATCAGGCTGCTTCCCCAGCACCATGCGGAGGCGGTGCAGGGCAATCACTGCCACCGTCTTGAGGGACATGATGATGAAGCCGGAACTGGTGAGATGGAAGGCGAAGCAGAAAGCATCCGGGATGCCACTGGCTGAGCTGAAGAACAACACAAAGGCGAACATGGGCGCTGTCACCCCGCAGATGAAGAGGTCACAGAAGGACAGGTTCAGGATCATGAAATCAAAATTGGTTCTGAATTTTCTGAAGGCTGGGTCAAAGAAGGACAAGAAGACAATGAAGTTGCCGTAAGAGCCCAGGCAGAAGATGATGGCAAGCAGAAAAGTGCAGGTCACCAAGGTGGCCATGTGGATGAGGTCCTGAAGATCCTCCTGGAGAGAGGTGTCATTGCCTCCCTGCGGGTGAGGCACGTGGAGCAAGGTGGCATTGGGGGCATCCTGAAGGGGGTCTGTTGAGTTCATCTTCAGAGAGAAATGTCTCTTCCTTCTGTTCTCCAAAAAAGCTCAGTGGGAAGAGAGTCAGAGCCTCAACTCACAGATGAGCGACGTGTGACAAAAGAGGCCCAAGACAGATAAGCCTGTACACAAAAATGCACACCCAGACACAGAAAGGGGTTACTACACGATCTCATGATTGTTTATGAAAGCATTACAATTTCTCAGTCCCGGCCTCATACATGGAAAGCAGCTTCTCTTCACAAAGTCCAACACAGAAAGAGAGATGAACCCTCCCAATATATCCATCCAAGTAATTTAGTCTTACCACACAGTGGTTTCCAAACAGGGTTAACTTAGTATCACCTGGGGAGCATGTTAAAAAGTTTAATGAGTGGTAGCACACGCCTGTAATCCCAACAACCCAGGAAGCTGAGGCAAGAGAATTGCAAGTTTGAGGCTAGCCTCAGCAATTTAAATAAAAAATAAAAAGACTGGGGATGTAGCTCAGTAGTAAAGAGTGGTAAAGTGCTTTTGGGTTCAACCCACAATACCAAGGAAAAAAAAAGAAAAAAGTTTTTCATTACAGGACAGATTCTGGGCTTCACCCCTTGATATTCTGTGCAGATGATACTTTTGGAAACATTTCCATGCCAGGCACTGAAAATACACATGAACATAACCTCTCCTTCAGAAATCATGGCATAGCTGTAGAAGATCAATCTAACAATATAACTGCAGCCTACTGTGGTTGCAGTGTGCTATGGAAAGAGAAAAGAGGCAACTAATCCAACCCAGGGAGAAGCTGGGAAAGGAGAAAGGGAGTTTTAGCAAGTAGAAGCTAACTGGGTGAAAGGTGAGGGGCAGGCAGTGGGACCCAGGCTCGGGAGAAGGGAAGGAGGTCTTTGCAGCAGAGGGACTGGGGCAAAAAACAGCATATGCTTTAAATAAGATCAGGGTTGGTGCATGATGTGGCCTTACATTTAGGTTCCCGTACATCACTAACAAATCCCCTTTCTTTTCCTAGGAACAATCCTTTATTTTCCAGTATTTCTTTCTTTTCCCATATTGAGATTTTTGGGCCAACTCCCTACATTTCTGAGGGGAAAAAAATCAAAGTAACAAAGAATATCTGGAATAACAGTGGCATAAAAATAAAAATATATAGTGGAATAAAAAATATAAGTGGAATAAAATTTTTTTAAGAAGTGGAATAAAAGTGGTTCAAAGAACCACTTAGGGGGCTGGGGATGTTGCTCAAGCGGTAGCACGCTCGCCTGGCATGCGTGCGGCCCGGGTTCGATCCTCAGCACCACATACAAAGATGTTGTGTCTGCCGAAAACTAAAAAATAAATATTAAAAAAATCTCTCTCTCTCTCTCTCAAAAAAAAAAAAAAAAAAAAAAAAAGAACCACTTAGGGGGATGGGATGTGGTTTTATGCTTGCCAAGTATGCAAAAGGTCCTGGGTTTGATCCATAGCTTCTCAAAGACAGAGAGAGAGAGAGAACACACACTACTTTGTAAACTCTAAGTAATGTGATAAATGTGAGTTGCCATTATTTCAACAGGAATATCCTCCTGACAAAGCAGGAGCGCACACTCACTCAATGCACACTAATTATATGCACACCACAGCACACTAATTATATGCACACCATGGGCCTGCTTTATGCTACATACTGAAGATAAGACACAGCCTCTTGCTCTCTTTGCCCCCTTTTTATTTCTACTGTACAATGAAATCTAATGTACACTCACATAATCGTTTGCATTGTCCCAAAGACCTGTGGTGACCTGGTGTTCATCCTGCTCCCAAAGATACTCCCAGCAGAACAGACCAAGTTGTTCAGTGCGTTATTCTTGCCAACCAACAAGCATTTGCTTCAGTCCAACATTGTTGGAACCACCAATGGCAGTGGGGAGGCCCACAGCTGATGTTCAGAATATTTAACCACCAGCTCAAGCTACACCCCAGAGGCCTCTAGTTGTCAACCCTTTAGTCGCTGGATCAAGGTGGAGCAGAAGAATGGGCTATGTCCGTGTGGGGTTACCGGGGCTCCAAGCAGCAGCTGTGGACTACCCAAAACAGAAGCCTCTCATCATGTAACAGTACCAGACAAACATGAGCTCTGGAAGTTCCATATGACTAACTGGTGTCTTTCAAGAGAGAGGACAGCTTCTTCTACATTCCCACTACACGCCTTGTAGTGCATGCAGATCATGACAAAATGGTGAATTTCTCCACTGGAAAGTGAAAACAACTTTTCTGCAACTTTTTAAAAGTTCTATAGGAGCCAGGTGTGTTGGTGCACACCTGTAATCCCAGGGATTTAGGAGGCTGAGACAGGAGGATCACAGGTTCAAAGCTATCCTCAGCAACTTAGTGAGACTCTGTCTCAAAATAAAAAATAATAATAATAAAATAAAAAGGGGTGAGGATGTGACTCAATGGTTAAACATCCATGGGTTCAATTTCTAGTATGAAAAAAATATTCTATGGGACAAAAAATGTAAATCCTGAACCTTTGTTTCTTTTTTTTTAAAAAAAAAATTTTTTTTAGTTGGACACAATATTATCTTTATTTTATTGATTTTTTTTAATATTGATTTTTTAGTTGTAGTCAGACACAATACCTTTATTGTATTTATTTTTATGTGGTGCTGAGGACTGAACGCAGGGCCTCACACTTGCTAGGTAAGCGCTCTACCACTGAGTCACAACCCCAGCCCTTATTGATTTATTTTTATGTGGTACTGAGGATCAAACCCAGGGCCTTGCACGTGCCAGGCCAGCTCTCTACTGCTGAGCCACAACCCCAGCCCTATTTCTTGATAATTAGAATTAAATAATAATGGATTGCTCTTATTGTTTCCAATTAAAGATTGCATTCCTGTTTCTGAGCCCTTCTAATATTTTTGTAGCAAAAAAAAAAAAAAAGACGTTTTGCTGCTTATAAAAAATTATTGCCAGGAGTGGTGGTGCATGCTTATAATCCCAGTTCAGAGATAGACTCAGCAATTTAGTGAGGCTCTAAGCAACTTAGTGAGATGCTGTCTCAAAATAAAAAATAAATAAAAAGGGCTGGGGATATAGCTCAGTTAAGTGTCACAGGGTTAAACTGCCAGTATCATCTCAAAATTTTTAATTGATATGCATATAAAAGTATGACACAATGAAACCTATTATTCTAGCCAATAATCCCAGTGACTCCAGAGGCAGAAGGATTACAAATTCAGGGCCAGCCTCAGCAACTTAGTGACACCATATCTCAAAATTCACAGAAAAGGACTGGGGATGTCATCCGATGATAAAAACATCCCTGGGTTCAATCTCCAGTACAAAACAACAACAACAACAACAAAACCCAAAACACAAAAAAAGAAACAAAACCAAAAAACTCATTATTCGCTAGGCGCGGTGGTGGTGCCCTCTTGTAATCCCAGCAGCTCAGGAGGCTAAGGCAGGAGAACTGTTAAGTTCAAAGCCAGCCTCTGCAACAGTGAAGCTCTAAGCAACTCAGTGAGACCCTGTGTCTAAATAAAATACAAAATAGGGTTGGGGAAGTGACTCAGTGGTCGAGTACTCCTGAGTTCAAGTCCCAATACCCACCCCCCCCAAAAAAAAAAAGAAAGAAAAAAAAGAAACCCATTATTTTATATAATTGATATGCACTAATAAAACATTTTACAAGTTTTTCAAACCTTTTAAAAAAATGAATTGGAAGATTAGTGTTAATTTATGAAAAAGCAAGTGGAAGATGCCCATTTAAAGAGGCAGGAAGAACAGAATACTAGTGTCTTATTGCCACCCCTCTGCCCCCAACCAAAGGTTTCCTCTTTGGAAGTAGACAAATCAAGAGGAATGAAAACAGAAGCAAGAATTTGGGGGCTGGGGATGTGGCTCAAGCGGTAGCGCGCTCGCCTGGCATGTGTGCGACCCGGGTTCGATCCTCAGCACCACATACCAACAAAGATGTTGTGTCTGCCGAGAACTAAAAAAATAAATATTAAAAAAAAAATTGACAGAAGAAAATATTTAAAAAAAGAATTTGGCCTGGGAAACTTAGAGCATCTGGAATTGGTGTGCTCAGAGAAATAAGTGGGTAATAATAATGAAGAAGTGAAATGATGGAAGTTATGAGGACCCCAGATGAGGAGATAATAGGAAAGGGGTCAGGAAAATGAGACGATGAGGCACCAACATTACTCAAGGATAAAAGAGGAAAAAAGATTATTTGTAGGCACTGAAGAGCAAATTTCACTTTGTGCAGTTCTGTTTTGTCAATAAATTTTAAAATTTTTGATTAATTTTAAAAAATAAAAATTCTGTGTCAGGAAATAATAATGGCAATGTACTCATCAGCATTTTTATTTTACGGAGTGCTTATGATGTGCCAGGCACTGTTTTCAGTGCTCTCCACTACGAATTTTAAATTCTCACAATCCTGAAATTGTATAACATCAGCATTTTGCAGATGAGAAAACTGATGGAGAGATGATATCATTTAACAATGTAACAGAGTTTGGATTTGAACCTAAGCAATTGCTTTTAACCCAGAGCCTTGTGCATGTTAGGCAAGCACTCTACCAACTGAGCTATATCCCCAGCCCAGCAATTGCTTTTCTTTATTTTTTGGGTACTAGGGACGGAACTCAGGGGCACTTGACCACTGAGCCATATCCCCTGTCCTATTTTGTATTTTATTTAGAGACAGGGTCTCACTGAGTTGCTTAGTGCCTCATTTTTGCTGAAGCTGGCTTAAGCAACTGCTTTTCAAAGCCTGTTTTTTGTTTTTGTTTTTTTGTGGTGCTGGGGATTGAACCAGGGCCTTGTACATGTGAGGCAAGTACTCTACCAACTGAACTATATCTCCAGCCCCCCAGCCGCCACTTTTTTTTTTTTTTTTTTTTTTTTTGGTATCAAGATTGAACCTAGCTAGAAGTGCTTAATTACTGAGTTACATCCCCAGTCCTTTTTTCATTTCAAGACAGGGTCTCACTAAGTTGCAGAGACTGACCTTGAACTTGGGATTCTCCTGCCTCAGCCTCCTGAGCGCTGGGATTACACATTTGTGCTAGGAGCCCCACATTCTTTACCACCATACTAAACAAAAGAATAAAGAGATCAAGGGAGGAATCCCCATGTCATAAGGGTAGTAGCTATAGTTTACTGGGTGGTTATTATACACTAGGCTCCATGGTAGTTTATAAAAGTTATGAAACTTTATTTCATCCTCACAATAATCCTATGAAGTAGGTATTATAATCCCTTCTTAATTGAAAAATTCCTGGAACACAAAATTCTAATACATCTATAAATATACACATCTATCTTTATATTTAGCTACATATCTGCATATACATATTTATATATAGTTATATTAGATATATAGAAACTTCTGTATAGCTTTTTGACAAGCCTAATGATTACAGTTCCAATATAATTAATTATATTATTAATTAATAATAAGTAATTACAGATCACTCTTACTGGGATAACTAGAACAAAAGAAGGAATCAAGGGCTTGGAGGAGAAAAGAGTGAAAAAGAAGACAGAAGAAAAGGTTTTGGTAGAGGAATTGTAGAAGCAATAAAAGAAATGGAGGGAAAGTCTTGGTACTAAATCCTAGAACTTTTAAAAGGAGACCAAAATCACAAAATGAGAACAAAATTATGATGGCAGAAATACAAAACTGGGGAGGGTAGCAAATCAATATCTGTTTAATATCCTAAATGTTACCAAGGTTATTTTCAATGCCAGCATCCAAGCTACTCTTTTCTCCCTGGGACTATAAACAGGTCCTGGAAGATGTGATTAAAGCCATAGAATCCGAAAATTTTTAAGCTGGGACACAGTTTTAAGTGTGCACACTAGCCACAATAAGAATGAATTTACATGCATGTTTTTTAACTACTGAGGAGAGTCCATAAGAAACTAGTAGTAAGACAGAAAATTGAAATGTATCGCAGCAAGGTTATTATTTCTCATTAAAATGTATGAAGAGCCCTTGCTAGTGTGCTGTTTTAATTTTTTAGTAAACATTACGGTGTTTTATACGTGCCTTTACAAATCATGATCTGGATTCTTCCAACTAAGTTTTTTTTTTTTTTCTCTCATAATGTCTTAAGTTCCCTCAAGGCAGCGCCTAACCCTCACAGAGACATAGTGAATTTAATATGCTCATTGTATTTGTATTGATCAGGAAAACCTCAGGGAGGTTAGATAACTTGCCCAAGGTCACTAAGATTCAGGCTAGATTTGGATCATTTCAAATCTCTGCCTCTTTTACCCAGATGAAGTACCTTTTGAAGCCCTGAGCTCCTGATGGGGTAGGGAAGGTCAGATCTGGGTCACTTGCTGGGAGAAATGGGAAGGCTGAGGTAGGATCCCAGCCTGAGAACAAGTGGAGTGGGAGACCTGGGAGAGGGGAGGTTGGCGCCGACCAGGGACAGGCGATGGGTGAGGAATCTTGAATTGTGGGAGAGATGATGGTATAGAGGGCCTAAGCCTATCCAAAGACGCTTGTAGAAGAATCAGCTGAAGGTTGGTGCAATGAGGAGAGCTAAGTCCGGGCACCTGCAGTAGCTTGGGGTTTCTACCGGCCCAGCAGAGCCTGGGAGCTGGGAAGGACGGGAGAGAAGGCTTTTCCCAAGGCCGCACCAGCACAGGTGCGCCGGGCGGCTTGGCCTGGCCCAGCACGGCCGCGCTCCTCCTTCACCCGCCGGCCTCCCGGAGGCCTGGCCTCCCCAGTCCGGGTGGCTCGTCCTCCTCCAAAGAGCCCGCGACCTCTCACCTGCCGGGTGGCTGCAGCGCCTCCCCTCCTCCTCCATCTCGCAGCCGGGACCCCAGCTCCGCCCGGCACCCTGGATGATGCAGGGCTGGAGGAATCATCGCCATCGCCGCCGCCTCCGCGCATCCTGGGAGCCTCGGCGAGACGGGGGCGCGGAGGCGCAGTCACGGAGACGCGGAGGGCGCCACCCCCTCGGTCCGACACTCAGGCCGAGCCCCGCCTGTCCCCCGCGCGGGTCTCCTTGTGCCCCGAGGCCGCCCGCTCCCGCCGCCCAACTGAGCCAGAATCCCTTTTCTGCTCGCCGTTTTGCCGTGGGGGGAGCCTGGATTCCGCCATAGGCAGAGGCTGAAGTAGAGCGCAGGAAAGGGGGCAAGCGAAGTGGGAAGAAAGGAAGGGGAGAGCAGGGGGGTCGCCTTAGAGGACAGACTGGAGTGCAGCAGGGTTCCAGGGATTCCTACCGTGCCCGCCCGCCCACCTCCCCAAGTCCCTGTGCGTTCAAGCCAGCCTGCTTAGCTTCTCCATATGCTGCAGTATTTTTTCTTCCTAGACAAGATCGGCGGAGGCGTCCAATTTGAAACTTTGAGGCATAGAATTTATTTATTTGGTACAGGGGATGGAACTCAGGGCCACTTGACCACTAAGACGCATTCCCTGACCGTTTTATTTTTTGAGACAGGATCTCGCTAAATTGCTGAGACTGGCCTCGAACCTGCGATCCTCTTGCCTCAGCCTCCCGAGTCGCTTGGATTACAGGTGTGCCACTATGCCTGGCTGGCGGCATAGAATTTATAGTCATTATAACAGAATTTAAATCAAACCAACTCTAACTTGCCTAAGTCTCTCAAGATATCAATGAATTTACTGAAGAAACTTAACAAGGGGAAGAAGAAGAACTGGGGGGGGGGGGGAACCATGGAAATAAATAAGAAATCATGGGATATTTATTAATACTAGCATAAAATGTAAAAAAAAAAATCTTTAAAAGCAACAATGCAATGTATCCAGCTAGGCTTATTTTGGTAAGAACAAAAAACTGCCATCTTCCCATTCTGGTAAGTCTACACAACTTGCAAAATAATTCATAATGAGTTTACTATTTCTCTAAACTCCTCAGGGATACCATTTGCCCTTTCCTTCACCTGGGACCAGAAAACAGGAACGTTTATTGCATTCAGGCAAAATACTTAGTTGGAATGTTGCTAGCGCAATCTCCATTTTGGCTAACAGTTTTTCTAAGGATCATAACCAACAAATACCAAAGAATTTGATTTATGAAAATTTCTTTCCCAATTCCCTGTACTATTTTGTTAAGAACACACTAGAGGGCTGAATAATGTATAAAGTAGGTTATTTTGTCCAGTGGTTGACTATACAATCAGAATTGTTTATAAATAACTTTAAGAAAATGTTCCAAATGATTTGTACATAGACCACACTTCAGCCAGGTATGGTGGCACACACCTGTAATCCCAGCTGCTCAGGAGGAGGATCCCAAATTCAAAGCCAGCCTCAGCAATTTAGCATGACCCAGTTTCAAAATAACAAGCACTGGGTTTGTAGCTCAGTGGTACAGTGCCCTGGATTTCAATCCCTAGTACCCCCAAAATAAAAAATACATTTAAAAGCTTCGTTCTCCCAAACACTTGCAATGTAATCGTTCTTTTGGTACAAGGGAGTGAACCCAGGTGTGCTGAAACACTGAGCTCCAGCCCCAGTCCTTTTTATATTTTGAGACAAAGTCTGGCTAAATTACTTATGGCCTGGCCTAGTTGCTGAGACTGACTTTGAACTTGTGATGTTCCTGCCTCAACCTCCCAGCTGCTGGGATTACAAGCATGTGCCACTATGCTTGATACAATGTAACAGCCTAACATGTTGTTGGTATTGGTGACTTTGAGCCCTAGGAAAAAATCAAAAAGACCCATTAGCTGGCTGGGGTTGTGGCTCAGAGGTAGAGCACTCGCCTAGCGCATTCAAGGGCCTGGGTTCTATCCTCAGCACCAAATAAATAAACAAACAAACAAACAAACAAATAAATAAAGGTATCAACAACTACAACTAAAAAATAATTAAAAAAAAAAAAGACCCATTAGCTTCTATAGTGGAGCTGGCATTTAGAGAAGATATTCTGATCAAAGTTACATGCCTCTTAATGAATTAAAAATCTTGCCAGCTCATTTCTAGACATTTGGCCATATGAGAGGAGGAGGTTACAATTGGTTCAGGTTGGATTGCTGCCATGGGTTACACCTATGGGAGAAAGGATCTCAATGGGGTGGGGGGGGGGTGTTTCACATCTTATGAAACATTCTAAAGATGTAAAAGAGGAAATTAAGACCCACCAAAGTTCCAGAACTGGTAAGGACCATTCATCAAGGCTAAACCTAATATAAGAATACATACAAAATCTGTAAGTGAAGTGTGCTAAGCCTGGAGAGAACACTGTCTTAGTAGTCAAAAAATGGGAAACCTGCAAATAATAATGTTAGAACACAAATGGGCTACCAATCTGCAGTGACACCAGCCTTCCAATACAAACTATAATTACAATGCAAATTGATACATGTCCACTTGAAGAAAACACATAAAAGCCATTAAATGTTTAGATTTTGACCTAAAAATCTGACTCCTTGGAATTGCTCCAACAAAAGGTTTAAGGCATAGAGGTATGGAAATGAGCATCACAATGCAATTGGAACAGAAAACAACCTTGATGTTCAATAGGGGAATACTCAGAAGCAATCATGACATATTAAGACAAAAGTCCATAAAAGCACTTATAAATATGGCCTACTTAGAAGAAGAAAAAATATTTCCAATAAAACAAAATTCTCATTAGTCTCTGACCACACTAATCGCCCAAGTTGCCAGATGTGGTAGAGCACGCCTGTAACCCAGGCGATTTAGGAGACTGAGGTAGGAGGACCACAGGTTTGAGGCCAGCCTCAGCTCAGCAACTTAGTGACAGACCCTGTTATCAAAATAAAAAGGACTGGGGATGTAGGTCAGTGATTAACAATCTTTGGGTTCATTCCCCGGTACAACACCACCACCAACATTAAAGAGCTTGGCAATGCTGAGTATTTCGTATATTCGAAAACATTTTTCTCATGTACTGTACACAGTGGCACCTAAATTATCAGTCATTTGCATTAAAAGAACAGGTGAGGGACTGGGTTGTAGCTCAGTGGTAGATGCTTGCCTTGCAAATGTGTGAGGCCCTAGGTTCAATCCTCAGCACCACATACAAATAAACAAAGTTACTATGTCCATCTACAACTAAAAATATTTAAACAACAATAACAAAAAAGAATAGGTGGTAGGCTGGAGATATAGCTCATATGAGTGCTTGCCTTGCATGCACAAGGCCCTGGGTTCCCCAGCACCACCACCAAAATAAATAAATAACTGGTGAGTAGCTAGGAGTAGTGGCACCCACCTGTAATCCCAGTGGCTAGGGAGGCTTAGGCAGGATTGTGAGTTCAAAACCAGCCTTCCCAACAGTGAGACACTAAGCAACTCAGTGAAAACTTGTCTCTACATAAAATACAAAATAGGGCTGGGGATGTGGCTTAGTGGTTGAGTGCTTCTGAGCTCAATCCCCAGTACTAAAAAGTCAGGTGAGTAAAATTCCCTCCTAAATTCTGAAACACAATTTGTTTTGCATAGGATCTATTCAAAACCTAAGATTAAGAGGCTGGGGATGTGGCTCAAGCGGTAGCAGGCTCGCCTGGCATGTGTGCGGCCCAGGTTCGATCCTCAGCACCACATACAAACAAAGATATTGTGTCCACCGAAAACTAAAAAATAAATATTAAAACATTCTCTCTCTAAAAAAAAAAAAAAAAAAAAAATTTACAACCTCTAAGAGGTTTTCTCCTTTCCTTCTCATGAAGCTTATAGAAACCTACACTCTTTTCCATGCCTGCTTCCAGTCCCATTTTAAGAACTACTTTAGACAACATCAGCCATCCAATTCTTCCCTTCCCCCTTTCATTCCTGAGGCCACTGATAGAAAATTTGCATTATAATACAGGGGAAAATATCAAGATAATAAGCAGCATCCAAACTTGGCATCAGAGTCACCTGGGGAGCATATTACTCAGGCTAAGGTACCCTGTTTTAAGTCTACAGTGAGACTTAAAGTTTTTTATCAATTGTCTCAATCCCAGCTGCACAACTGAATCATCAGAGCTTTAAAAAGATGATGCCTGAGCCCCCTCCAGAGGGATTTTAGTTGAGAAACATACTAGGGCATCCAGTATCTTTTTTTAAAATTAGTTTCCACTTAGGAACCACTGTTGAAGTATAATTTCATATAGTTTTAAGTTAAAAAAGCTAAACTGGTCAAAATATAATGTAAGGTCTTACAGACATTGATACCATGAAGTGGGAACAATAAGAATTTACATTTTAACAAAATTCCCTCATGATTCTTAGGCAGGCATATTGATTTGAGAAAAAAATCTTCTAGGTTAGTGCTATTCAACAGAAATTTTAGTGATGATGGAAAAGTTCATCTGTGCTACTCAATGTGGTAACAACCACTAGCCATGTAGCTAAAAAGTGCTTAAAATGTCCCTAGTTCAAACTGAGAAAATGAATTTTTCATTTGATTAAATGTAAAGACACATGTGGCTAGAAGCTACTGGACTATACAGGGCATAATTTGAATTCATTTTGGTCAGAGGGAATGAATTCTAGATCCAAATCTGGGACGGCAATAGGAATCCACAAGAGCCACTGCCTACAGAACTGTCTTCTCCTGTTAATGAAGACAAAAGCCAGGTGTTAAAAACAATACATTTATTGGGTTTTAACTAGTTACACAATTGAAATAATCAGTTTGGCACTACTCTATACAGGGATTATGCCTGTGTATGCTGACACTTAAAGGACCACTGCTGTGCTTAGATTGAGTCATTCAGCAGGTAGATACTAAAAAATGTTGTGGTGTTCCTTTAAGGAAGACTGTACAGGGTGTGTTATGACATTCACCAACTTGTGAATTATTTCAATCTAGAAGATATCTTGCACTCTATAAATCTGTTATAGGCAAACATGTGTTAGCAATTTGGGATGCACACACAAGTTACATAAAAATTCAGACATTCTAATGATAAATGAACTAAAAAAAAAATTCCACATTTCAGCTTTTGTAACATGAAGAAAATAACTTAAAAAAAAAAAAAAGGCATTCAATGGGTACAAAAGCCCCAAATCACTATAATAAAGAGCTACATGTGAATCTTTACAAATTAACTACACAATGGTGTCGTGTGAAAGGCTGCATCTGTACAAAGTCTTGCCAATGCTATCGCTATAGTTTATACAATCTTTTACATCTATGTAACATATATTAAACAAGTCAATTAAATACCAAGCCTTATTAGTCTCAACGATTCTGCAGAAAATAAAAGAAAAAAAATCACAGAATTTCCACAAACACAGCAGTCTTCCATTAGGTGAAATATAACAGTTTTCAAAATGGGTCAAACAATATTTGTAAAGATACAGGTAAAAACCAACCAGTCAGGATGTTTACTGTTGTTGTTTATTTTCAAAATCACACATTGTATACACACACAACAATCAATCAAAAATTTATTCAACAAACCCCCATTTTTTTTCTTTCAGCAACTGGCTCTATTCAGCACCAAAAACTCCAGTCTGGGAAACAGACTTTGCTTCTGTGACTTGGTCCAGCAATTCATCAGTCATCGGTAAGGTTCAAGAGTTGCCCTCCTCTTTTCCTTTCCTCTTCTGGCTCTCCAAGGCTCTCAAGGCTTCAGATTTATGGCCCACTGCCCTACTACCATCCAACAGCCATTTGGGAAAATTCAAAATAATTTGAGATGAGTGAAATGACAGGACTTGTATTAATGATGGGTTTTCTCCATTCAAAAAAAAAGAATTTTTTTTTCTTAATGAGTTCCTAGACTGTTTGGCCTTAGATGCCATGTTCGTACTGGGTAATAATTTCTAGTCTGAGACTTTGTGACTTTGTCAGATGCCTCAAACAAAAAGTATATTCTGGAAACACTATGGACAAATCAAGAAACCAAATGGCAGCTGAGAACCTGTGGACACAGACTAATGAGACCAAACACGGAAATCATCAAAATTATGAGAGCTCAACAAAGGCAGAGTTTTAAACCTGCAGAGAGCCACCACAGATGGTACCTGAGGATCTGGAGTTTTTGATGAAAAGAGCCTGAAGTGAGGACTAGTCATCTGTATCAGGAAGGAAAAAATTTCAATTAGGTAACAAGACACTCAACCCTAAAAACCCAATAAATTATATTTTATTTTTCCTATCCCAATAAAAGGCTTCTGGACGATTCCTTTCTAAAGAATAGGTAATAAATACTTCAGAATCCAGATAAATATTCTCACAACTCTGTAGAATCCATAGTGCTCAGGGCAACCTAGAACATCCATACCTCCATACAAGAGGCAAAAGACCAAGATTTCTTTTACCTTACTCTTCCCATGCTACTAAAAATACTAATTTACAAAGGTCCAAAAGCAGTCACATCAATTTTCTGCTTAACATTTAAAACAATAAGCCACGAAGGGAAAATCCTTTGGGAACTTATTTCCAGTGGCCATAGCAAAAGCCATGTTTGTATGTTTATTTTAGTTCTGGGGACTGAACCCAGGGCCTTGTAAATGCTAAGCCATGTGCTCTGACACTGAGCTACAACCCCAATCCCAAAAGCCATGTTTAAAAACAAATACTCCACAACTTTATCTAAACAAATATAAGAATGTCAGCAAAAATTTAAGAACACATACATAAAAATATCCACCTCTCAGTCACCGAAGAATGACATTTGCCTGAGGATTTCACCGTCTTTAAATTCAGAACTTTGCTGACTTACCTCCTATGCATAATAGCATGGTGACACAAGGAGATCCGTGAGAACAAGCAGTTGGTCATCAGTGAATTGCTGTTTGTGTTCTTGCCAGTTGTCATGGTGTGTCCTTCGAAAATTGGATAAGGTCTTTTTTACAGTCATCTGTAGAGAAGGCAACCCACATCATACATTTTAATATCTCCGAACAACCAGGGTTGTATGTACTGTACCTTTAGCTAAGTAATAATCCATAGCTGATTCCAGATCTCATAAATTGTGACATAATGCTACAAAAACAAGCCAATCTTGTTTTCCAAAATCATTACACATCTGTAGAATTACTAACTTCACTTTAGGACAACCCACTGGAACTTACACTATTAGACCAGTTTCAGTACACACTTAAATCTATTTACAAAGGTTGAGAAAGACTAAATCATTTGTATTTTGAATTGTTAAATCTAGGAACAGAGCTGTTCACTACTATATAATACCACCACTATCTCCTATTTAACATTAGCTTCCTATGAGATACTTTCCAGATATGTTAGAAAAGTAGAAGGATAAAATTGAACTATCCCGACAATACTGACAATACTCTACTTTAGAAGCTACAGTAATTTTCTTGCTATATAAAGATCTCAAATAAACATGGGATTGAAGTTTCTGCAAGAGTTTAATAATTAATGGAAAGCAGACTTAGTCCTGGCAGAGGCAGTAGTTGTAGCAAAGCAGCAAGTTCAGGGTATATAGAAAATTATAAATACAAATGGTTTCTTATAAAACATTGATATCATACATGCAAACAAACAACTAATCGTACCTCAATAGGCTGAGGATCATTCAAATGTGCACTGAGATTCATAAGTAGCTGGGGCATCCAGGTGGGAACATTGTAAGGGCTTGAAAGAACACAAGCACCAAGTCCTAGCACCCCAGCATGGCGTTTCACCAACTCTGCAAAGAAAACAATAATATATATGGCAAATATGTATGGCCTTATACCGTTCATTACAATGAAATGAAATTATGCTAAATATTTTCAATGTGTGAATTTCTGCATTTAAAATGAATCTTCAAGAACATACACACTTCAAATTACCTTTTTTTTGCGGGGGGGGGGGGCACTGGGGATGGAATCAAGGGCCTTGCACATGCTAGACAAGCAATCTACCAAAATGTTACAACCCAGCCCTAAATTACCATAATTTTTTCCCCTTTTTTTTTAGGGGGGGAATTGGGCATTGAACCTAAGGGAGCTCTACCACTAAACTACCTCCTCAGCCCTTTTTTATTTTTTATTTTGAGAAAGAATCTCATAAAGCGGCAAAAGCTGGACTTAAATTGGAATCCTCCTGCCTGTCAGCCTCCTGAGTTGCTGGGATTATGGCTGTGCATCACCACTCAAAGCTCATGGTTACTTAACAAAGCTGCATGTACACGTTTTTGTAAGCATATTATGTGTGTGTACACGAAACATGGACAGTTAAGTATAGATAACAAAAAGAGACTTTGAAATAAACATAAACAATGCCATTTGATATAAAAGAGTTTGGTACTTCATTATTAAATAATAGACTTCAAGCAAACAAAGTAGAGTAATGGTACTTTACTGAAATTTGCTATTAACTATATGACATTATTAATATACTCAGTACTTAATAGCTGTCTACTCCAAGCACTTCCCACAAATTCAATTAATTTCCTACTTACTAATCTTCCCGTGTATTTTCTATTCTTGTTAGCAGTGGAAAGGTCAGATGCTTCTTTACATGTAAATTTCTCTTTAAACATTACATAGTAGTTATATGTTATTCTCATTTGGTTTCTTTATATTAATTACGTTGAAAACTCCAGTAATGACTCTTCTCATTCTTTCAATAAATGATCAGTTAAATATAACTATGCTAATAATGACATTTTAATGGTCTGCATATACAATGGTGATCCTTTAAGATTCTCTTAGTAGTGTCACAGTCATTTCAGTGTGTTTTAAGTACAATCTATGTTGTAGACTTCATTTATTAAAAGAGTTTTATGTAGCCATGTACAGTTTTCTTCATAGCTATCTCAATTTTAGCTTTTACATGCCAGGGATAACTATTCCCAGTATTAGCAAAAACCTGGCACATACAAGTTTAAGTCTGGTTAACTTCCAAAAGGGTATGGGTGTTTTATACCAGCAACATTACCTGCAGAAGGAATGGTATCTCCTACAGAACCAGGGTCTCGCTTTCTTTTCTTAGGTAGTTTTGTTTTGCAAAGTTGCTCAAAATGAATCTGCATAGGACTGTCCATGGTAAGGAAGTTACACTGTAACAGACCACTTAAGGTGGTAGCAGCCATTTCTCGAACCTGTAGGAATAATAATTTATATTAGAACTGAGATTCTAAGCCTGAGGGAACAATAGAGAACAAAGGGGAAATATGGGACCCGGGGTGGAGACCTTCCCTGGAACTGTTATGTAAATTTTGCATATTGTCTTTGGAAGTTTCTTGATAGAAATTTCATCAAAGTGTTTAACAATCAATTTCTGGGTTTAATCCCAACAGAGATAGACAGACACAGACACAGACACACACACACACACACACACACACACACACACACACGGGAAGTGGGCATGCATTTTTACTATATCTAGAATATACTGTAGCGAGACATTCTAACTTCTTTTTCTTTTCTTCCAAGATACTAATAAATTATCTCAATACCTCCACCAGAATTATTCTCTTTCTTAGTAGTAGGGTATACTTCTGGGGTGCTCTGTCCAGAGTTCACCGTGTATATACAATTAATTTTATAAGGTGAGGAAAAAGAATTTATTTAGCTTTCTTCTTCTTCTTCTTCTTTTTTTTTTTTTTTGGCAGGGCTGGGGAAATCAAACCCAGGGCCTTCTACATGCTAGGCAAACGCTCCACCAAATTACATATCTCTAGACCCCTTACTTAGCCTTAAATATAGGATGTCCCTCCACTTCTAAAAATTTTCCTTTAAATTCTGTAAGATTTTTCTTCAAAAAGATATTTGTCATAGTTGGGTGTAGTGGTGGATGCCTGTAATCTCATTGATTTGTGAAGCTCAGGCAGGAGGATCTAAAATTCTAGGCCAATATAAGCAACTTACTAAGACACTGTCTCAAAAAAATTTTAAAAGGGGCTGAAGTATACAGTTCACTGGTAAAGCACCCCTGGGTTCAATCCCCTCATATGCGACCCCAGCCAGAAGTCATTTTACAGTCAGATTATTATAAAGTTTTTTTTCTCAATACTATCATGAATAGGATTAACTAATTACCACTGCTATTTAGGATCACAGTTGCTTTAAACATATATAATGGCTTTAATAAATGTCATGGTTGTGCTTATTTAAGAAATATGTTTAATAAGCCTACTATATAAAAAAAGTAAAATGTATATAATAAGAATGTTCTAATAGAAACTTGCAAAAACCAGTAAATTTTAATGCAAGTGTTCTGCTACAGTTTGGATCTTAAATGTCCCCCAAAAGCCCACGTATTAAAAGCCTGGCACTCAATATTTTCCCTGATGTGCAGATGCTAATTCACAACGGAGTAGAGAACAGAGGTATTTTGGACTAGATAGAGGAAAGTGGAGGGAAAGGAGGGGCCATGGAGGTAGGAATGATTGTAGAATGAACAGGACATTATTACCCTATGTACATATATGATTACATGATCTATGTAACTTATATCATGTACAACCAGAAGAACCAGAAGCTACACTCCATTTACCTATAATGTGTCAAAATGAATTCTACTGTCATGTGTAACTAATTAGAACAAATAAAATTTAGGGGGAAAAAAAAAAAAAGGTTGACACTGCTGGGCGCAATGGCACATGCCTGTAATCCCAGAGACTCGGGAGACTGAGGCAGGAGGATCCTGAGTTCAAAGGCAGCCTCAACAATTTAGCAAAGCCCTGACTCAAAACAAAAAGGGATGGGGGTGTGGCTCCGTGGGGAGGGAGGGAGGGAGGGAGGAAAGAAAGGAAGGAAGGGAAGGAAGGGAAGGAGAGAGGGAGGGAGGGAGGGAGGGAGGGAGAGAGAGAGAGAGAGAGAGAGAGAACAAAAAATTCCAAAAAGCACTTGGCCCTATTGGGAGGTGGTAGAACCTTAGTGGGAGTTCTTTAAGTCACTGGAGATGTCACAGGGGACATAGTGGGACTTAAGCTCCTTCTTTTTTCACTTTGTAAAGATGAGATTAGTAGTTTTGCTCTACCACATTTCTTCCATGATGTACTGCCCTGCCAGAGGCCTAAAGCAACAGGGCCAACAGATCACGGACTGAAAGAAACCTCTAAAACAGTAAGTCAAAACAAAACTTTTTATCTTGATAAGTCCATTGTTTTGGGTATTTGTTAATATGACAGAAAGTTGACTAATGCATACTCTAAAATCTGAAGTTATGCCAGGCGTGGTGGCACACGCCTGTAATCCCAGTGGCTCTGGAGACTAAGGCAAGGGACAGAGAGTTCAAAGCCAGCCTCAGCAAAAGTGAGGCTCTAAGCAACTCAGTAAGATCCTGTCTCTAAACAAAATACAAAATAGGGCTGGGATGTGGCTCCTTGGCTGAGTGCCCCCTCAGAGTTCAATCCTTGGTACCAAAAACAATAACAACAAAACTGAAGTTATGAAACAACTTGAGATTTCTAATTTTTCATTTTCATTCCTTTAACTTAACTTTTTTAAAAAACATAAGGGGGGGGGGGGAACATTAGAAATTTAAATATTTTCACCGAAACCTCTCAGCATTGTTATAACCAGTCTGTTAGTTTCTTAGACTAAACAACATGCATTCCCAAAAGATGAGAAAGCTAGTTGGGCTCATTTAGGGAGGTAGAGAAATTTCCATTCCCATTTTCTTATGTGCCGCAATCTGGCTGGGCACAAATCACGAGCCACTCAAGCAGGAACAAACTTTATTTCCGAACTCCCGCCAACGCCACTCACGCAGCCTTCTCCCCAGACACACCACACCAACTGGAAAATCCCTCCTCCAGCACTTCCCCAACCAACTGAACTCCCCAGGAATCCCCTCAGGAACTCCAAAGTAGCCAGCACCTGAGGTAGACAGCAGGGGTCTAATATACAATTGAATACACAGCTTAACATAACCATCATCAGCTCAATGGCTTGCTGGCGTCACCTCTCACCACTCCTCACCTCTCTGTTCTGGCAAAAATGTGGGAGACTCAGCTATGGCTCTCAGCATCTCCCCCCTTCTGTTTAATTAAACACCAAGCATGTAGTTAAGGGACCGTGCCTATCTTAGGTTGTCCAATTCTACATATGGTCCTCAAGGCGTCAGCCTCCTGTCTTAGGTTGGTACTGTTGCAATTGGATCATACCAGTCATTGACTACTGGTTCAGCATACAGCCATACTTGTGGATAGGCCTTTGCACCAGTGGGGGGTGAGGTTCTTTGCCTCACCTCTGTTGGCCCCCAAATTTGGCCTTGTGCCAGTGGGGGGGTGGAGTTCTTTGCCTCACCTCTGTTGGCCCCCAAATTTGGCCTTGGTGCCAGTGGGGGGGTGGAGTTCTTTGCCTCACCTCTGTTGGCCCCCAAATTTGGCCTTGGTGCCAGTGGGGGGGTGAGATTCTTTGCCTCACCTCTGTCGGCCCCCAAATTTGGCCCTGGTGCCAGTGGCTCTCAGCACTTATGGATATAATCTATTTTGAGTGCTCAAAAATAAATATATAAAATAAAGTATACTACTGTTTTAAGTCCATAAAAGAAGTAAAATTTTCACAAAAATTCAATTACATTTTCCCCAAGAAATGAATACACACACATACACACCGTGTATATGTGTGTATATACATATTTTCCCCCTTTTTTTGGGTGGTATTAAGGGTTGAATCCAGGACCTTGGGCATGTTAGTAGGCAAGCACTTTACCACTGAGGTACATTAGCCCCAAAAGTGACTTATTACAACATGTTTTCCTTATATTATGCTATTTGAACTAAAACTATCTTTTTATACCAAACATTAATATAACCTCACCATAAAAGTTGACTTGAATTTCTTTATCAAAGAAAAACCAAAAAAGGATAGCAGTTCTATCTTCAGTTTACCGGACAACAACACACTTGAGAGTGAAAGTGCAGACTTGTACTCTCTTCAAATTGCTTTCATGCATGTTTCCATTAATCTCTTAAAAATCACTATGTGGGGTGATTATCATTCCCTAATACATAGAAAACACTGCGGTTTGTAAATATTATTTGCACAGTTCCAAAGAGAAGACACATTAAAAGTATGTCCAGTATTTTATTTTCCCATTTGAACCACAGAAAATCATGATTAGGGTACTAATCAATTAGAGTACTCACATAGATCTGTTAAAATTCAAGTTACTTTTAATAATTTATATCTTATAAGGTACAAATATTTCTGCAAAGAAAGACCATGATGGGTTCTTTAATTTTAATTTGTTATAACATAAATTTTACCTCTAATTGCTCATCCTCCAAAAGGTTTATAACAAGCCACCTGATGTCTTTAACTGCATCTTCATTGTTTAGGAAAATAAAGAGGTTATAAAACACCATGGTCTGGAGGTAGGTCAGTACTGTATATCTCGCATGCCAAGAACTGCTTCTTGCTGTCTGTGAGTGAGAAAAACATATAAATAATGATAATAGTACTAACAGAAGTATGAGATGCCTATAAATAACATAATATTCTAATTTAATTCTACTTTCACAGTATAGTTAGGGCAAGTTTATCTAATATTTCCTTCTGTATAAAAAGTTGATCTATTTCAGGTAGTTATTCAGAATGTATGATGACTGAGTAACAGCAAATGAACACAAAGGTATAAGTCAATTTTAGGAGAATTATTTACAATTAATGACTATAAATTCTTCTAAGAAATGCACATTATTTTACTCTCAGTGGCAGTTAGCATCTAAAAGCAAATAAGATTAAGAACAACTAAATTCCACTACAAAAATTATGGACCATTTTAGTCTGTTGAAAATATTTTTCAGTGGCAGTTAAACTAAAAATCTAAAAACTATGAGTATGTTCATTTTTATATTATATAACACATATATTACCCTAGAAAAAACTGAACATACAGTACACTAATTGCAGCCAGAAATATATCCAACCACTATAGGTCTCTAGCATAGACCAGGAAATAAAAGTGAATAAAATAAAGGGGAAATGGCAAAAGGGAATCACTACTCCCATCCCTCATAAGCATTTCATATTCAATGAAGTTCAATAATTAGTTCTTTGTGTATATAGGTAACTTTTGGCTTGTGTGATTTTTTTTGACCAAGGTAAAAGAAGTTGATGGCAGAGCTAGGTATAGAATACAGATCTGTTTCTTTGGTCAACACATATTGCTTCTTGTACTAAAATGAAAATCAAAATGAAAGGAAAAAAAATAAGTTACTGTGTATACTACAGCTGATACTGTAAAATTCTTAGAATGGTAAACTAGGATCCTAACCAAAAGATATGAAATATTGTAGTTAAACACTCTTACTTGGTTTAGCACCTGAAGTACCAAAGGCACTTGATGAGGGTAAAGCAACCCCTGAGACATTAGTGATAAACAAAGTTTTGCATCTCTTTTCAGTTCATCATAGCTATTGTCATTTTCCACGGGGGCAATCTAGAGAACAATAATAACAACATAAATTGAACAATAACTGCCAATAAAAACAAGGGCATGCTATATACCAAAATTACATTTTACTTTTAACAACTTCTCTTTTTTTTATATTTATTTTTCAGTTTTTGGTGGACACAACATCTCTATTGTATTTTTATGTGGTGCTGAGGATCGAACCCAGTGCCCCACGCATGCCAGGCGAGCGCACTACCGCTTCAGCCACAACCCCAGCCCTTACTTTTAACAACTTCTATGGAAAAATTTCAAACATACCCAAAACTAAAGAGACTAGTATAATGAACTCCCCATAAACTAATTATTTCAACAAAGACAAACTCATGACTAATCTTCTTTTTTTTTTTCATTTTTTTCTTCCCTCTGGCTTTCCTTCTCCCAAGTAAATTATGCGATGCAAACCCCAGATATTCTTCACCCATAAATATTTCATTATGTTATCTCTGAAACATCTCTTTAGAAAAGAGACCTGTTAAGTACATAATCATACATAAAATTATTTATAAAATATTTGGTAGTGGTCAAACTACTTCCCCCCCACACACACACCCCCATTGTAGTATCAATGTTATTACAATTGGCTTTCTGGAACCATTGGTCACACAACACTGTGTTTAGCTGGATTTTTTTCTGGGGGTTGGGAGAGGGATAGTTTTGAACCCAGAGGTTCTTTTTATATATCTATATCCCCAGTTCTTTCTACTTTTTAAGTCAGGATCTCACTAAATTGCTGAGGCTGGCCTTATACTTACGACCCTCCTGCCTCAGCCTCCCTCTTTGCTGGGATTGCAGGTATGTGCCACTGTTCCTGGCTAGCTGAAATGTTTTAAAGGTCTCATTTAAAATTTCTTGATATCCTGTTTTGTAATTTATCCCACTGTGGCCTTCTCTGACTGTACTCCCGTATTGGCACGTGCTGGCTCTAATAAGTCCTGTAAATGACCCACTGGATCTTTTTTTTTTTAATATTTATTTTTTAGTTTTTGGCGGACACAACATCTTTATTTGTACGTGGTGCTGAGGATCGAACCCGGGCCGCATGCATGCCAGGCGAGCGCACTACCGCTTGAGCCACATCCCCAGCCCCGACCCACTGGATCTTGACGTTTGATTTTATTGAAGTTTGGGCACAACATTAAGCGATGTTTCTTCACAGATATTTAATTTTCTTTTTGTGATGAACCATTATAAAAGAAGTATAAGTTTGCAAAATGGTGACAGTCATTCCTCCTTATTACCTAAAACACACATAAATAGAAAAGGTTTCCCATATACTGAATAATTATTTCCTATTGTCCTACAAATGTGAACAACGGTTTAAAAAAAAAGTATTATGAATCAATTAATTTCAATAAATTTGATGGCTTTAGTTCACTTTAGTTACTCTGTACACTGGTGCTGATTTCCCTTTTCACTATCAAAAACCTCAAATTGGGTCCTGAGTCCTTAATACAAGAATCTTGGTTTCTGGTATAGCAAGATGACCTAGATTTACCATGTGTATTTCTTGCTCCAAACATGAAATGAGTCACTTCTCTAAGACCTAGTTGTTTTATATTTAGAAACCATACCTGATTTTCTGTATTATTAAAAATTACTATTCTGTGTATTCATTCCTATTGCTATGGAATGATTCAAATTGTAGGATATCTAAACAAAAGGATATTCCATGGGCTGGGATTGTGGCTCAGTGGTAGGGCTCAGTGGTAGAGTGCTTGCCTAGTACACGAGGCACTGGGCTCGATCCTTAGCACCACACAAGATATTGTGTCCACCTAAAAGGATGTTCCAGAGTTCATTTCACCAGGTCCTATCCAGAGGCAATAGACACTAGAACTGTTTCCAGACTTTTTACCATGTCTTTGTGCCTAGTCATTTCACATCTTTATTGGTACACTTTTGTATAGAAGGATAGAATATGTTCATTGTCATCAGAAATGATGAAAATGCATTGTGTGTGCTTTGTTAGACATTGCCCCATGCCCTTCTTTATTGCTGATTTCTTCAGAGATTCACACCATTTGGTAACCAACACTAGATTTTTTTCACAATTATGATGGGTGAGAAATGAAAAATTATACAGTATGGTTTTAATTTGTGAAAAGAAATAAATTTTCATCAAACATACCAGGGATTATATCAATTTAGGAGAAACAGGCAAAGTTCAGTATTATCAAATTTTTTTGCATGTCTATAACAGGAATTTGACCATGTAGGAAGCCTCTCCTTGACAAGTTTTAGGCTCTTTGAAGCCCTCTTTCTGAATAGGCTCCATCCATGGTCTCCACTTTCTGGCCTACAGTGTCTAATCTTAGCAGACTCCCACTAATTCAGTTGAATAAGAACCCCCACCCACATCCAATCACATTCTTCATTTCCCACCACTGCTATCTGACCACTCATGGCCTGCCTTCAGCAAAAATCCTGTGAAGGCAGTCTAGGAACAATCCTAAATATATGAATCCACTATGACAATTTGTACAGGGTTTGATGGAAATCAATTTTATTAAAACAAGGATTTCCTAGACAAATAAGAACTAAATAAAACTTTAAAGCCATATTTTTTAAATACCCCCCAAAATATAAGGGGATTTGGGCTGAGGACAGTGGCTGGAGAAGTGCTTCCCTACCATATATGAGATCCAGATTTGATACCGAGCACCACCCAAAACAAACAAACAAACAAAAAGACCATATATAATATAAAAATGGCATTAAACAGTATATGGTACAAAACAAATCTGATTTCTTCATTAAAACAAATAGGGATGCTATGTTCTCCAGAAGTATATTCTTTAACATCAGTCACTGAAGAAGTTGTCCCTAAAACAAATTTTAAAAACAGCAAATAAAAAGCACCTTAAGGGGCTGAGGTTATAGCTCAGTGGTAGAACACTTTGTGTATCATGTGTGAGGCACTGGGTTTGATCCTCAGCACCACATATAAAAGCCAGGCAAGGTGGCCCACACATGTAATCCCAACACTTTGAGAGGCTAAGGCAGGAGGATAGAGAGTTCAAAGTCAGCCTCAGCAAAAGTCAGGCACTAAGCCTCTCAATGAGACCCTGTCTCTAAATAAAATACAAAATAGGGCTGGGGATGTGGCTCAATGATTGAGTGCCCTTGAATTTAATCCCCAGTACCACTCCCCCGAAAAAAGCAATAAATAAATAAATAAATAAGATTTTGAAAAGGAAACATATATAACAGGCTTGTAATTCAACCACACCATCATGTCTTAATTTGGTTAATCAAGAAAAAGCAGTAAGAGTACTTCTTTACAGACAAGTGCACAAAGGCTTAAAAGTGGTGACTCCAAGGACTAGTAGAAGAGGAAAGGGGCATGAGAATACAAGTTCTTATAAACAATTGCTGTACCATTTATATATATCTTCATACTACAGTATTTAAAAACAGAGTAAATGTGAAGACATTTTGAACAATATACTAATTTTGAGAAAGGTGAGAGGAAGAATAGATAAATGTGAACTAGATATCAAGATATTACCAGAGAAAAACCTCAGTAATTGGCAGAGGAAGAGAAATAGATCAATGGAAAAAAGTGGAGGTCAAAAACACTTTATACATGTGGAGTATCACTTTTGTGATATGCTTGGGGCCTGAAATGTTTCAAATTTTGAGTTTTAAAATTTTGGAATATCTACATACACATTATGTGTTATCCTGGAGATGGGACCCAAGTATAACTATGAAATTCATTTTTGTTTCATATATACCTCATATACACATAGCCCAGGGTAATTTACACAATATTTTAAATAATGCCTTGCATGAAATGAAGTTTGGCTATAGCAGCTGAAAGAGCTGCTTCCCTTGAGGATGCTGAATAAATTATGTGCCTGTCTTTGACCCCTCAACACTCAACACATGAGGTCACGTGAAATTTTCCACTTGTGACAACATGTCAACACTCAAAAAAGTTTTGGATTTGGGAACATTTTTCGTTTTCAAACTAGGGATACTTAGCTGGTATAAAATAAAAAGCAAATACAGATGTAAGCAATAAAAATATAAAAGTGATAAAAAACCAAAAGCTATTTAAAAAATTTTTTTGAACTAGCAAAAGTTTGGAACGTTAAATTATTTAAAACTTACAAAATAAATGACGCTGGAGAACTGCAAGTCTGAGGCCAGTCTGGGTAATAAAGCAAGAGCCTGTTTCAAAATTTTAAATGGCTGGGGGGTATATCTCAGTAGTAGAGCACTGATTCTGGTAATGGTTTAATCCCAGAACCATGGGGGGGGGGGGCGGGGGCGGGAATCAAAAACCAAAAAATGACGGTAAACTGTTAGCCCTAAGAAACTACTGCCCATTTAGCTAACAAAGGATTACAGGTTCTTTTTCTGTAATTTTTGGGCAAAATGATTTTCCCAAAGAAATGCTATCCATGAAAAGTAACTGTATACCAATTATCACAATATTTGCAATTTTTTTCTACATCTGACATATGCAAAACTATTATTCTACAGTAGAGGAATTTTTTTTTCTTTTGTGGTACTGGGAATCAAATTAAGATTCAGTTAAATAATACTGACATAGCAATATAAGTATGTACTTCAAACTGAGCTCTCTGCTTTATAGGAATTATTTCACTTCATCCTTGTAACAATTCTATGAGGGATACTAATATTATCACTTTAAAAATTAAAAGACAGTCTTATAAGTTTAGTAACTTGTAGGTCACAATCAAAAAGTCTACACACCTCAAAGCCAAGGATCTCACAACTATTTTTGTTTACAAAATCTTTTTCCTTAAAATCTTAAGATACATAAAGGTTTTAAAAATGAAAATGGAAAAAATATTCAAACTTTTACTTTGATATATACATATTTCAAAGATTTCTTGATTTTGATGAATATAAAACTGCTTTATCTGGGATACAGCACTCTCATGTTAATCTTGTGTCTGACACAACTCTTAAATACTTTGCACACGTAGGTACCCCTTACTCTTTGTTTAGATCCAACAGATTAGTACACTATCATATTTCATCTGAACTCTTTGGCATTTGCTAACAGCAATGCAAGGAACAGAAAATTGAGATGACATGGCACTCCTGTTATTTAATTCTGCCACTCACTTCTCAATTTGGATAGTGAGGAATACTTATTACAAACTCACTTAATTTTCATAACACCTCTAGGAGGTGAATGATTTTTATTACTCCCTTTTTTACATATGAGCAGAAAAAAATGTTCTGAGGGGTTAAGTTACTTGCTTATGGTTACAGAATTAATTCATCAACCAAGACTGCCTGGGTCCAGAGTTCATGCTGTTAAACACTACACTCTCCGCCCCTGGCTGCCTACGTAGTGAGTAACAGCAATAAAACCAAGTACAAACTACTTTAGGATAAATTGGGTATTAAGTTTTATGAGCTACATAAGAAAGTATAAAATATCTACTTATTCATCTGGGAAAGCATATACTATATAGTTTAGGTACCAAAAAAGGAAGCTAAAGAACAACTGTATGATCTTATTTTTAAAAAAACTGTATACAAAAATAGCATCTGGAGAAATACAAATAAAAAATTGCGTATCAGCTTTCTTTGAGGTATAGACACACAATTTAAAGAGTTTGGCCCATCTTTACATTCTAGACTTTTTAAAATAAGCATGTACTACTTTGGAGGGTACTGGGATTAAACTCAAGGGCACTCGACCAATAAGTCACACCCCCAGCCCTATTTTGTATTTTATTTAAAGATAGGGTCTCACTGAGTTGCTTAGTGCCTCACTTTTGCTGGTTTTGAACTCTCTATCCTCCTGCCTCAGCCTCCCGAGCTGCTGGGATTACAGGCACATGCCCCCATGCCCAGCAGCAAGTATTACTTCTATAAAATAACAATAAGTTAAAAAAAAAATGTAGGGGAATAATTAATGATAGATGGTGGTTTATTTATTTTTTACCTTCAGCTTTCCAAATTTTCCCTTAATAAACATTTAACTTTTATAAAGGCGGGGGGGGGGGGGGGGGGGGGAAAGAGGGGGGGGGGGGGGGGGGGAGGGAGGGGCAGGCAGTCCGGCTGGCCAGGTGCAGTGGCACAACGGCTGTAATCCCAGCAGCTTGGGAGACAGAAGGATCTTGAGCTTAAAGCCAGCCTCAGCAATGGCAAGGCACTAAGCAACTCAGTGAGACCCTGCTTCTAAATAAAATACAAAATAGGGCTGGGGATGTGGCTCTGTGGTTGAGTGCCCCTGAGTTCAATCCCTGGTACTCTCCCTGCCCCAAAAGAGAGAGAGAGAGAAAAGGAAGTTTATATATAATTACTGAAAATTTCCTTAAACTCATTTACATTAAAAAAAGCGGGGTGAGAAGCCATGTTTTAAGCTATCATTCACTGGTCTCTCCTCTGAAATATATGTTGGCTACCCATAATCACACAAGCATAACTGATTTTTAAATAAGTTACGGGGCATACTTAAATTGAACTTTCTCCGTGTTTGTTTGTGAAGACTCATTCCATCTTTGACCTTCTTTTTTCCATTTACACCAATTAGTCGATATCTCATTCAGTGTAATGGATGGATGGATTGATTGATTGATTGATTAAATAGTTTTTAGTTGTTGATGGACAGCTAGTTGTTCATTTTATTTATTTGTATATGGTGCTGAGATCGAACCCAGTGCCTCACATACGCTAGGTAAGTGCTCTTCCATTGAGCTACAACTCTAGCTATGTTTATACCTGAACTCCAAGTGCCCAAACATTATCTTCACTTACAAGCATCATCACAAAATAAACATCTCAAACATGTTCAAAATGAAAATTCTGATCTCCTTTCAAATTACTCATGTGGTCCTCCTACAGTTTAATAAGCAGCAAGTTTCTTTTAAATGCCTCTATGTTCAAACGCTATACAACTCATCTATCCCCAGGTAAGATATGAGTACTAGTAATTATATAATGATTTAAGTCTTTCACAAGTTTCAAATTGATTCAAATCACCTTTCTCCCCAACCTCACTCTCGCATGCTTCCTTTTGCAGGTCAAAAGGGATGTACTGATTTCAACCATAACCTTACCTTAAAAAACAATGGCAGAAGCTGAAGTTGTTCTGTGACTGCTGTAGAGAAGGATCTGCCTGCACTTGCCATCAGCCACTTCAATACTATTTGGAAATAAACATGCAGAATCAGTCATTATAATCAAATTAGAGACCCCAAAGTAAGTGATATTTTAATGCTAATGTCAAATGGTCACTCTGACAACTCTTTATATATATATGTAGTTCTAGAAGCACACAATAACTTTATTTTACTTGTTTATTTTTATGTGATGTTGAGCCCAGTGCCTCATACATGCTAGGCAAGCGCTCTACCACTGTACTACATGCCCATACCCACAACTCTTTCATGTTATGAAAGAGATCACATATGATACTTCACATATTAGACACTAATCGATCAGGAGTATAACAACCCAAAATAAAGACCCTCAACCAATCCAGATTACTGACACAATTCCTCAAGAGAGAATGAAACAATCTACAAATTATTAACAACCCAAAACACAGAATATATTAAAACTAGCATTTTTAGAATCCTAAATTGGATAAAATAATGACCAAGTGGCTTATACTAAGAATCCTTGATAGTATTTTAGATAAAAACAAAAGACAACCCTGAAGAACCAAAACTATCTTTGGCCTTGTTGTCCCAGGAAACAAAAGAAAAAGCAGATAAATTAGAGCTTATCAAAACTGAACTTTTGTGCCTGGCACATGGCACACACCTAATAATCTCAGCAATCTAGTAGGGTGCGAAGGAGAATCGCAAGTTCAAAGCCAGCCTTAGCAACTTAGTGAGGCCTTAAACAACTTAGTAAGACCCTGCCTGAAAAAATAAAAAGGGCTGGGGGGTGTTGCTCAGTGGCTAAAGGATTCTAGGTGTAATCCGTGGTATCAAATCAAAACAAAAACCCTGAACTCTGTGCAACAAAGGACATTACCAAGAGAGTTAAAAAAAAAAAAAAAAAAAAACACCAATCCCAGCAGCTAGGGAGGCTGAGGCAGGAGGACTGCAAGTTCAAAGCCAGCCTCAGCAAGTGAAAAAGGCCCTAAGCAATTTAGTGAGACCTGTGTCAAAATAAAAAATAAAAAGGAGATAATGCTCAGGGGTCAAGTGCCCTTGGATTCAATCCCTGGTACCAAAAAGAAAAAGAAACACAGTATTTATGAACTGTCTACCCAATAAACTACTGATATCCAGAATTAAAAGAAGTACAAGTTGCTGGGTGTGGTGGTGCATGCCTGCCTGTACATCCCAGCAACTCAGAAGCAGAAAGATTTCAAGTTCTAGGCCAGCCTCATCAATTTAGTGAGACAATCTCAGAATAAAAAATAAAAAAGGACAGGCTAGCTCAGTGGTCAACTGTTCCTAGGATCACTTCCCAGCACCTAAAACAACAAAGGAAAAAACTACAGGTAAGGGCTGGGGATAAAGCTCAGTTGGTAGAGTGCTTGCCTCACATGCACAATGCTCTGGGTTCAATCCCCAGCACCACACACACACACACACAAAAAAAACCTACAGGTAAATAGCAACCAGTAACAAAACAACCTAAAAGTGGGCAAAGAACATGAGCTAACATTCCTCCAAAAAAAATATACAAATGGCCAATAAATACAGAAAATGACGTTCAACATCACTTATTAGGTAAATGTAAATCAGAATTAGAAAAGATGACAGATATCTCTTTGTTCCCATTATTATGGCTATATAGAAAAGTGGGCAGAGGGGTCGAGACAAACCCAGAAAATAACAAGTGTTGGCAAGGATATGGAGAAATCAGAACCCTTGTGCATTTGATGACTGCAAAGTGAAATGGTACAGCTGTTGTAGAAAGCAGTTTGACATTCAAAGAGATAAAGAGTAGTATCATAAAGTCCAGTAATTCCACTTTTAGGTATACCCCTCAAAAAAACTGAAAGCAGAAACTAACAAAGATAGTTACATACCAACACTAAAAGTAACATTACTCATGATAGTTAAAGGAAATAGTAGGAATCCATTTTTTTAATTCATGCTACAACATGGATTAACCATAAAATACTGTGCAACATGAAATACACCAGATCTAAAAGGACCAATATTGTCTGATTTAATATTGTATGATATGAGCTACCTAGCATAAGGCAAACTCATAGAGACAGAGTAAAATGATGGTGGGTAGGAGTTACGGGAGGAAGAATGAGAAGCTATTTTTTTTTTTTTAATGGGAACTCAGTTTCAGTTTTACATAATAAAAACCACTGTGGAGACAGACAGTGGTGATAGTTACACAACAGTGTGAATACACTTCATGCCAATGTATGCTTAAATACATAAATTTCACACCATGCGTATTTTAGCAAAAAAAAAAAAAAAAGTGGGAAAAAATTCCAAAGGAGAATCAAAATAAATGTGTTTTCAAATGAATTTCTAGACTTTAGCTACTCACTAGTTTTTAAGAGTTTAATGCCCTGAGTTCGTTCATCTTCTTCACCAATTCCATTTTCTTCCATAACATGGTTCTGAATTTCTTCATCCACATCCATAAGGGGTTTTAATTTCTCTAAAATTCGAGCAGTAAACTCAGGAATACAAGGGGATGTTGTTGGCGCAGTATTTGGCAAAGAAACATCTATCATGAATATGTAGGTCAGCACACTGTTAAATGAATTACATAATAATAAGACATCCCATATTAACATTCAAACTGATGTTCAAAAATTGTGACCCAACCAAAATTAATTTTCCCAAGATAATTCCTGGAGATCGTCTCAGATTGTCTCTATGTGTAACACAGGGTACAGTGATTGTTGACCTTTGGCCTCTGATCAGACTGCCTTCCTAGTTTATATTCAAGAGTGCTTTGACTTGTTTCCCACAACATAACAGTAAACAAAATTTGAGGAAGAAGAAGCAATGAAACTCACCAGGAAATAATGAGCATGTATTGTTAGATATTAAAACTTAATAAAAAGAACTCAGGAGTAATGCTGTACCACTGAGAAAATAATACCTACCTCCCTATTCTTTCCCTGACATTTTTGTAAACCTGGGTGAGTTTGGGTTCCAAGTACTTCAGTAGTCTGTGCAATAATTCAGGCACTCTCCACTCTTGCTGGGCAAGGCCACCTTGTAGTACATAAAGTCGACTAAAAGGAGAAAAGCATTGTGTTACTGCCCCTTTCTGCATTTACGTACCAACAATATAGATAAACAATGTCTGGATTTCACATAAAACTCCTTCCATGTAATCACTTAATAGATAATGACAAATCTATATTTTAAAAATGCCATCTTTATGAAGTTTTTGTTGTTGTTGTTGTTTTTACATTGCCTACATCATTTTTTTCTATATCACATTTAATTTCCACTACTATACAACTGGGGAAAAAAACTCTTGACTGGGCGTGGTGCCACATGCCCGTAATGCCTGCAACTTGGGAGGCTGAGGCAGGAGAACTGCAAATTCAAAGTCAGCCTCAGCACTTAGTAAGGCTCTAAGCAACTCAGCAAGACCTGTCTCTACATAAAAAAAGCGCCAGGAATGTGGCTCTGTGGAAGTACCCTTGGTTCAATCCCTGGTATAAAAACAAAAACAAACACAAACAAAAAACAACCCCCTGGAGAATCTTTAAAAATTAGAATTCAAGCTGGGCATGGTGGTCCATGCCTGTAATCCCAGCTACTTAGGAGGCTGAGGCTGAAGGATTGTATGAGGAGCTAGCCGGGGCAATTTAGCATAATCTATCTCAAGACAAAAAGAGGGGGGGAAAGCGCATGAGCACTAGGATGTACCTCAGTGGTAAAGTGCCTCTGGGTTCAATCCTCTCTGTACCACTGGAAAAAAGAATTATCATTCAAGGTTTTTCACAAACCAAATATCTATTCTTTGTTTTAATGAGATTTGTTGACTTTTTTTTTTCTATTGTCAACTATCTTTCTCCAGTTTCACATGGCCTACCAAATTGTGCAGTTTTCCTTAAAATGATTACTCTCATTTTATGGAGGGTGGGGGCTCCAGGGGTACTTAACTACTGAACTACTGAGCCACATCCCCTGCCCTTTTTACTTTTTGAGACAGGGTCTCACTAAATTGCTTAGGCTGGCTTTAAACTTATGACCCTCCTGCCTCACCCTCCCTAGTTCACTAGGATTACAGGCATGTACCACTGTGCCTGGCATGATTACTCTCTTTTTTTAAAAAATTGTAGATGGATACAATATCTTTATGTTTATTTATTTTATGTGGTGCTGAGGATCGAACCCAGGGTCTCATGCGTGCGAGTCAAGTGCTCTACCACTGAGCTACAATTCAAGCCCCGATTACTCTCTCTTCTTTATTTTTATTTATTTATTATGTTTACAGTGCTGGGGATTGAACTTGCGCAGTTAGGCAAGCACTCTACCACTAAGCTACATCCTCAGCCACTTTTCTTTATATTTTTCTTAACAAGAGAAGTGAAAAATAAGATGTGATAAAGAAGTTAGTAACTGTCAAGGAAAAAAAAAAAAACAATCCTATTAAAAGATATGACAGTGAGAGACTATATCTGCCATACACTGTAAATGCTTGGGTTGCCTACATTTTTTCTACTTGTTTCTAACTGAGAAATAGATTAAGTAAGTATTACAAGTTATGATGAACTGTATCACACTGTCATCCAGAAGAAAGTAATTACTTCGTCTACTACTCAGGACCATAGACAATTGACTAACACAAAATCTTTGGTATTAACTAAGTCTTCTTTTTATTTACCATGCATCTACAAAGGATCCTCCTTCACCACTCAATGGTGATTCCAATAAGAGCTCAAAAAGCCAATGAAGTTTCCGAGGATCTCTGCTTTCCTGTGTAGAAGATATAAAGTAATAATTAAACACAGGACCTATAATTTTATAAATAAATTGTATCTAGTTATTTTAGAAATATTAAAAATGCATAAACATACAGGATTAAAACTAAAACTGATCAATCAAATACAAATGTAGGGGCTGGGGCTGCGGCTGGGGCTGTAGCTCAGTGGCAGAGTGCTTGCCTTGCACATGTGAGGCAGTGGGATTGATCCTCAGCACCACATAAAAATAAGCAAATAAAATAAACTCATGCTAAAGGGGAGGGAGGAGAAGGGAGGGGGCATAGGGGTAGGAAAGTCGGTGGAATGAGATGGACATCATTACCCTTTGTACATGTATGAAGACACGAATGGTGTGACTCTACTTTGTGTACAACCAACCAGAGATATGAAAAATTGTGCTCTATACGTATAATATGAATTGTAATGAGTTCTGCTGTTATATATAACAAATTAGAATAAAAATAAAAATAAAGGCATGCTGTCCATTAAAACAAACAAACAAATGTAATTCTTCTCATAGCTCATGTTAATAGGGACAAATTGTTAGGTACATGGATTGTCCTTAAATTGAAGTGTGCTGAGCTATGAACATACGTGGAGTCAAAAATAACACCTATAACCTTGTACTGTGTGAATTTTAGTATATATCAACTACATTTCAAATATGTGATTTGACTTGACAAATTAAAAATGCATTCTGCTGGGTGGAGTGCCACCCAGCTGTTAGGAGGCAGAGGCAAGAGGATTGCAAATTCAAGGCCAGCGGGCAAACTAGTGAGACCCTGTCTCAAAATAAAATGTTAAAAAACAAAAATGGCCAGGGAGATAGGTCAATGGTACAGCACTTGTCTAGCATGCACAAATACCTGGGTTCCAACCCAGTACTGTAATAAAAATACTATAAGTAGAGAAGATAAAAAATAAAAATACTATAAGTAGAGAAGATACCAAAATCCTTTGGAGGATGAGAAACCTATGAACAAGATTTAAGATTCAAGTGGCATAATGAGGTTTACATTTGGACACAGGGCATAAAAAAATCTGAGCAGTTATGCAAGACAAGGAAGCAGGAGAACTTACACAGGATGTTGCTATGCAAGTTCCCCAGTCATTATAAGTTTCTACTGTAATGTTGGACAAAGCTGTTCTAAGCAGAGGGCACAGAAGCTCCCAAAGCTTCTCCACCTACTCAAAACAAAACACATGGGTAAAAGTGAGCAATACTCAGAACATTTTTCTTAAATAACTCTTCCTGGAAACGCACAAACTGATAGATCATTTAAATTATTTTCTAGAAAATACAAATAATCCAAGAAAGCAATTCAGCATTTTCTTATTGTATATATTTAGGTACAGGTCAAAATTTCTCCCCAAAACACTATACAGGAAAAAGAGGAGAAACTTCATATGGTTCCTTATAAAATCTGTCCTACCGAGCAGTCCTCTTTTTAGAAGGAAAAATAGAGGGGAAAAAAATGGGGTGGGTGAGGAGGGTGGGGTGAAAATAAAAGATCAGGGAGAAGAAGAAGGGGATTGAGGAGGAGGGAGGAGACAGAATAAGGGAAAAACAGTGGAATGAATCTGACCTAACTTCCCAATGTACATATATGAATATACTATACTTATCATTATGTATATCCACAAGATACTAATTTTACCCCCACACACAAAAAAAGGTAAATAAATAGAGCAGTAGAGTTGAGAAAAGGAAATAGGGGGAGGGAAGAAGGGGAAGGTAAGGGCCAATACTGGGGACTTTATTTGGAGCAAATTATATCCCATGCATTTATAATTATGTCAAAATGAATTCTGCTGTTATGTGTATGTAAATAGTATAAACCAATAAAATAAATAAATAAATCACAAAAATAAAAAATAAAGTGAAAGGGAACCTTAATAGTGATGCCAAAACTCCACTCCAGGCCTAAACCAAGACTGTCTCATGTTACATTTACCACACTCTATGCAACATACTTATTTATATATCTATTCCCCTTCTGGATAAGATTCTAAAAGTCAGGGACTGTGTCATGTTTATGACGTACATTTGTTTCCTCAGAGAATAGATGGAGGGGGTCCTCTTAAATTTTTTAGTAACAGTACACTAGACTAAATAAAATCACAATTTTAAACTTTATATGTTTATCAAGGCCATTTGACTGAATCTTAAAATAGAAGGCAATGACATTTTAATATAATTTAGGATTTAGCCTGGGGTATAATCTTCAAATTGCAAGTATTTATCATAAATAGCCTTTTAAAAACTGTTTCGTTGTACAGAGAGTGAATATATATGTGTGTGCTTCTCAAAAGTTAATGAGAATCCCAACTGTGATCTTGATAAAAATGCAGATTATGATTAATCTGGGGGTGAGGGGCTGAGATCTTCCTTTTCTAACAAGTTCCCAAATGATGCCCATGCTGCAAGTTCACTGGACTTTATTTATTTATTTATTATTATTTTTAAATTATTTGTAGTATAGAGTATTGAAACTAGGGATGCTCTATTACTGAGATAGCCAGCCCTTTTTATTTTGAGACAGGGTCTCACCAAGTTGCTTACAGCCTCACTAAATTTGTTGAGGCTGACCTCAAATTTATAATCCTCCTGCCTTATCCTCTCAAATCATTGAGATTACAAGCATGTGCCACCATGTCTGGCTGGACTAAAAAGTTTTTGTTTGTTTGTTTGTTTGTTTTTTAAGACAAACAGGGAGGGAGGGTTTGAGATAAAATTTCTGCCAAAAGCATCAGGCAGTTTTTTAAAAAGAAGGATGAGATGTGATTTGGAAAAAGGTAACTCAAAAGTGGCTCAAGCTGGACATGGTGGTGCATGTCTATAATCCCAGCTACTTGGGAGGAGGCTGAGGCAAGAGGATCATAAGCTCAAGGTCAGCCTGGGCAACTTAGAGAGACCCTGTCTGAAAAATTTAAAAAAAGAAAGGGCTTGGACCATGGGTCCAATCCATAGTACTGCCCATCCCTCCCCCCACCAAAAAGTGCTCTAGTAAAGATAGGACAAAGACATGTCCAACATGTTTAACACTCCTAAAGATGGCCCCAAACAAATATGTTCTCTTTGAAGAAACAGTGGCCTATCTCATATTTAAGCATTCCTTATATTTGACCATGTTCTTTTCAGTCTAGTGCATTTTCTTAACCAATTAACCTTAGGGCAGGGTGTGCAACTAACTCTTACAATTAAAAGAGTGATATTCTAAAAAAGGAGTTCCAACTCAAACTGTTAGCAATTTGGGAAGGGTAATACAGAGGAGCAAAGATGCTTACAGAAAGGATTTGGGAGGCAAGAGAGGCTTCATGAAAGGAGAAGCCCATATGCAGCACCGGCTAAATGATGGAAATACAATAATATGAACAGTCTCCAAGATTTTCCTACTTTTAAGAGAAACCAGAATTCTTTTCTTTTTCTATGATATATCCTGACTCTCCTTCTCCACTATTTTAGCAAATAACTCCAATTTTTAATGACAATTGAATGTTGTCTATTAATCGCAATTTTTTAGCACATGCTCAAACCAATATATACCACATTTTATGGATCAATATCATTTCACTTTTAGGTATCAATAACAATTGTGGTAAGAATTCTATATAAACATATACTATAAAATTACATCACCTTTTCAAATGTCCAATGCTTAGAACCTCGGATTAAACCAGCTATAATTTCTGCAACACATCGCTGGGTACTTTCATGAGAATCTGCAACCAAATGTTCTAAATGGGGCCTCAGAACTGGCAGAAAGGCATCATCAAAATTTCTAAATATACCCTACAAAAACAAAGAAAATTCAGTAATTAGGTAATTCTTCCTTAATTTACAGTCAAGTGATTTTTTTTTTTTTACTTAATTATGCTTCAGATTCTAAGCATTCTCCCCTTTAGAACTGCTTTAACAATGTCTGAGTTAAAATGATAAGGCTGCCATTTTACCTATCACATTAAAATGTAACTAAATAAGATATTAATAATCTTTTGTTTAAAAAATATTACACACCCCCCGAAAAAAGAATAAAATGCATAGTATTACTTTTGCTTCTAGTGTTCATTACAACACTAAAAAGTTTCCCGCATTCATTAAAATAAAAATCTTGAAGTTAAGCCAAGATCAATGATTAATATAAATTCCAGTGCCATGTTTATGAAGACAGATGGCTAAATTCAAACTTTGATCCAATGTTTAAACCTTATAAACCTACAAACAAAACAGTCACTGAACTTTAAGAAGACAATATATAAATAATATAGTTACCTTAAAGAGGCAAAAACGTCGGGGATTAAACTTATCTTTTCCTTTTCTGTCTTCTAAAGATAGAAAAGTAATTAACTGTTCAACAAATTTAGGATCAGAAAAATGATCAAATATAATCTGTTCTGCCTATAAAGTTAAAAAAAAGAACAATGTTCAGGAATTAAAATCTATTTAAAAACATGATTCTGAAAACTTTAAAATTGTAAGATTTTGATTCAATGGAAGGCTGTTATTTTGTTCTGAAGAATTTTTAGTTCTCACAAAAACTATAATGTTTTCTAGAACCAAAATAAATACCTCCCTCCTAAAATTGCTACATCCTTAAGAATAGGTGGAAGTTTTTCTTGATGTCTTTAAGTCTGGGTATCATATCTCACTCTGTGAATTAAACCAACAAACATTCTGCTTGAGAAATGAAAGCTTAATTATGTTGCCTGTATTTGCATGACACCAAAAATTAAAAGGAAAACTTTCTTCAGAATCAGCTAAGTTACATCCCTATTATTAGGAAGACATAAACTTAAAACTCATTATTTCTCAATGTGATATGTAACAAGTTCAAGGAAGAGTAAGTAGTTTTGGCTTTAATCTATGAACATCTATTTACTCAGTACCCATCATTTATATGCAATATGGTTAAAAATCAGCAAGTGTCTTTGACTTCAAGAAGCTTGTATCAATTCCAGCTTCATTAAGCACAGGAGAATTCTGCTGGAGAAAGGCCTTATGAGTGCAGACGATCTTTTAGCCAAAAACACCCACCTCACTTAGCCCCAGAAAATTCACACCAGATAAATAAATAAATTAGAAAAACCTCAGACAGAAATATGATCTGATTTATCACTGTGAACTATATTTTTTAAAAACAACTTATAAAATACAGATAATGAAATTATCATCATAAATGTTTAAGTGTATAGTTCGGTGGTCATTCACATTATTGTGCAACAAATGTCCCAAAGTCTTTTCATCTTGGAGCTCTATACCCTTTTACAATTCATTTTCTACTCTACCCAGCCCCTGAAATCACCACTCTATGAATTTCACTGGTACTGGTACTCTCTATAACGAAAATTAAGTTTTGGTCTTATTATTTTATGGTTTTCACTTATAGTTTCTTTGAAATGATTAGAATTCCTATCCTTTTTAAAGCTGAGTTAAATCTCATTATAGAGGGAAAAAACAAAAAACTATGTATCAGACAAAACTGATAAGAACTAGCAGCTAACTACACAAAAGCAGCACCCAAGGGAGTGCTAAGCAGAACAATAAATTCAGAGTACATTGAGACCTGTGTAAATTGGCAGTAACAGGTGTTGGGACAGTAGTACACATTCACTGAGATACCTAAACTAGTAAAAATGATCTGAACTGGGATTGAAATAAATCTTACTGATAGTAAGATGCGAATCTTTTGAAATCATGGTGAAATGAATGCTTACCTCTGTCATATCCTCCCTGCTTCTGCCAAGCTTAGGCTGCTCTTCCACACCAGCATAAACAACCATATTCCTACACAGTAAGAGTTTATATTTGTAATATATAGAGGAAAAAAAATTAGAACAACACAGATGAAAAATATTAGCAGGAACTTTTAATAAAGTCTAAGTGATGTTAAGTTTCAAGTTATGAATGTTAATGAAAGTCTCAGTGTAAGTTGGGCATGGTGGCACATGCCTGTAATCCCAATGGCTCTGAAGGCTGAGGCAGGAAGAGTGAGAGTTCAAAGACAGCCTGAGACAAAGAGAGGCACTAAACAACAACAAAAAAGAGACTCTGTCTGTAAATAAAATTCCAAAAAAGTCAGTGTGGATATGGCTCAGTGGCCAAGTGTCCCGAGTTCAATCCTGGGTACACCACTCTCCCCTGCCAAAAAGTCTCGGTCTAAAAAATCTATCATATCATTGTGTCCTTGACTGACATAAATTAATGGAGTCAATAGTCAAGTATTTTTATGGTCTGATTTACATGTGGACATATTATAAATAGGAATATATTTAAAGCAGCTATTTTTTTTTTTTCGTTTTCGGCGGACACAACATCTTTGTTTGTATGTGGTGCTGAGAATCAAACCCGGGCCACATGCATGCTAGGCGAGTGCGCTACCACTTGAGCCACATCCCTAGCCCTTAAAGCAGCTATTAATAAACTCTTTTGCAATATAATTATGGTATTAAGAAAGGCTAGGACTTGGGATGAGTCATACTTCAGTGGTGGAGTGCTTGCCTGGCATGTGTGAGGCACTGGGTTTGATCCTCAGCACCACATAAAAACAAATAATTAAAATAAGGAATGTTTGGAGCATGATATTTCCTATTAAAAAAAAAAAGAGAAAAAAGTAAGGCTAGGACTTTTAATACAAGGAAAGAGGCAAGAATGAGACACACACTGGCAGAGCAAAGGAAAGAGAGGAAGAGAGAAGGAGAAAAACCTTCAAGTGTCCCTGAACCTCCATAGACATCCAACTCTGATAAATCACATCAAAAGCTTTTTAATGATGAGGTATATGCTAAGTTAGAACTTACTTTGGCCAAGTATAGTATCCCCAGTGAGTTTTTTCAACAAAGCAACTTGACTCCCATTCTTTTTTAGTTCTTGGTATACTTTTGCTATTATAATGCAGCCAATGATTATCAGGCCTATCACCAGCAAGAATTTGGGTGGGTTTAGGATATCCACCTAAAAAAACAAAAAACAATCAAATTTGATTAAAAACATTTATACACAGCTAGGTGTGGTAGCATATGCCTGTAATTCCAGCAGCTTGGGAGGCTGGGGCACAAGAAGTGCGAGTTCCAAGCCTGCCTCAGCTATTTAGCGAGGCCCTAAGCAACTTAGCAAGACCCTGCCTCTAAATAAAAATATAAAAAGGGCTGGGGGTGTGGCTCAACAGTAACACACCCCTGGGTTTTCCCAGGTAACCCCGTCTGCCAAAATAATGTTTATAAAATTATTTTCAATTTTCAAATCAATAGTGCTACTATAACTCTGTCTTTATAACAAGGCACCATCTAATAAAATTCTCTCAAAAGACCACATAGGGTTGGAGGTGCAGCTCCACAGCAGAGCACTTGCTTAGTATACGTGAGGCCTCAGGTATGATAGCCAGCACTGCAAAAAACAAAACAACCATAACAACAACAACAAAAAATCCTACATATAAATGAGCAATTAAGGGAGTAACTTAAACCAGAGGAAAAAAGATATGATTATCCACTAAATGATTTTAGAATACTTATTTGGGGGAAGAATTATGCAACAAACTTCTTCCTATCAGCAAAATTAGAAGGATTAATTTTGTTAAAAATTTTAGCTTTGAATTAATTTTAAATGTACAGACGTTAAGAAATCCCCACATATCCTTCACTCATATACCTCAAAATATTGACATTCTCTTTCTCTTCACATATATACACAAATTTGGGGAACAATTTTAGTTGAAACTGTAGACATATTGTCCCTTTACCTACAAGGTATTTCTGTATGTACTATAAATAAGAATATTCATTTACCTAGCCTAAACAAATCTTCCAAAATAGTTAACACCGATCCTATACAATCATTTTAGCAACATATATTATTGAAATTGTTGTCCCAGTGAATGTTCTTCATAAACGGGAAAAAATTTTAAGCTTTTTTCTCAATCTGTGCTCTAATTTAGAAATAAACAAAGGACATGTGGCGATTAAATGCAATGTTTTAACCAATGATTGGTTCATTTATCAGGAAAAAGAAAGGTTTTCCTTGTGAAACATATTGATACAGTAAGGTATAAAGAAGAAAATCAAATTTGTCCCTAATCTCATCACTCAAAGAAAAACCTTTAATGAAGTGATAATAGCTATTTTAATTTTGTGAAATACAGCTGAGTAAATAATTAGTATAATTGTTCTGTGAGTGAAACAAATAATAAAAAGTAGATGGTGTATATTTGCCCGAGTGTGCATCTTAGAGATATCTATATTAAGAAAACAAAGGGTTGGGGGTGTGGCTCAGTGATAGAGCACTTCCCTAGGTTCAACCCCCAGCACAACAAAAATAAAAACAAAGTGAAGATACAGAGTCAATCTACTTTTGTAAATACTTATGTTATCCCTAGATTTTACTGTCACTATTCTCATACTGTCTCATACTGTCACTGTTCTCATACTTTGTGTTAATATCTATAGAACAATACTTAAGACCAAGAACCATAATTTATACATCTCAAGAAAAATGTATAAATTTTATTGAAAAGCACTACTAATTATTTTTGGTAATACTTACTGATTTCATAAGGGTTGATAGTTAACTTTTTGTGTGTTCTCTTTAGCTGCTTGAGAATTCCAGTAACAGCTGAGATAGCCATCTAGAAAACAGGTGCCATACAAGAAACAAAATTTTTAAAACCTCTTAAAAGACTGACTGCTTTACCCAAAGCAGATGCTGGATTTTATTTCTTACGAAATCACTTCCGCCAATGACAGATGATAAGAATGTGAGATCTGACTGGGAATGAGTCATTGGCAGCTGCCATTCTTCAATCTTAACCCAAGTTCTTTAGAACTTCAACCTTTTCTTTGTTCAGCTACTATCTGCTCATTTTTCACATCTCAGCCTAAGCATCTTTTTAAGAATTTTTCTCTAATATACTAGATAGTACCCTTCTTTAAGCCTCTATACTTTGAGAGCAAAATAAAAAGTTATGCTGTATATTTTTCCCCTTGTGCACACCTAATTTTCTAAATTTTCAAAGTCAGTCTTTCTGATTAGCCTACAAACATTTTCCCTACTGTATCTTCAGCGTTGAATGTAGAATGCCTGAACATGCCCTCATATTTACTGAATGAATTACTATTGTCTCTGAATCAACAAAAAGAGATTTCAAGTTAATAATCTTCAATGTGTTTATAGGGTATGTATATATGCATGTAAAGAAACTGCATGCTTCAATGAGATAAATATTCTCACACCCAATATAGTAGCTAAAAAAAGTATTTACCTTTCGAACTACAATTGCATCATGGTTGAGATTCTCAACAAAAAACCGTATGGCACGAAGAGGCAATACTCGATCATCTCTCAACAGTAGAGACAGAAGTCCAATGCCTATATGTTCAAATTTCCAGGGCCTTAAAAGGGGGACAAGTCAAAAAGCACATTACTCATAAAAAATATTGGTATTTGCAATATAAATATTAAGTTTCTCAAGAATTAAAATACCTAAGAACAATAATGCCATCATTAACCCCAAACCTCTCCTCCATCCCTTTCCCTCTTAGTTTTCTTCTAAACACACAATTCAGAGTATAATTTTTTGTGACATAGTCATTCATAGTCTTCCATGTAGAAATTCTCTATACATCTAAGATAAATGTCTTCATCATTTTTTTTTTTTAGGGCTGGGGACATAGCTCAATGGTAGAACGCTTGTCTGGTATACAAAAGGTTCTAAGTATGATTGCTGGCACCATGTTACAAGGTGCAGAGAGGGGGGCTTTTTGTACTCACAGGTTTCTTTGTTCCACACCATCCAGTAAAGTGTTTACCAAATTCTCATAGTTCCTTAATAAAATAAAATTCAGGTGAGGTATTGTTTTACTACAATACTAAGAAAAACATCAAATAACATAAACTCAAATTCTAACCAAATTCATCCTTACTATATTTCTCAACACCAGATTGTAAAAAGGCCTAGTAAGAAGCCAGCCAAATAAAAACAGACTGGGAGAACAAGGGCTGGGTACAGAGAATAACAGTTGTTTCTGAGCAGACATTCTGAAGTGAAAAGTAAATCTATAATTAGCATCCAATTAGGAATGGTCTATCATATATGTTATGTTGGCTATCTGAAATTAGATAGGCTATAAGAGTTTCTAAAGACTTTTTAGAAAAAAAAGCCAGAACAGAGGTGTGTACCTATTAGTTCTAGTACTCAAGAGAAGCTGAGGCAGGAGGATCACTTGAGCTCAGGAGTAAAAGGGCAGCTTGAGCAACATAGACAGACCCTGTCTCAAAAAGTATATAGGTGGGTTGGGACTGTAGCTCAGTGACAGAGCATTTGCCTAGCATCTGTGAGGCACTGGGTTCGATCCTCAACATCACATTAAAACAACAACAACAACAACAACAAAAAGGCATTCTGAACATTTACAACTACAAAAAAAAATGCTTTTTAAAAAATGATACTTGTCTATTAAAAAAAAAGTATTTAGGCATAATCATATACTAATTACAAGGCATAGCCAAAATCAAGTTAGAAAGGCTCCTGCTTGAATGTTATCAAACCACTCTACTTTCTAAAGTGCAAAAATACTCTGATACCAAATGTGATAAAAAACAAATTATTGTTAAGAGCTATTAAGCAATACATATGTTGAACTTCAATTTAGGATTTAATAACAGAAACAACAACATTTCCCACGAAAAAGTTGGAATACAATTAACCTTTATTTTTACGATGCTAATTTTCAATCTCCATAGATTAAAAATAAAAATTAGAGCTCTTTGCAATAATTATTTCCCAACTCTTTTGTATTTTCTCAAAAGTCATGTAAACATGGCATCTATCTTATCAGACCATTCATCAATTACCTTAGAGCATCAGCATTCTTTTCTTGTTGGCGTTTAAGCCCTTCCTTAATTTTTTCTGGGCTAAGTGATAACTGGTTGATAGAAGGATTCGGTGACTGTTGAAGTAATTCTGCTATTGCAACACATGACTTTGGAATCTTATTGGGAGAAAAAGAGAATTCTGTTACATACAACATGGATGAACCTTAAAAATGTTATGCTAAGCAAAATAAGTAACATTTTATGACTCCATTTATATGAAGTATCTATTTTTATATCTTTATTTGTTTTTATGTAGTGCTGAGGATAGAATCCAGTGCCTCACACATGTGAGGCAAGTGCTCCACTGCTGAGCTACAACCCCAGCCCCTGAAGTATCTGTTTTTAAAAAAATATTTTCAGTTGTAGATGGACACAATACCTTTATTTTATTTATTTATATGTGGTGCTGAGGATTGGAACCAGCACCTCACAGGTATTAGGCAAGTGCTCTATTACTAAGCTACAACCCCAGCCCTGAAGTATCTATTAATGGGCAAATCCATAGGGAGATAGAAAGTAGAGTAGTGATTTCCAAGGGTTAGTGGTGTGGGGGAATGGGAAGTGATTATTATTGGGTTCAGGCTTCTTTTTGGATGATGAAATCTTCTAGAATTGGAGCAATAACAGTTATATGACTGTGTGAATGTATTTTTATGAACATATATGAATAAGATAACTACTAAAGGTAAATTTTATGGCCCATGACTTATATTTCAATTTAAAATTTTTTAAAAAGCATAGGGGTGGGGGTGTGGCTCAGTGGTAGAGCACTTGCCTTAGCAAGCATGAGGCACTGGGTTCAATTTTCAGCATTGCATAATAAATAAGTCCATTGACAACTAAAAGAAAAATTTAAAAAATAAAAATCACAATCTAGTAAAAATTGCAAATAGCAAGACTGAGTTTGATCAAAATGAAATACATTTAAAGCAGTGGGAAGGGATGTGAATCATAATCACCTTAGGAAAGGGGGATTCGGCTACTTTCAACCTTCTTTAATTCACCCTTACATTCTGAGGGGGTAAGCCTATGGCATTTGAGAAGTTCTTAATATGATCTGCTACATCCCTCCATTTGCACCCTAATGAACTTTATATTCTTACCTATTTTTATATTCTTCATATTTTTATATTTTATATCTTTATATTCTTACCTACTTCAAAATCATTCAATTTTAATACCCCACACTATATAGAGTATGTTCACGCCAATTCATGCCTTTATACATGTACTTTTTTTTTGCATTACAATTCTTATTACACAAATATACCACAATTTTTCATCTGTTTATGTGTGTTATATGTGTAATAAGAATCGTAATGCATTCCGCTGTCGTGTATTTTAAAAAAATAAAATCCATAAAACTAAAAACAAAACAAAAACAACCCCCCCAAATTTCCAACAAAATAAAGGAATAAACTATTTTATTTAAAAAAAAAAATCCCGCACTATAAATTATGAACCCAGAGGCCAATCTTTTACTACATTGGATATGACCAACCTCCTATATTATAATCAACTTCTTGAAAAATGAGGCTATGAACACACACAAAATAACAAAGAACACAACAATGTAATAATCCATAGTTGCCTTTTGGTAAAAAATGGCCTGGCCCTCTCCTGTACATGCTCAAACTTGCTACTCTACCTTGTTATTTACAGTAATGATCACTAAAACCACAAAATGGAAACAGAAAACAAATGTCTTTTTTAAAATCGCTGCAGCTGGGTACAGTGGCACATGCCTATACTCCTAGCTATTCAGGAGACTGAGGCAGGAGGATCAAAAGTTCAAAGCCAGCCTCAGAAACTTAGTGAGGCCCTAGGCAACTTAATGAGACCCTGTCTCTAAAAATAAAAATATAAAAGGAACTCGGGATGGCCCAGTGGTCAACTGCATCTGAGTTCAATCCCCTTTGTTCCCCCCAGCCCACAAAGAAAAAAGCCACTAATATTATTGCTGAAAATACATCTGAAAAATAAAAGGCATTTAAGTAAGGCAGTCTTTCCATTAAACTCAAATGAAAGACTCCCAGCTAGCTGTGAGCTTCCTCCCATCCACACAGTGTATGCACCTACCTCCGACTAGAAATGCCTGTCTGGGGAGGTGGAAATAAGTATGGGGCCTGTGGGAGGGCAGTGTACTATGCTGAAGAAGTGCAGTGTGATGAGAGGAGCTTCCACAGCTGCTGCTTTCTGTGCATGATTTGCAGGAAAAATTTAGAATGCATAACAGTGGCAATTCATGATGAGATGTACTGCAAATCCTGCTATGGAAAAAAGTATGGGCCAAAAGGATATGGTTACAGCCAGGGCACTGGCACACTCAACATGGATGGCGGTAAGAGGCTGGGCATCCAGCTACAGAGTGTTCAACCTCACAGGTCTACAACAAATCCAAACACTTCTAATCTAATCTGAAATACGGAGGTGCTGGGAAGTGTTCAGGAATGGGGATTCTGTTTATGTCGCCGAGAAGATAATTGGAGCTGGAAAGCCCTGGCACAAAAAATATTTTCAATGTGCCCAATGTGAGAAGAGTTTTAAATCAATGACTCTGAGAAAGAAAGTGAAATCTACTGCAAAGGATGCTATGCAACAACAACAACAAAAAAAGATGCTATGTCAAGAACTTTGGCTCTGAGGGATTTGGCTATGGCCAAGAAGCAGGAGCCCTTGTTCTTGCTCAGTAAAGGTGGTAACCCAAAACTATGCATCGCACACTTGAGAATCTCTTCATAATCTAGACAGATGATTTCGTAACACTACACTACTGTGAAATTCTACCAACATTAAGTGCTGTATATTACCCTGTACTTGGATAAGTTGGCTAACTTGTAGGAAGAGAGTACTGTATCCTTTTACTTAATTCATCAGCATTTTCAGGAACCAATTCTTTATGTTTTAAATAAAACTTCAGCTTAAAAACAAAACAAAAAAAAAAAAAACACTCAAATGAAAAAATGTTTTCGCTTACTGTGAAGTCCAAGCCAATTGTTTCATATTGCCTGTGAATCTTTTCTGCAAGATCATCAAACAGTCTCACAATTGATGGCTTTTCTAGTGACATTGCTTGGCTAAGCCCTGAAGAAACAATTGCTGGCCATGTCTGCACAATACAGTCCCAATCATGAAGGTTTGCCAAACACACACCACTGTGATTTCCAAGGAGACAATACAAAGCACCCTGTAGGAAAAATTAAATTTATATGGAAAAGAAGAGACATTATTCAGTAGCAACAAACACATATTTATGTTGTTTTTAAATTTACAATGATTAAATGCTTGATATTGGTTCATAAAAAAGGTTCACTAATTTAACGTGTTACTTTTAGAACCTGAATTAGTGTTATCCACTAATACCTTTTCTAAGTCATTTAATAGAGGGTTTGCTGAAAGAATGACTATTAATAAGGTAATACAGAAATATATGGCTGTTTCTAAGAACACAGATTCCATTCTAATATTCTTTTACTATTTCATAAAGGCCATGAAATGTGCCATTCAGTATCTTAGGGCATAAGCCTTGAAATAATTTATTAAAAGTAATTAAAACCCAGTTGGCAAGTATTTTACTAGGTATATAAAAACTTGGCTAATTATACTATAAACATTTTACTCATAAAAGTCCAATAACAGAATGAATCTGATGGCAGCAACTACACTTTCTTTTCTTTTTTTTTTTTTTAAGATGAGGTCTGACTATATTGCCCAGGCTGATCCCCAACCCATGGGCTCAAGTGATTCTCCTGAGTACAGATCACAGTATAGATCACAGGCCTATGCCATAATGTCCAATTTATTTAGAGGGTACCCTTTCTAAGATACCCCTTTTTCCATAAAGAAGAGTTATTAGTATCAAAACATTTTATTTTCAAAACATTCACTATAACTTGATTCCAATCTCCTTTCTTACCTGCCCCGTATTTCATTCTTCTACAAGTTCTTTCTAAGGTCACTGATAACCTCAATTTTGCTGACCTAACAGATATTTTTCAATGTGGATCTCATTTCACCTCTCAAATTTTGTCCATATATACTGTTCTCAATAAATGCGGCCATATACTATCCAATGAGTTGGACTTTCTACAACATTCAATATTGGGGATCAGCAAACTTCTTCTGTTACAGGGCCTCTGTCACAACTTATCATCTCTGTCACTACAGCATGAAAGTAGCTACACATAATACAAAAACAAATGGACATGGTTGTGTTCCAATAAAACTTTATTTACAAAAGCAGTGTAGTAACTGACACTGGGCTATTTGATGATCAGTGCCTTACAATATAACTTCAAGGAACATGTTTAGAATGTTTAGTGCTCATCTTAATTCACTTTAGGAAGCTGTTGTTACTGAGTCATTCTTCTGGAAAGATCTCTCTGCCTTCTGTGATTCCTCCTCATTTCACGATAATTTTCTGACTTCTCTATCTCAAGCGCTTGGCTTCCAACAGTATTTTTTTTTTTTTGCAGGAGGATGGTGTTCTTTTTTCAGATAGTATTTAACTATGATGTACAGGCTGGGCTTAAATTCATAAGCTCAAGTGATCTTCTCACCTAAACCTCCTGAGGAGCTGGGACTACAGTTACCTGTTCGACTTGGCATCTAAAAAAGCTTCTCAGTACACACCCCTTGGTCCTCTTCTCATTCTATTTCTAGGCTCTCCAACTCACATCCAAAGGTTTCAATTATCATCAGCATATATGGAAATGTTATCTTTAAACTCAGATGTCTAACTCCTCCTTGATTATTGCCTCTTAGTTAATACGAACCAAATTAAACATACTAATTCAATAGAGTCTGTTTCTTTCTCCCTCTCTGATATGCCAAATAACCAGTTGTACAATCCAGAATTGACACCTCCTTTTTAGTATCCTCATATTAATTCACCAAGTCCTATCCATTCTCTCTCCTAAGTAACAATCAATCCATTTCTCTCTTATAAGAAATCAATGTATCTTACCTAGACTCTACTTCATCTCTGAGATGTAATATTTGCCTTATGTTATCTCCTTCTTTCTCTGCTCTAGTCAGATAAACTCACTCGGTTGCTACTCTCAACTTGGTAGTTTTTCATCCACCTTTCACATGGTTCAGCTAGTCTACTCAATCACTACCACTCATAACTGTTTTACTCAAAAAAAGTCTGCATCCTATATTTTCTCCATGATAATACTGATTTCAATCATAGATATATAAGTAAATAATTAGGAAGAAAAAATGATATTGTAACTATTTAAAAGGTGAATTGTACCAGTGTCTTTCATTTACTTTGAAATATGTCAAAAAATAAGATAGTAGGTGGGTAAATATGTGATAAAGCAAATATAAAATTTAAATATAGAACTGGCTTTTTGTTTTGCAGAGCTGGGGATCAAACCAAGGGCTTCATGGATGCCAGGTATACACTCTACCACTGAGTGACATCCCTAGCCCCCAAATATAGAATCTAAATGGTGCATACATGTAAAATTTTTTTTGCTTTCTCTATAGTTGAAATTCTGCTAAGGAAAACAAAAACATGAAATCCTGTACCTTAAATTGCTGTTGTGTGACATCTTGTCTGTCGGGACGTAAAAACTCCAAAACCAAGGGAATAATATCTCTGCAACAGAAGTTATATGCTCCTAAAGCAGCAAAAAATGTTTGCTGAGCCTTATTTCTGACCTGGAGGAAGTATTAAAAGCAAAGAACATAGATAAACTACAAAAGATTCCAACTGAATTATCAAAACCAAAGTGATAATTTTTGTGTCTAACTAATAGAAAAATATGTTGAAGTACATACTCCCCCCCCGCCCCGCCAAAAAAAACCCCAAGTAAATGATTACCAAAAGAAAAGCACATTACCATCAACCACATTCATGGTTTAAAAGATTTGTACTGTTATAAATAGTTTGATAAAGGGGAGAATGAATGAGACCAATAATCATTCGTTAAGTAATGTAGCTAAAAATATGGCTAAAATTAAGCAGCAAACTAACAAACATTTTATTCTGAGTCACTCTACATAAGCAGTGTCAGATTTTCTCTTTTGTCCACACAGGAAAATTAAGACTTTTTCTAGGAGAAGCATAAGTGCAAAAGAAACAAAGAACTTGCAAACTTCAATGCAAACCTTAAGTATAAGCTTCATACATTTTGAACCCAAATATTCAGTAAAAAATTGTAACCTATGGGTCTAGTTCAATAGTAATAGATAAGTGATCAGAATAAAATAAACACATTCTATATATTTCAAATTCTTTAAACATTATTTTAGAAGGATCTGTGAAAAACTAGTCACCTAATCTATATTACTTTACAGGGATAGAACAGTTCATTGTACATGAATCGATCTGCTTTTTCTAGTTTTTCTGCTTGGAGGTATTTCTTGGTCCTATGCTTAAAGAATTGACCCCCAAGTCTCCTGATAGTGGCTTCCTGAAACACAAGCATAATGCTGATGAGGAATTATATGGCCTTCATACAGTAGCTTTCAAAACTTAATTAAGCAATCTCATGCTATACAATCTTTAAATTTAAAAAAAAAATTTTTTGAGAAGCAATTAATTACCGACAGTACAAGTAATGTTTTACTTAAAAAAAGAAAATGGAAAAAAAAAAAAAAAAGCTTAAGCTGGGCACAGTGGCGCAAGCCTGTAATTCCAGGGACTCGGGAGGCTGAGGCAGGAAGATTGTGTGTTCAAAACCAGCCTCAGCAAAAGCAAGGTGCTAAGCAACTCAGTGAGACCCTGTCTCTAAATAAAATACAAAATAGGGCTCAATGGTCAAGTGGCCCTGAATTCAATCCCTGGTACATTCTCCCCCCACAAAAACAATAACAACTACAAAAAAAAAAAAAAAAAAACCACAAAGTTTGAAAATACTTGAAATTTTAAAGGTATTTTCAATAACAATGAGTTTCAGGAAGCCTAAAGATCAGTTATGGTTTTCTAACTTCTTGGTAGTTGCCTGTGGGAAAATTTTTAAACTCAAAATAGGGATATTCCAATTCCATATAGTAAAATGAGAATGTGAATGAGGCAGAGTATTTGGATAAGCCTTACCTGACTATATGAACTTGTAGATAATCGGAGAAGATCTCTGATCATATCTTGATGTATCTTTTTGTACTCACAACCCTCAACAGTTAGTGTTCGTAGCTAAGAAAACAACAATGTAAATCAGATCTTGAAATGTTTACTGAAAGTTCACTTATTTATCTGGAAAACTGGCATTTTAAAAAGTTGTCATGACTGAAAAAGATATTTACCTCATGCTGCAACATTACTCTGTCAATCAATAGTGCTCTGATATGTTGTTTTTTCCCATGAAGCTGGAAAATAAAGTAGTAAACACTTGAACATTTTTTCCTTTTTTTTTTTTTTTAAGAAAGAGTGAGAGAGAGAGAATTTTTTTAATATTTATTTTTTAGTTCTCGGCGGACACAATATCTTTGTTTGTATGTGGTGCTGAGGATCGAACCTGGGCTGCACACACGCATGCCAGGCGAGCGCGCTACCGCTTGAGCCACATCCCCAGCCCCTGAACATTTTTTCCTAAATGACTTCAACAATGAATTCCTCTGAATACTTAAAAAAAAAACTTAGTTTGAAAAAGGTCCATGGGTGGCCAGGTGCGTGGTAAAGGTATTTCTTTCATTCAACATTCATTAGGCCTGGGGCTAGGGATGTGGCTCTGGTAGAGAGCATGCCTAGCATGTGCTAGGCCCCTAGCACCACCCCCCCAAAAAAAAAGGTCATTAGGCTTATGCTTAAAATATATATTATCTCAATTAATTTTATGGCTAATAAAAATCTCTCCCTTTTAAATAGGCTGCTTATTTCTGACCATTTATAAATGAGAACCCATGCATGGGAGAACAAGAGCTGATCCTTATTCATTTAAATACTGAAAGTTCAAAAGCAGCCTTTCAAGAAAATTGCTCAATTCTATTAATGTCTATGAATAGCTCTTCTTGTTAAGTGCATAGGTATACTATGGAATATATCTTTTATATTTCTAAAAATCATCATGTAAGCTTTTGCCCACACAATCTTCCACCCAGTCACCAAAGATAAGACACTTGAGACTCAGATTATTACTCACAGCTTTACCACATTAAAGTACCCATAATTCCATCTTTTTCAAAACACACTTATCTCCATCCTAATACCAGTGACTAGATACAGACTGTTTTTTCATCTTGCCTATAATGATTCAACTGTACTCTCAGTTTCTACTTTCAATCTCTTAATATTTACTTTTCACTGAGGTTGCAGAGCTTTCCAATATTCAGTGAACTGAATATTGATCACTTTAATATTAAAATTAGATAGCTAAAGAACTTTTAGGGTTAGGAACATAGTTCTTGGAAGAACATTTGCTTGTCTACAACAGCTAGCACAATTAATATACAAGCTTTATAGATTCAACTTCAGTAAAAGTCTCCTATAGAAGAACATTGCTATAAACAGTTTTCCACTTAGGTTCTCTTTCTTCTGTGCTCCCAGAGAAGCTTACAATAACTTCTACTGGAGCTCAAATATAACACAAGATGTATCTTCCTCAGATTACACAAAGTTCATGCCTGTGGACAATTCCTCCTAGTTTTATTTCTTTACATTCTCACAAGACAGCCCAAATGCTGTTGTCCAAATTCCTATGGAGAGTTCACAGATGGATCATGGAAAGTGACAGATGATTCTGAATTAGTAAAATACACTATTTTTTAGGATTCATGTGATCTGTACCATAATGTTTTTATCCTTTATGCAATATTTTAAATCTATTTTTACTTCTAGGGGAAACTTCTTCTGTATGATAAATAAAAATACACAAATTAGGGCTGTTAAGTATCTCTTCAAAAAAACATTTACTCAGACTTTTAGGTGAAAATACTAACCCGATTTTCCATTGATTTCTTTACTAAGTTAAAACTTTTCCATCTAGAGTCAAATTCATGCTTGTGAGATCCTTGGAATTGTAAAAGGTCTCCAACAATCTGTGTCAAAAGAATTTCAAATTTTATTTACAAATCATGAAGGTAAGCGTGATCATATTAATTATAGAACTATAATATGGAAAACATACCTTTATGATTAGAAATAATGACTTGGTATCATCTTCTGAATTATCAAGTATGTGGTCTACAAAGGGAAAAGAAAAATATTTGGTTAAAATATTTTAAATTACTAGAAGAACCCCAATCCATTGATTCAGGAAGAAAACACTGCCCAATATGCTCACAATTTAAAATAATATACCTTAAACAAAAGCACATGCTATAGAATTAAATTCATAAACATCTATTAGTATGGATAAATGGAATATACACACACATATATATATATATACTTACTAAGAAGTTTCCTTATGACCCTAGCAATTGCTTCTCGGTGGTTCTCTCTGGATAGATCTGTTTTTTAAAAAACAAGAGAAGGATCTTTAGAATGTTCCTCAGACTACTGAATTTCGTATCAACAGTTTGTGTTAAGGTATAATAGCTGGGCATGGTGGCCCACACCTATAATGCTAGCTTACTAGAGAGGCTGAGGCAGAAGGATCACCTTGTTTGAAAATAAAATAATACAAAAAGGCTGACAGATGCAGGTCAGTGGTAGAGCATTTATCTAACATGCTAGGACTTTGTTTGGTTTTAATCCCCAGTACTGGGGGGGCAGGGAGAGAAAGCAGGAAAAAAAAAAGGGAGAAGCACAGAGAAAGGAAATGAAGGCAGGAGGATAACAAGTTCAAGGTCAGCTTCTGAAAATCAGCAAGACCCTGTCTCAAAATAAAAATAAAACGGGCTGAGTGTATAGTTCAGTGGTGGAATGCCCCAGGTTTAATCCCCTGTACATTATAGAACATTCCACATATCATAAGATGACTAGCTTATAAAACTTTGTTAGTGGGAAGGTGAAGAAAGCAAGATGGAAAAGGAGAGAAAAAACATCTCTATGGGTATTTCCAATGCTCTAATCACTAACTAGAAAACACAAATGTACAGAATTTCTTGACCCCAAATCAAGCAATTTTACTTTATCAATTAATGTATGTAAATGATTCTAGTAATAATCCACCTGTATAGAAGTGTGCTAAATTTCTGTTAATGTTGGATTCAGAATATTAACACATAAAATATTTAGTCTATTCTTTATTTCAGGGGAAAAATTAGGCACTGTGGCTTGAATCTAGAGTCTTGAACATGCTAAGCAAACATGAGTTACATCCCCAGCCCAGTTTCACATATGTATTAATAAAAAATTTAACATTTGGAGGTGTAGCTTCTATTAGAGCACTTGACTTAACATGCACAAGGCCCTGGGTTTGTTCCCCAGAACGAATAAAAATGTAACTTACTTTGACAGAAAGATACAAAGATTAGTAGAAAATAAGGGTCATAATGTTATCATTTACATCAAGTGTATCAGTCTCAAGAAGAATTTTAAACATAAGTAAACCCTCTGATATAGGAAAACATGCCTGTCTGCTCAGAAAGTATTCATATTTACTGACACAATTTCTATCTTTTACGAATTATTGTTCATATAATTTTCCATTTTCACCCAAAAATGATTACTGTGAAATTCATTCATTTTATGAATCAAAAAGAAAGTTTAACAAAATCAAAATTACAAAACTATTCTATTTTAATCTTAATAGACAAAAATAGTTCTCACATTTTCACTCAGATTAGGGCTCACATACCATATTCAAGTCCAGTGTACAACTTCGTCTCCTCCAAGGACACCATACTTGGTACCCTGTATAGAAACAAGAGTGCTTCCATTTATTGATAATACCAATACAAGAGATGAAAGGGGAAAAGTCTCATCACTAAAATACTTAAATTAACAGAAAGATAATGATCTTTTAACACAAAGACTTCCAATCTTCAATATTTCAATTCTTTAAACTTCCGAAGAGTAATGCTATCTACTTCAGTAAGAACCATATTAAAGAAAATGTAAACTTAGTGTCTTCAGGGTAAAAAATTCATCTCCCAAAAGGAACAGAATATCATTAATTCAATATTCAAATGTAAAAGCATAAATCTGATGATGATAAACATTTATACAAAGAAATTTTGGCTTCATTAATTATATAATAATGGTTAAAACTCAAAATTTTATTGCAGTATATACATATAGCAGAAAAATTTTATATAATTATCTCCCCTTTAAAACTAGCAAAAATGGATATGTCCTAATATCTACAGTGAAATGCTACTGCTTTTTAAGAAACTGACGTGTAAAAATACTGCATTTCCTAAAGATCTCCCACAAAGAATGTTATCAAAACCAGACGCAGCTAGTCAAATCATTAAAAGGTTAAAAGTCACCTTTTGTGTATGTGAACAGAGAATAAGAATCTATGCATCTGAAATATATGTTTTCATCAATGAACAGTATACTTCAATTTTCAACATTTTATTTCAAAATAATGAGATTCAATGTAATAGCTGGGTTTAAACTAAGATGATGCTTTCTAAAAGGAGGAACATGGATATGAACACCAAAGAAGCATGAAGAGAGAGCAGGTCCAATACAAGGCTAATTAATAAACAGAAATTATAATATCATTATTCATCATCAATAAATTGTGCAGCTCTTAACATGAAAATACACCCAACATACCCCCGTCAAAGTATTGAAATTAAATGAGTTATGAGTTATCTCTATTTTAAAAACGTTATGATTACATAAATGACAGTTATGTATATATGTTCCTCACATAATCTGGTGCCTAGGATAGCAGTAACACCTTCCCAGGTTTCAAAACCAAACTACAGAGTAAAAACAAAGAATGGCTTCTTTTTCTCTAATTCACTTCAAAGTTCACTAATACTTTATTGTAAAATATGCTAATTTGCTTTTCTGAGACTTTTAAGTTCAAATTTACTAAACTTCTATTCTAAGAAGTTTCAATCTCTGGCAACTTGCAAAATTAAGCATCTTGTAAATATAATCCAAAAATATATCTAAAATCTATATACTAAAAGGTAAAATCAGTTTCTTTTACAATGAACTTCAAGTCTACTGAAATTAGATTTCACTAAGAGAAAAGATCTGTGCTCAGAGTAACATGCTCCTCTGCTAGAACACAAATTGTCATGGATGCCTCTTCACTGCTGCTACAAACCTAAATGATTAGAAAATAGAAATAGAAGTCTATCTCACCCAGCATTATACCTAATACCATAGGTAACTGAATCAAGCATGAATTTTAATCAGTCCCATTATTCTTACAAATAGAATAAAAGCAATCTATAGTACATTAGTCTCCAAAATTTTTTCTATATCAAACAAGATTATCATTAATATTATCACTTGAAATGCATACAATAAAAACATGTGAAGTGCATTTCTGGCTCCAGTACTATAATCACATTCAAAACAAGTTTCATCTAAGAGGCCTAATGCTAATTTCTTTAATCTATGTATCGCTTTGAATTAATTTCCAATCAGAAAATTTCAAGAAATAGTATCATTTATGCTGTTTTCAAAAGATAGCACCTTGTACATGACTTTAAAATATTTACTTCCTCTGCTTTAAAAACCTGAAATTTATATAGATATATATAATGTGTTCAGACATATATTTCAATAATTCTGTCATCTACCACAAGTTCCTTTGATGCCAATTTATCTAAGATTCAGTTTTAATTTGATCTCCTTATCTACCCCAAATTAATTAAACACCAACTGCATTGGCATGTTTTATAGCAAACATTTGTTAGTAAGTATAAATAGATATTTACATTAAATATTTCTTCTGATCTTTAACCAAATAATTTTGTAGAAGAAATCTCTATTACCCAAGAAATATATGAAAAATTTGTATATATACATATATATTCTTCCCTCCCTCCCTCTCTCTTTCTTTGTGGCTGCCTTAGAAGTCTACATGCACCTAGAATGTACTCACTGATATTTAAAACTGTTTTAGAAATAGGTATCTAGTCTGTGGTATGGCCCTTGTCTATCATGTTTGAAGCCCTGGGTTTGATCTCCAACATCACAAATAAAATAAATAAAATAAAAATAAAACTACTCTTATCACTTATGTACATATTCTTAGCTGAACAGACTGCGGGAGAGCAGATCTATGTTCTGATTGAAAGGTATAGTAGCATCTATAATTTAAGTCAAATACCATCATACGTCTTCAAACTACTATCATTTGACCTCTTGAACTAAACAAAATTCTAAAAAATAACTCCAATGTAAAATACTATAAATAATACCATCTATACAATAATAATATTAAACCAGTTTCACAGCTCCTAGGCAGTAGCAGACCACCCAATTTATAACAATATGGATTAAAATGTTTGAATCACTTAAAAGACTTATGAATTTTCCACTATTGTGTTATTTGTATCACTAGATGGCAATCTTCTTTAGATTTGGTTAGAGTAGAATAATCACTGGTGAGAAAGAGAGCATGATTAAAAAAAGGATCAACTAATCACAAAAGTAAATTACACAATACAAATAAAAAATGCAAATGAAGATTAAGTAAATTGGCGTGTAACAGCTATATGCAATAATATAAAATTTTTCCTGTTTCTAAGTTTAAGAACATCTTACCCTTCCCAAATATCCCTCCCCTTCCAAATGAAAACAAACAAAAGACATAAAACCAATCCACTAACAGGATTTTCCCCCCTTTAAAGATACAAGTATCTCACAAGCCTCTGTTGGCCTATTTCTGTGTTCGGTTCCCAATTCAATCCTGAGCATCAATCACTGCCATAAACACAACTGGTTCTTACTCTACCATGTGAACAAAGGGTTGTTAAGGAATGAGAAACTTTTTATACTAGAATATTTAAAATTACTCTCAAAATAGAAACTATTTCCACACCTGACACACAAAGCTTTTTTAAAAAATCAATGAAAACAGTCAGAAGGTGAAATAAGCAGAAAACAGGGTTACTCACCGTGGAGTAGTAACTGTTTCCTTTTCTGTGTGCAGCTTCCCCAGCAGAGCTGGGTAGTTTCCTGGAGGTGCCAAGAGAGGTTAGCTAGCCCTGCCCCTCACTGCAAAAGCAACACATCCTTTCACATATCAATGAATTGGTCTCACTCTTAGACCTAAGAATTTTATTTATTTATTTTTTTTAGTGAAAAGTTAGTAAAAACTGAGAGCCTAAGAATAATTTAACTAAGAATGATTTAATAGATCTATCAGAGAAAAGGGGGCACAAAGTAAAGACGTATTTTGAGATGAAAAATGGTAACTCCTCTACCTTGAGTAACCCTGTTTTTTTAAGATGTTAGTTCTGTGTATGCTGTGATAGCTGATTAGCCCTCAAGAGATTAAACAAGAGTGGACTGAAAAAGGAGAAAATGACAATTTCAGAATTAAAGGCAAGTATCTAAAACTCCTGTATTACCCTGGAAAGACATGATCCAACTTTCACAACTACAAAGGTAGAACCATGAGTATAAATTATAACCCTAACAATTCTCTTAAAAAATTAACTGAAAGTTCCAAGAGCAAAATAGGGAGATTCCACTTTAAGATTAATTCAGCAACCTGCAGTATCTAACAAAACTGTTGAAAATTTAAATTAAGGTATACTAAACTAAGAAATTTTACCCTTGATTACTCTCAAGATCCTTATTATACCCATACTTGACAACACTGTAAGTTTATAGTAAGAACAAGAATTTAGTAACTCTACACTGCTAAAGACCCAAAATTACAATGAGGACACCATTAGGTAGGTCATTCACTTTTATACTCAGGATTTAGCTTTTAATTTTTTGTCAGTTTCCAATCACACAGCACATAAAATAGGTTTTCAAATTTAGTAGCAATCTCCCTAACAAGGAGATTAAGACCACACCACATACTCATATATTAGGAACGAAAATTAGATTTACTTACAGGTTAACCCAAAAGTAAACTAAGCTTCTACTTTATCATTACTGTAATTTCCCAGAAGACAACTAGTATACTACAAATACATACAGAAGGCAAACAATACTGACTAATCTGACTGACAGTAATTATAGAAGTTAGAGAATATTTTACCCAACTAAAACTTAAATGATAAATGTTTAAATAAAAAAAAATACTTGAGTTGCTATGTACTTCTCAAAACTGATCTAATTTTTCAGAAGACGAACAGCATCTCATAATTTCACAATCAAGTTGTCATTAACGAGGTATTTTCTTAGGCATCTCAGGCATTACACTTTAGCATTCATAACAAATATGCATCCTCTGCTCCCCCATCTAGCACAATTGTCCTCTGCTCCTATGGAGTAAGTAATGTCCTCAGTCAAGTTTTCTCTTCTGTTTTAAACTGACCTGTGGAAAATCTATGAATTGTACTACACATATTCTTTCTTCCCACTAAGCAGTGTAATTTTATATCATGGAACAATGAAGTGATCACTTATTTTATTAGATTTTTTTTTTTCAAATAAAGCCAGACAGTAGATTTTTACCAAGTATTAAACTATAGTAGAATAAGCATTTTAGAAATCTTAAAGGCTATTTTTATGAAACTGCTTCCAAAAAAAAAAAAGTTAAAATGTTATATATAGGACACAAACTATAAAATGGAAAGAATTCTGTTAAGACCTACTTAAGAGTTAAAGGAAGACTTTATAAACTCCCTCTTTTGGCAATTCAAATGAAAAGACAGGATTGTTTATTTTAGATTCTACTTTACATAATTAGCCTACATAAAGTAACTACAAAAAAACCTTAACAATATATATTAGTTGATAACTTATAAATATTGAAGTTTAGAAAATATTTTATATTTTTTATTTTAAAATGCATTTAAATATAATATTATTTATGTTATTGAATATATTTAATATGATTTCATTATATTACAGAAGATTTTAAGAAACAAAACTTTTCCATTTAAATTTATCTTTCCTTTTCAACTTTTTTGGGAAAATTGTTTAAGATATAGTAACAATTTCATAGCTTATAATGAATAGTAATATGGACTATTTATTCTATGGTATTTAAAATTTCAGGATATATTCTTTTTCCTTATTGAAAACGGATTTCATTATATAAAAAAATCTAATTGGCTTTATAATAAATAATCAAATACATGAACTTCTGTCATAATGAACACTTACTTAAAAGGACACAGATTTTTCACTTCTGCTCACTATTATAGTGCACATGGCATAAATAGACCAATATCCTAATATAAACCACAAGGAAAACCTATAAATATCTTTAGCTGACCCTTTTGCAATTGCATCCTGATGATCATTCAGTACTAAAAATTTTCTACCCCAGAAGATACATGCTTTTCCTCTTACATATACTATTGGTTTAAATGACCATGATTCTCACTGTCAATAATTTCATATAGAACTCAATTCACTGATATACTAAATTTGTTACGTGCAAATTAATTTTTTACATGCCATAAAATGATTAAGTTATTATTTTTACACTAAGATCATCAAGGGGAGTGAAAAGGGGGATCAAAGAAATGTCCATAGGCCTCTTATTTTTGAAATATTGTTTAAAATAAATTTTTTAAAAATCAATCTATTTTTAAAAATAAAGTTTTATATATAATCTCAATTATAAATAATAAATTATATATATAATTTCAATTATAAAACTCATAAAACCCAAAAGTTATTTTAAGAATCTGAAAAAATTCCTAGGCAAACTTAAAAACAATTTTCCTTAACATAAAATGACCCTACATCTTCTTAAACTTAATAAATAATCTAAAAAGTTTAATGTCTGTGCATACAAAGTTTTCAGAGTGACATGAATGGGAATTATAGAAACCAGGAATGACCAGCAGTAGGGATTATGACTCTAAAAAATGTCTATACAAAATATGAAAAAGACAAACTATATTTTTAAACAGCTCCTTGAAGCTTTTTAAAGATTTCTGTTGCAAAATCAGCAAATACTTCTCCCTTGTGTATTCTGAAGAGTTATTTACTCATTTTAATGTGATTTTCAACCTTGCTCAGTAATAAGATGTTGAAAAATGAAGATCTTTAGATTACTGAAACTAGTAATTATCTACTTCTAAAACTTAAGCTATCACATTCTGATTTCATTTTCTCAGTTTCTTCAGCTTAAATGGTAGCATGAAGAATGAATTGAGAAATTCATAATAGTAGAATGCTGAAAAGCAATTAAAATCATAGAGTTCAAATTCATAATACTGAAGAAATTTTTATTAAAACAATCCATATATTTTTGTACTATAAAATTCTAAAGCAATGTTGACTGCAGGCAAAAGAAAGAAGCACCCTCCCTCCCCCATTTTAGAGAAAGAGTATTTACTTAGTAACTCAGTAAACTAACAGGTGAACCGAATATATCCGATCACTCTTTCTTTCTTTTCTTTTTTTTTTTTTTTTTGCCAGTACAAGGGATAGAACCCAGGGATACTTTAGGCCTGAGCTTTAGTCCCAGCCCTTTTTATTTCTGAGACAAGGTCTCACTAAGCCCAGGCTGGCATCAAACTTGCAATCCTCCTGCTTCAGCCTCCAAGCTGTTGGGATTATACTCATGCGCTGCCACACCCAGCTCACACTGATATTTTTCTAACTCACTCACATCCAGTTGTTCTTTTGATATCATTATAAAAATCTAAATAAAGGCTTTAAAAGTTTAGAGACCTAAATTATGACTTAGATATTGTTGACCTAACAATTACAAATAAAAAAGGTTAAAGTAATACAGGAACAACAGCAATAATATACCATCAGTAGGTCATTAAGTGACTCAAAATGTATGCCAAATGGAAAAACAGTATTAAATAAATAGTTATTTTTACTTACAAATTAGTAACTGGATCTCCTTTCAGTGGAGGTAGGAGGTTCCCTGAGCCAATTAAACAGTTGTGCACTATAGTCAGACTCTGTAGAATATCATCTCTAGATAAGAGGAAAAAAATATCATCATGTTTTAGAAGATTCCAAAATTCTCATTAAATAAGACTTCTAGAGTCTTAAAACATACAAACTTTATCAAAAGGGGATATATAAAATTATATCTTCAGTTTACCAACTTAATTAAAAGTTTAGGATAATTAAAGCTGCAGATGTACATCAGTGGCAGAGCATTGCCTAACGAGCACAAGGCCCTGGGTTTGATCCTCCAAAAAATTGTTTCAAATAATATTGGACAATTAAATATATTTATTGTTAATACTAGACCTACCTGCATTTAAACAGGCTCTAAATAATTAATAACAAGTGAAACTGTCCTTTGTGTAGTGACTCTTAATTTTAATCACCTCTTTCAACCACTACCACTAACAATAGGGGTAAAAAGCACTGCGGAAGATCTTCCAGCTTAATCCTTATCACCCCCCACCCCATTCTGGGGACTGAGAATTGAACCCAGGGCCTCGAGGAGCTAAGTAACTCAGTTAGATCCTGTCTCCATTTAAATATAAAGAGGGCTGGGAATGTGGTTCAGAGGCAAAACACCCCTGGATTCCATCTCAAGTACCCCCCAAGAAAAAACCTTTCAAAGATTCAGACTATTAAAGTCTAATGGTCTCAAAGTAACTATTTCTTGTTAAACACCTATACAAGAAAAAAAAAAAATTACAGAAATATTTCTCTAAGTAACATTAACATCAACAATGTGAATTACTAAAAAGAAAACAAAATCTAAACTCAGTCAAGGAAAAAGGGATTTTTCTTTCAAAGGTATATATATCTACACACTTTCAAAAGAAAGAAGTCAAATTGCTAAACAAAAAACAGTTTCTACTACAAATTAGGATAAAAAAACCTGAGTTTTCTTTTTAAAATGTTTAAATATTGCTGAACTTTATTGTACCACACTATTTCAAATGTTTTTTTAAGTACATTTATGGCAGTTTTCAAAACAGTGAATATAAATACATCAGATATGCCCACAGAAAAGAGAAAAGCATAAAGATTCTTTTAGATCGCAATTAAATGATACTGATTGATTATAAAAGAAAGCCAACCTAGACATTTCAAGTTCTCCATCCCCACAACGCTGAAGTTTGTCGAGCTCAGGCTGAAGAAAGGAGTCCAACAAATAGAAGGCAAAAGAAACTTCCTCTGAAGATGGAACATGCCACTGAATTCCTAGATTCCACAAGTCCCCAGGCTTACCCCAATCCTAGAAAAGAACATTTCTTAATTACCTTGAGAAGCTGAAAATAAACATGTCTAAATATGATTTAAAGGGATTCAAAGAAATAATCCAAACCTAACCAAATAATATGCAAAAAGAGTGACAATATCACCGTAAACATCGCAAACATCCTATCACCCTTTCATTACCACTTGTAAAAAAAAAAAAAAAAAAGGATCACAGGGCTGGTGTGGTGGCACCCACCCACCTGTAATCCCAGTGATTCAGGAGGCTGAGGAAGAAAAATCACAAATTTGAGGCCAGCTTTGGCAACTTAGTAAGAGGATGTCCCAAAAAAAGTTTAAAAGGAGTGGGAGCTAGGGTTTGGCCATGATGTCACACATCTATAATCCTAGCTACTTGGGAGGCTGAGATAGGAGGACTGTAAATCTCAGAAGAGCCCCATCTCAAAAAATGAAAGGGCTGGGGAGGTAGCTCAGTGGTAGAGTGCTCTTGAATTCAATCCCTACTATCCACCCTCACCTCACAAAATGAAAGATTTGGGAAAGCCTGAAGTAGATAGAGTTCAGTGGTAGAGTGCTACCATGCTCAAGGTCCAAGTTCAATCCCCAGAGCCACAAAATAAATAAATACATAAATTAAGTATTTAAAAAGCTGTAAGCTCAGTGACAGAGCACTTGCCTAGCATGTAACAGGCCCTAAGTTCAATACTCAGTACCATTTAAAAAGAAAATTCACCTCGAAGAGCCACTTAACATTATATTAAAAGAGTGACAGCAAGTTTATGTGCAGTTAGTTAGTGAAACAACAAAATTACACAGAATTACAGAATTATACATGGCAAACCAAGTTGTTTTATGTATAAACAGAAAACTAGAGTTTTAGCTCTATTTGAAGTGAGACACAAGTTTAATACATTATAATAATAGTTTTAATAATTTATTTTAAAACAAAAAACTGATATCTCTATATACAAGAAAAGAAACACATTTTGAATTACTCAGGAAATGAAGCCAATTTATTCTTATATCCTAAATTATTTAAAATGCTTGCCTTGATAGGAAAGTATTCAGAAGGAGGTTTGTCAAAGCCACCTGGTACACTGCAGTATTCTGTAGGGTAGATAAGTGTAGTAGAACGAAGAAGATGATGCAAAAGGTTACAAGACAGAGTGTAACCCTGCTTACAGGTTAAATGTAGGGTTCTTTGGAGAATCTTTACAAGCTGCTCCCTATAAAGAAGCAACTTCTTCCCATCCACTCGGGTAATCTAAAAATGGGGGGGGGGGGAGTTGAAGATATTTTAGTTAAAAGATCAACAACCAATAATTAATGCAAAGTTCAGTGCTTAGCCACTAAAGTAGCCTTAAAATAGTGCTTTCTTAAAAATGAGTTTAATTTAGGATTGCCATATTAACTGTATTCTAATAATTTAATTCTCTTTGGACATTAAAACACATTTTCTGAGCTTAGGCTTTCATGTGCCAAAATAATATTCCTTTCAAAAGGGTCTATCTCAGGTTGGGGATGTAGCTTAGAGGTAGAGTACTTGTTTGGAATATATAATGCCCTGGCTTTTATCCCTAGTACCACAAAGAAGGGAAGGAGAGAAAGAAGAAAGGGGGGATGAAAAGAGAAAAATGAAAAGGGGAAATGGGAAAAGAAAAAAGAATGGGTATCTATCTTTTAAGAGATGAAACTTAAAACTGTTGAACTGTCTCATAATGGAAATTGAAATTTGACTGATGGCCAAATTTTATATCTGAATGATTCCAAAAAACATTTCAATTAATGAGTTATTCACACCAGACTTAATCAATAAAAACTCAATCAAATAGGTTTTTTATTAGTACTACTGCAATAGTAATAAAAAATGTACACTTCTTTGATAAAAGGAGAGTTCTGACTTTTTCAAGCTATATCAAGAAACTTCAAACTTTTGGCTTTCCACATTTTAAAACCAATTTGTCAGAAAGGGCTTAAAAGCATGTTAATACGTTCTTCCAAAAACTTACAATACCTCTGATAAAAGTTGAAGATTCCATAGTAACTCCTTATCTAGCTCTTCTTCATTCAACACATCATCATCTAAAATAGCAAAATACTATCAGATGAAAAAAATATGCATATAACTAAATAATTTTAAAATATTTCAATTAGCCAGTGCAGTAGCACACACTTATAATCCCAGTGACTTCAAAGGCTGATGAAGGAAGATCTCAAGTTTGAGGCCTGCCATAGCAACTCAGGAGGTAGAAAATAAACTTGAGAAAAATACACATACCAAACAAAAATTCTGCCTCTCTCTCTCTAAGAATAAGTGATATTTTAACAAAGTAATAAATATTAATTAAATAGAGTACAACTTCTAAGCTACCTGCCAACAAGGATGAGTCATTTTGGGGGAGGCAATTCCTTCCCCAAAATAAAGAAAGTAAAATGCTGCAGAGGTTCAAGGAATATATTTTCATTAACAGAGTTCTAAAACTGAAGAAAAAAACATATCTGGACTTGTAAAGACAGAATATTAATTTTATGACTTACTCATTGTAAGTTGAGTTATAACACTACAGCAGTGGGGAACAAATAGCTTCAAAGCTTCTTCTGGGCAGCACTGAAAACATATTTGTAAAAATAACTTTTATGAAAGCCAAACATGTAACAGTCACAAAATATACACTAGCATTGTTTTTAGTGGCAAAGGGGAGCTGTAAGCAGCTACTGACACGCTATGTATTTTCAATACAAGCACTTCTGAAATAATTAACCACACAAACTTATTGGTTGTTGAGACATTAATTCATTAGTTCAAAAAACTAAACTCACCTTTACAGCAGCACGGCACATGTCTGCCACCATGCGGCCTGCCACTCTTGTTTCAAATATATGTGAAATAGAAAAATTAAAAACCTTCTGAAGGGCCACCTGTTAAGATATATTAAAAAAATGAAAATGCCTAATCATCATTTTTAAGAAAATTAAACATCTTATGGAATATAAAAGAAAATGAAAAATATACTACACTAAAAATAACAAGTAAGCAAGTAGCCATCTGATTTTATACAATTTGCTTAATAATGTTACATTCAGGTCTAAGAACAATCTGTGAAGACAATCCCAACTTGAACAAAACATTTAAGGAACAAGATTTTACTTGCTACAAAAACCATACGAACAAAACAGTAGCTAATAGCAGCAAATGCTGTTTAATTACCACGGTTAACCCAAAAAGTGGAAATTTCTGAAGTATGTTAACACTTAAAATTTGTCCTTCTAACAACTATAAAACTACCCCTGCTTTAAAAAGACTTGAAGCTGCCTGTTTAATTTTATAATCATGTCACAGAATTTGGACTTGTTGGCTAAATGAAGAAATGAGTTCTAAACTTGGATTAACAATGCTGAAAACTATAAACAACTTTTACTCTGTTAAACAAGAGATGATTTATGTTCATTTCTTTATACTAACATAATCTTAGTAACTATCATGCAGTTGGATGGCAGTTTGGCTCTGAGCCAGGATGAACATGTTAAACAGTGATAATCTCAGAGGAAAAAATAAAAGAGGTACAAATAAAGACCATTCTTTTTTTATTATTTATTTATTTATTTAAGTTATTGGTGGGCCTTTATTTATTTATGTGCTGAGAATCGAACTCACTGCCTCACACATGCTAGGCAAGTACTCTACCTCTGAGCCACAACCCCAGCCCCATAAAGAGTATTCTTAAAGGCCACACTGTAAAAATTTAGGTACCAACCAGTATCAAATATCAAATTCCTTATGGGGACAACTGTTTCTAATTTGTCAAAATTTACTCAAAGGCCAGGTCGTACCCTTAGATTTCAGCAGCCTGGGAGGCTGAGGCAGGAGGATCTCAAATTCAAAGCCAGGCTCAGCAACTTAGTGAGGTTCTGAGCAACTTGGTGAGACCCTGTCTCTAAATAAAATACAAAATAGGGCTTGGTATGTGGTTGAGTGCCCTGAGTTCAATCCCCAGTTACCACCACCCCCCATTTATTCAAAGGATATGATTTCTATCATGTGATGGCATAAATAATTCCCAAAACTTCTCTCCTAATTATATTTAATTGTAAATTTTTACAAAATAGTCATTTCCCATTATTCATGGTAGTTATGTTCTGTAAAGTTGCTGGGAATGCTTCTAAGAGAAATATAGCATTAGGTTGTTGTGAGCCTCTGGTCACAACATTTTTGTCAAGTGATCAGTACATAAACCTGTTTTAGGTGTGTATCTGTTTATGGACACTCATTTAATACTTACATTTCATTCATTAACATTGAACTCACAGTTAACAACTGTAAAACTCATGCCTGTTTTTTTCCCATTAGGCACAGCACAACTCTTAGGCTTAGGAATACTAGACCTTAGTTAAGCATTACATTCTTGGGAACCATTTTTAACCACTCCCCCCGCCCCATGCTGGGGATTGAACCCAGGGGCACTGTACTACTGATCTGTATCCCTGGCCCTTTTTACTTTTTGAGACAAGGTCTCGATAAGTTGCTGAGATTACAGGGGTATGCCACCATACCTGGCCATTTTAACATTTTAAAACAGCAAAATCACTAATTAAAATGCAAACCAATATGGCACTAAAAAGTTTAAAGGACACTTGTTCATGTTAGAAGAATGGAAAAAGAATGTAAAGTGTGGCCTTGTTCAACCTTAGGCCAGGACCCTGTATGAGTTAATTCAAATTTTTTGTCATTCTACACAAGTTCTCACAAAAGCATTGATTTGGGGGTCACAAAGTTAAGCAAGTGGGAAGATTTGCAAATTGAAAATTTGTGAATATCAAGGACCAACTGTATAGGTTTTTTTAAACCTTAGTATAGAAAGGGATCTGGCATGGTATATACACTTAAAGTAACTGACACTCAATTCTAAAACATCAAATAAAACTAAAAAAAATAATCTTCTTACCATAAATATTTCTTTGGAACATTGTGTGAGGATTGTGCTAAACGTAGAAGACAGACCTAATTCAACCAAACTCTCCAAGTGAGTCATTTTCTCAGTTTCAGTCTCTTCTCTTGTTTGCTCCAATGTACTACTTTCTATAAGTCCAAAGCATCTAAATAATCCACACAAAATATAATTTTAGCAACTAAAACCTGGTTTAACAATTAATGATAATTAGATAAGCTTCTTCTTCTTCTTCTTCTTCTTTTTTTTTTTTTACAAATTAAATATCTATCACTTTTCAAGTGATAGAGAGAAATTTCTGTCTAGGGTAGAACAGCCATTTTCCAAATATCAAAAGAAAGACAAGCCTAGGCTACTAGCTGGTGCTCACCTGTCCATAAACTGCAAGACGAAATCTTCAAATTCAGCTGTGGCGGAACACAGTTCTCGTTCCACCTGTAACACCCAAATGTGGAGAGAGATTACAAATAGCCTTTGATTTTTTTTTTCTCTGAACTAACAAAACCCAATTAGGGCCTAAAACAGATTTAACACTGAATTATTGTGTTGGATACTGTGAGAAACAATACCATAATCACACATCAATTTAGAACAACTCAATCCACTACTTTCTAGGAACCAAACAAAAGGTAATTAACACATTTTACAAGGGTCAAAAACAACATAAGGGGGGCTGGGGATGTGGCTCAAGCGGTAGCGCGCTCGCCTGGCATGCTTGCGGCCCGGGTTCGATCCTCAGCACCACATACAAAGATGTTGTGTCCACCAAAAACTAAAAAATAAATATTAAAAATGTCTCTCTCTCTCTTTTAAAAAAAAAAAAAAAAAGTAAGGGCTGGGATTGTGGCTCAGCGGTAGAGTGCTCACTTAGCACACGCGAGGCCCTGGGTTTGATCCTTGGCACCACATGAAACTAAGTGAAATAAAGGAACTGTGTTCAACTACGACTAAAAAATAAATTTAAAAAAAAAAAAAAAGTAGTCAACTTTATTACCAATTAGAGTTAAAACTGCTAGTATACAAAGAATGGTGTCTCACTACTTGATATCCAAATGAAGCAAATCAAGTATTAACATGATTATAATACAGAAAATAGTTGTGAAAAAAAACCACCATAACCCTCCCCGCAAAGTCTCTTTTCATTAGATGCCAATACTGGGAAAGTTTATTCCGAGGTTGATAGAAAAAACTTTGACCCACTTCCTATGGTAGGTGCTACACAGACTATCTTACCCAGTGATAGTCTGGCATTTTATTTATACCATTCTAGTAAATGAAACTTTTGTAGAGTTATCCAAGTTTGTTTTAAAACTATCTAATATACATTAAGAACGCACATGCTTTAAGAATTAGAAATTAATTTAATCATTTTTAACCAGACAGCATCCTTACTTCTGTTAGGTCATCCCTTTCCTGCAGTACAGATGAACAATCTACTAAAGGCACCAGAGTAGAAAATGTTGCTATAAACTGGAATGTGATCTGTGGGAAGATGCAAAGAATTTTCAACATTAATCATATAATTTTATTTCAATTCAAGCATACCATAAGCTAAACAGCTCCCCTCTCCAAAATTATCATGAGGGAAATCCCGTAACAATCGTTCTGAATATTTTTCCCTTAGAATTTCACATTTTTAAGTACCCAAAACTTAACTGGCTGTCACTTCAATAATGAAGTTATACTAAATTTATTTTCCATATAGTTACTTATAAGGTTTAGGCACAAAGTTCTCCAATCTTTTGTTACTGAAAAGTTGCTTAGTTTTCCACCTCAAGTGTAATACTATTTTAACTAAGGGTAAAAATAAAATGCTCATGCAGAACCTAGAAAACCAGAAAGGGAAAATGAGAAAAATGATACTATCTGTATATAAGCAGAAGATGGCATTTTTCTTCACATTCCCTTTATGCTGATAGATGAAGGAAAAGGTAAATGATCAAAACATAGGGTAGTTTTAAAAATATCTGTTTAAGGAAAAATAGTAAATACCTAATGAGCTTTAAAACATCATTATGATCACCACAAAAGTGGGAACTTAATAAGTTATTCTTTATATACGGGTAGTTGGCCAAAATACATTCTGTCATATATAACTAAAAATTTTTTTTAAAAATCATATGATCAGGGCTGGGGATGGATGCAATTCCCAGCACCACAAAAACAACAACAACAACAACAAAAAAAACCCTCTTACTATCATTAAATATATACAGGTTATGGCAAATTACGTAACAAAGGAAGGTATAAGCTTCAACAATTTCTCATAAATCTAAACTTAGGCACCAACATATGTAATGCTGTTATCATTAACAGATTTTATGATGAATGGTGTTATAAAGAACTTCAGATTTTAAATTCAAGATGTTCTTTTACAAAATATAAACACAGAATAAAAAAAAAATCATCAATATGCTCACCATGCATTTACTAAAGTCATTTGGATCCACCCCAGGCAATGCTCTCATCAACAGAGGTAGCATATGTGTTGGACCTTCAGGAAACCATCTGCCCCCTGATACCAAACTTCGGGCTACTCCAATTACACAACTTAAAGTAGCTGTGAGCTGGTGAGGTTCTGTTAATGTCTCTAATGCAGGATATGTTCTACAGTTTGAAAACAGAATTTTACAACATTAAATATACTAAATTCATATACTGCATTGTGATGTAAAAAATAAATCAACAGAGTATCTGGAGTGAAAATTTGCTGTCAATGTTAACAGAATCACACATATAAAGGAAAAGTACATGCACAAAAAAGTATAGACTGGTGCATCTTTTTCCAATCCCCTATTATTGTCATCTCTATCCATGCAAATTCTACATGAAGAAGAGCATAAACTAATGGACTTGAGTTATTTTATCCACCTTAACCCACATTATACTAACCTAATGGTTCAATTAAGAATAATAGGGCTGGGGATGTGGCTCAAACGGTAGCGCGCTCGCCTGGCATGCGTGCGGCCCGGGTTCGATTCTCAGCACCACATACAAAGATGTTGTGTCCGCCAAATACTAAAAAAATAAATGTTGAAATTCTCTCTCTCTCTACCTCTCTCTCTTTAAAAAAAAAAAAAAAAGAATAATAAATTAGAAACTGAGTATAGTGGGACATGCTTATAATTCAAGCGGCTCAGGAGGTTGAGGCAACTTAGCAAGGTCCTAAGTAACTCAGTTGAGACCCCGTCTTTAAATAAAATACAAAAAAGGGTTGGGGATGTGGCTCAGTGGTTGAGTGCCCCTGGATTCACTCCAGTACCAAATAATAATAATAATAATAATATAAATTAAAATACAGGAATAAGTTACAAATACGCACTCATCACTTTTATAGGAAATACAATCTCACTGAAATGTAACCTGCTCTTTTTAAAAAAAGGCTTAAAATCACAAATCAGTTATACAAAACATGATAATATTCCTGGCGCTAGAGGGAGAGAACTGTGGGGAATAAGACAAAGACAAATATGAATAACAAGGTAACTAATGAATTGATAACAAAGATTTAATTTAAAAAAAAAAAAAGACAAATGTGATGTTTGGTCACAAAGTGTTTAAAAGCTAACAATATCAATCTATTTTAAGAGGGCGGGGGTATCTAAAATATAGTTATTTTAAATTCCACTTATATGGGAAATTTCATTATGTATTATGTGGAGAAAGGAAATTTATAACTAAGATTAAAAAAAAAAACTATGTCCTATTGTAAAAAATGAAGGAAGCACATTACACTGAAGAATCTTTGGAGATGCAAAACTCTAAAGTGTACACTACCATGTGGGGTTTACAGCTTTATTTTAAGTTCTGCATTTATAAAAGGAAAAAAACCTAAAAATAAGTCACGTCACAACACAGCACAAAATTACAGTTCAAAGTCTCAAAAAAAATGACATTTTGGCTAAGCACACAATATTGCTCAATATATTAAATTTATCCAAACATTGAGAACTAAAGAAGAAAGATGTGACCAAAGTACACAATTTTGTTTATAAAGTTTATTCCTTCTACAAAATACTTTATCTCATTATTCATAATTACTCAGTCCAAAAATAAATAAGGTAAGAGTGCGGTGGCACACACCTTAATCCCAGCAGCTTCGGAGGCTGAGAGAGGAGGATAGCAAGTTCAAAGCCAGCCTCAGTAACGGCGAGGCACTAAACGACTCAGTGAGACCTGGTCTCTAATAAAACACAAAATAGGGCTGGGGATGTGGCTCAGTGGTAGGGTACCCCTGAGTTCAAGCCTGGGTACCAAAAAAAAAGAAAAAGTAAAAAACACTGAAATCCTCCTCCAAAATTTCAGCTATGAAAATAGATGAAGTCCCTCCTCCCTAGGGAACATCAATGAACCTACCATAACTATTAGCTTCTATTACCCAGTAGAGATCAAGGAGCAAAGGACACTTTGAACTGAAGATAGGGGAAATTGTCTACCTTCTCTATACCATTTACTAATTATCTTCTATGAGTTCAAGAGTTTCATTGTTCCAAGACATGTACACCAGGTGAGTGGTACAGTGTTTGCCTAGAATGTATTTGGGTGGGGGCTCTCAGTTACACCCCCAGCACTTCCAAAGAAATGAGGCTGAGAAAGTAAAGTACAACCTAACTTGAATACTCATTGCAATGAAAACAGGATGAAACTGCATCATAAAGCAACTGAAATGTATAGGTAATGTATAGGAGCCACATTTTGGTAAAGATCTTAAACAGTGTGTTCCTCCACAAGTAACTGTGACCATATTACATATCCTGACTCAACAGTAGGTTCAAATAGACTGTGGTCTGGATTCCTTCACTAAGGACCCCTACATAAATTCTTATGAAATTCAATTGTAGATCACTCTGGGATCCAAAAACTAACATGTTTCCTTTTACCTTTCAAAGACATTTTAGAGAAAAACAGTAAGGTTCAAGTTCAGGTAGCAGAAAAAGATGACGCTTAATAGAAAGCTGAAGTAATAATTTCTTGAACACTCAAAAAACTAAATTTCCTTCTTAGCATACACTATTCCTAGATTGTGAGAGTAACTAGGCAATTAGAGAGCTACTTTAGACGCTGTTTTAACACACAAAATAAAATAAATGCAATCAAATTTATACTGTAAATACAATACACCGAAGATTATACAGTACATGAAAATAATTAAGATAGGGGCTGGGGATGTGGCTCAAGCGGTAGCCGCTTGCCTGGCATGCGTGCGGCCCGGGTTCGATCCTCAGCACCACATACAAACAAAGATGTTGTGTCCGCCGAGAAATAAAAAAAAAAAATAAATATTAAAAATTCTCTCTCTCTCCCTCCCTCTCTCACTCTATCTTTAAAAAAAAAAAAAAAAAAAAAAAAAAGAAAATAATTAAGATAAAGAAATTTTCCTGTTATCACTGATTCACTGCCACATTCTCACATTTTTAATAGTGACACATTTTGAAGGAAAAAAATAGATCTAAATTTATGAAAAAAAAAAAAAGATTTGGTAACTATCATATGCAGATATCCAAAATACTTACACTATTCATTTCCCTTTCATTTTTTTTTTAAGAGAGGTGAGGTGAAAGAGAGAGAGAGAGAGAGAATTTTTAATATTTACTTTTTTTTTAATTTTTGGCGGACACAACATCTTTGTATGTGGTGCTGAGGATCGAACCCGGGCCGCACGCATGCCAGGCGAGGGCACGACCACTTGAGCCACATCCCCAGTCCCTCCCTTTCATTTTTTTCTCCCTAATAAATCTTTATCAAGTTACAAATCAAGTTAAAACCTCGTTTCTCCTCTAAAAATAGATAAAAGCCCTGAAAATCCAAAACAGATTCCACAGAAAGGAAAAGGAACAGATGACAAGACTAACTTAGCTATAGTTGAACCTTCCGCTAAACAGGTATAGCACTTACCTTTCAAGCACAGGGGGTATTACTAACTCAGGTCTCATGAGTGCAAGATTCTGCAGAGCCTGGGCTGCTTCTAGACTACCAGTTTTGCTAAACATAGCCAAAAGAACAGGCTGAATAATGCATTGTACAAAGTCTGTAACATCTTGATCAGTAAGCTTATGGCTATCAGGCACAGGAGTTAACCAAGAGGGCTTCTTGTATCTTTCACGATGCAATCTTCTAACAACACTGTTTGGCAATCGCTGAAGTAGTTTCATTAACTTGTTCTGGGAACAAAGAAACAAAAAGTTCTAGGTAGTTGCAACTTTCTCTTGTAGATATTTATGGCTCTTCTCTATCCACTCAAGAAAGGATTTTTGAAATAACAGCTCTAAATACAAAGATTACTGCTAAACTGTACAGTTTTGATGTTTAAAGATTCTGTATTTAATTTATTTTCTGATAGTCAGTATGTAGTTAATGCTATAGTATCTCTTGAAGATGCTGGTAGGATTTCCCCTTCTTCGACTGTTTTCTCTTTGTTTTCCACTATACAAAGTCTAATCTGGGACAGAAAAGATCCATTCTTTATAGGACATATTAGGGCACATACAGGATTGCCTGGAGCCCTTAGTTTAGGCAATGATTTAGCAGATAAAACTACACATGACATACATAATAAAAAATGAGTTTTGCCAAGCACAGGGTGCATGCCTGTTATCCCAGTGACTCGGCAGATAGGAAGTTTGAGGCCAGTCTCTGCATTCAGCAAGAACCTCAGTAATTTTAGCGAGATCCTGTGTCAAAATAAAAATAAAAAGGTCCCTTGCTGAATTCTCAAGTACCAAATAAATAAAATAAAAATGAGTTTCAAATTCTAGTTTTAAGAATTTCTAGCACCACATAAATTTTCTGTTGCATAAAAAGCCACTTTAAGGAAGTAAAAAAGAAAAAAAAATCTGCTGACATGATAAAATAGAAAAGATGATCCTATGGCATTTTTGGTATTGTCTTTTGCAAAATATGGCAGTTTGTCATCAGTAACCCATAGCATATTTCTGTATGTTCTATGAAAGTAATAACTTACTAGGCAACAGTTAAGTATGACCATATTTTTAAATTTTTTAAATACTATAGATCAAATTGAACATACTCACCAGCCAGCGCCCATTATTTGAAGGATGGTAAAAAGATGTGATGCTGTTAAACAAACCAGCTAAGTGTTTTTGCACTAGCTTACTTGGTCCACCCTGTTCAAATAAAAGAATAAAAATGTCAATATCTACATTACACTGCAAAAAAAGGAGACAGGGTCAACAGGCCCAGGCCTATATACAAATCTATAATGTGGTTCACCTTCATACTGATGACAAAAATCAATTCTACCTCTAAATAAGGATCAAAACAATTCCCCAAGGAATCGAATGCAAAGCAATTTAAAACATTCTACTAAAAATAAAAGCAACTAAATTAAACACTTGGGGGAAAAGTGTATTTTTCAACTTAATAGTATATTTTAGAGTTCTGAAGTAAAATAACATGCATACTAAAATTTATTACTAAGATCATTATCCAAAAATAACTGGGCTGGGGATGTGGCTCAAGTGGTAGTGTGCTCGCCTGGCATGCGTGCGGCCCGGGTTCGATCCTCAACACCACATACAAACAAAGATGTTGTGTCCGCCAATAACTAAAAATAAATAAATATTAAAAATTCTCTCTCTCTCTCCCTCTCTCACTCTCTCTTTAAAAAAAAAATTAATGATGGCTAATATGAAGCACATAAGGCATTTCTTAAATGAATCATTAAGTGAATTCCTTATCCTTTGGAATGATAAGAGATGCTTTACATAAATGTAGTTACATATTTTATAATTACTTCCAAAGGTTTAAAATGTCCAAACTTGTTATATTGGGCCCTATTTTTTTACTCAAATAAGAAAATTATTCTTATTTTTCAATCTATTACCAAAACAAACACAAAACAATCAATCAAACAACATAACTTGGAAGGAAAATGAGGGGAAAAAAGATAGCTTTCTTCTGTCAAGTTGATAGAGAACTACAATTTGAACTTAAAATCTTTGTCTTGTGGTGATCTTTCAAGACACAGCACAAAAGTAAACTAAAATGTCAAATTATATTAGGAACATGACTAGCTGCTAAATGAAATCCATGTTCATGTTTCTAAATCCAGTATCTAGAATAGGCCAGAGACCATAATAATTTTATAGCAAAATGCAAAAATCTTCAAACTTCTGGCATAATCAGCATTACAGATTTTATTGTTGGGGCTGTTTTCTCCAGTAATGGGAACTGAACCCAGGTAGGCCAGCACTCTACCACCAAGCTACATCCTCAGACCCCTTTGAAAATTTATTTTGAGATAGGTCTTGCTATTGTTGCTCAAGTTGGTCTCAAACAATTCTTCTGCCTCAGTCTCCCTAGCAGCTGGGATGATAGGAATGTGTCACCATGACCAGTTTCGTTTTTTTAATTTTATTTTTACATTTAACACAAAATGTAGCCACCAATGAGAACTGTGTGGGAAGGCAGAGCAAAATGCACTCAAGGCTTACATTAATCACCATCTAGTTCTGTGGCTCCCAAAATGTGAGTTTCACCTTATTGCCTATATAAGATAGTAAGCAAACATGTAGTTGTTGTATTCATCTCTTACTGAATGTTAGGAAAATGGGATTTCTCTTCTTAACAATAAAAGGGTAATAACAATGGGGAGCTTGAATTTCTTGCTATAAGCTTGTAACAATCACTTGGTCTTTTCCACAAAAATGATGTCAAACAGAACAATTCAAGGAGAGAGCTCTAGAAGCAATATATGAACGTTAAGTAAGAAAATCATAGTTGTTCTAAAACTGCATTCCTGAGATGACACCAAAATCTAAGCTTATGACATTTTTTATTTTCTTCAATGATGACAATAAATTGATCCTTCATACTTTTCCCTTCACTAAGATAATTGTAAAATTTTGTTTTCAATAATAATTTATGTGAATATTAACAATGAAAGAATAATGGGATTTCTGGTCAGTTCTGAGTTATAATCCTATCTTGGGAGAGTGTCTTATCTGAGTTTGGTTCCACATCTGTGAAAAATGTTTGACATTTTGAATTCCTCAAAACTCAAAACTTTTCATCCTATTTGTAAGATGCATTGGTTAAGATTTACAAATGGTAGATTATGACTACATTCTAGATCTGATATACATGAACATCATCAGAAATGAACAATACAAGAAAATATCCAAGAATCTTAGCAAGCCCCAGGCCCTGGGTTCAATCCTCAGAACATGAAAACAAGCAAGCAAGAAACAATATATCCAAGATTCAAGTGACCAACCAAACCACAAACATGGACTTCAATTTTTTGTATGGTTAAGGCAAAATAGAGATGACAAATTTATTTATTACAAACCATCATGGCAGTGATCCATATCACAGCATGGCCTATATCATAAGCATTTGTTAAAAATCTTGGAACTAACACTTGACTGCTTCCCACTGGGAGGTTCAAACTTCTCAAAATTCTTGTAAATATCTTAAAAAAAAAAAAAAAGGAAAGATTTTTTTTAACGGATAAGAATTAAGAATAAATACTTACAGGTATCAAAATTAATTTCTTAAATAGCTTAGTGCTATACATTAGTGATATTGAGTATACTCTCATCTCATCTTGGAGGTCTTTAACCAACATTATAATTGTTTAGTCATTTGCTTTAATTTTAAAAAACAATACGTAAATATTAATAGATACACCATATGACATAGGTCACAGGCACAAGGATGATAATCAGCTGTGTCCATGTCCCCCAAAATTAATGAGATTTATAGTTCAACATAAAAAGGCAAAACAACATGTGGTTAGACATGAAAATTTTTTACCCACCTACCTCTCTCTACACATACACAAATTATCATTCCTATGCTCCTGTTCCATGCCCAGGATGCACAACACCACCAACTAAAATTTAAGTATCTCTAGCCAATTACTTTCCTATTTCAAAATTTTAATGCTAGCTTCATTTTTCCCTTAAGTATTTGTATTTTAATCAGTCACACAATAATTTCATTGTAATGCAATTAAATTTATGTTTTAAATCTATATCTTCGTTGATGGATGCCCAAAGGTGGGGGGGAGTACTTCTCCTTTCAATTAGTTTTAATAGCCAATGGCAAGAGAAAGAACAAACCAAGGCAACCAGAGCCTTTCTCTTACTTCCAGTCCTGTTCTAACATCAGTGTATACATCAAAAAACACCTGGATGTCCTATTTCTAGTCCTACTAATGTTCCAGAAGTGATTCTACAGGTGAAATATCAAAGATGCAATATTAAGAAACACCTGAACCTAGAGACACTCTACCTTAGAGTACTATAGAAAAATACATATTATGATTTAAAAAGAGTGTAACCCCTTAATAGTAGTAATCAAATATAATGCGCAAAATTTGCTTTCAAAGGTATGAATCCATGACACCCTTAATATACTTAGTACTTCTATACTCACTCTGAAACTTATAGTTCATGTCCTTATAGGAAAGACAAAAATCATGTACTCTTGATACCCTGATGTTTCAGTTGCTTACTGAAAAGACTGGCTCACCTCTATATTCACTAAGAACCAAAAAAAAAAAAAAAATTTATGTGGCACTGGGCATTAGTATACAAAAAACACTTCTCCTTTACAACACAAAGTTGATTGTCAGTGCTGCTGTAAATATGTTAAAATGTTCTTATAAATTACCTTTGGTACATATGGATCCCAATCTATGTACCCTATATTATCTGTAGCCAATCGAGCAAAGAGATTTACCAGTTGCTGAAAATAAACAAAACAAAACAAAGTTAAGGAGAGTATTTCTTGCTGCTTTAAAATATCATAGTCCTGCCCCTTAATCATTTGTTCTTACTAGCAGTCATTAGCACAATTTGACAGATTTTTTTTTAAAATCTCCAAATTTAAGTTCTGATTTATGTCACTCATTTTGCATCTAAAATGCTTCTAAAAAGAAATGACAAAACATCATCAACAATACAAAACAGAAAAGGAAATTTTAATCCAATAAAATGTTTTTTTAAAAAATCCATCATGTGTCCAGCACTATCTAGTGTAGGTTACAAAGAAAATATTTTTATACTTTATGCATTTTGTAATATATGCTCATACTCCTAGATATTGATAAGTAGATGTCTACTTTTATTAGAAAAATAGTAAATAAAATGAAAAAGAATTGCTCATAATATTGCTAATGGCAATTCTAACAAACTGAAGTTACTTGTCAAGTGATCTATTTATCTCCAAACAAAAACATAATAAAACAAGAAAAACAGGATACTCACCCCCTCCCACTGTGGGAGATTTTGCACTGAAACCCAAAGGCCAATTAATTCATCAAACCAAAGTCTGAAGAAGAAAAATGTTGTTATGAATAGCAAGTGATTATAGAAAGTGGTTCAAAGCCAGGTATCCATTGTATTTTTAAATCTATTATTCTTACTGATAACTACACAACCTAGAAAAAATAATACTGAAAGTTACAAACTTAACAAAATAATGGAATATTTCTTGTCTGAATATTCCCTTCCTAATTTATGCTATAAAATGTGATCTCATCTATTAAAACATCTGTTGTACTGCTAAATTATTACTGTCAATTCCTAACAGCTGTTTCCAAGTTTCTTTCTCTCCCTGACTTTGTCCATTAATGTCTTCCTGTTACTATTTGTTCTTACTATTCTCTTTTCCTTTCTTTCCTAATTTCCTAAAGCCCTCATTCTTATTTGGCTTTTCACACAGCCTTATTTTCTCTTTTATTTACAATCTTCTGTTCAACTGTTTTAGCCTTCACACACTTCAAGTATAATAAACATAATGAGTTTGCAAATTTAAACTTACTGCTTTACTAGGTTGTTCATATGTGTATTTCCTGCTATGTTACTGAATTTGTTAATATACGTATATACTTACTTAAAACCTTTATGATGAAGTTCTGGAGGAAGGGAGGTAGGAAGAAATATTTCAAAATAAGTGATGGCCTTTTGCATTGTTACATCAAAAGGACACATTAAAGGCCGCCATTCCTCTAGCATTTCTGCTGTTGCATCTGCTGGAAAATACCTAATAAAAAAGAAAGTTTTCATGTGTCTGATCATTGGCTAAAAACTCTACAACATCAATACATGACTGACCAAAAACGGGAAGGAAGAGATGAGATGGTTAGCTCAGATGTAGAGCACCTGGGTTCAATCTCTAGCACCACAAAAAGGAGGGTTGTGGATTTTATAAAGTATATCACATACCACAAATGTCAAGATAGCCCACAAAAAACACATTTTTACAAAATATAAAATATATATCCTAATATATCTGGGATAAAGTAAATTCTCTTTTGTCAAAAAATCTTTAAAAAACTTCTGTGAAGTTGGTAAAATTAGATTAAAATCCCTTCAATCACCCACAAAATTAAGCATGGTTGTTTTTTTTTTCTTTGTCCTATGTACTAGTAATTTTAAAAAAGTCTTATATGAGCCCATTCTACATAAGAAATGGAAATCAGTGAATGAGTAAAACTGGCATCAGTCCAGAGGTCTCTGGGACCCTTTGTTATTCTTGTTTATTTGTTTGATACTGGAAATTGAACAAAGAGATGCTTTACCTCTGAGCTACATCTTTAGCCTTTTATCTTATTTTTATTTTTAGACAGGGTTCCACTAAGTTGCTGAAGCTAGCCTCTAAATTCTGATCCTCCTGCCTTAGCCTCCTGAGTCACTGGTATTACTACATGTGTGGGCTACCACATCTGGACTCTTGACCCCTTTGGATGAATCTCTGGACACTTTTTACCCTCATGGAACTACTAAATCCTTCTGTGTACCAGAAGACTGGACTAAGAATCTGGTACTAAAGATTCTAATATTCTGCAATTATGTGACATGGCCAGAAGCATCCCTGGGGTAGATATGTAACAAAATTAAACTCTCAAGTGTGCATATACGTACAATATTAAGGTAAATGGCTAAAGATGACACATGTATGGTTGCCCATTCAACTTAAGAGGTTTAAAACAAGAAATAATGTCTGAGAAATATGAATTCTACCCAAAGAAATTGGGAAAATCCTGCAGATCTACTTATATTTTTAGCTTACCCAACATACTATGAATCCTGCTATATTTTCCTAAACCTGTGTTAATGTAAATCACACTTCAATCTTTTATGTGAATTACATTTCTAATAATATTTCTGTTGAGTTCACCAAGCATTATGTGCCAGGTCCTGTGTAATGGGTTAAAACAAAACAAAAAATAAACACTATATTTCACCTTCAAGAATTTCATACATAAATCTAATAATCCAAAATAAAAAAACTGGGAGTTCTATAAATTACCCAAGAACAAGTATGTACCTTGGTAATAGTTAAGTTTCAGTGAGGAAACTAGGCTAATATGTTAACTGCCTAAAAAACGTCACTGCTCATTGGTGGCTTGTGACTTAGGTTAGATCTTAAGCCTCTTATGAGGGAGACATTACATACGCTGAAAATACATTTGCTCAAGACTAAGTAGTATAACAGGCCAGTGATAAATATCTGCACTACCACTGTATCTGTAGCAAGAAAAAAAGCCTTAGAATGGCTGGATAAGAAAAATATAGTTCAGGACTGGGGATGTGGCTCAGTGGTAGATTGTTTGCTCAGATGAATGAAGTACTGGGTTCAATCCTAGCACCACCATCAGAAGAAAACAAGAATATAGATCAAATACCTAAAATTGGACTTGACTTAAATTCTATCCATATTCATTTTTAATCATAATATAGGACATTTATCATAAGAATGTAAGAATTCAGAATTAAATATTCTGAAACAGAACATAGTTAGGAAAAAATTAGACTACATTCTTGTCACAATATTTTAATGTAATATCTAAAGTGCTCATTTTAGAAAATATTCTGATCTGAATAACAAATAATACTTTAGGAAAACCTTTCAAATAAAGATAGCTATATATAAATTACAGTATTCTTTATAATGGGTAACTTAAAATTTTCTAAATTTATAAATAAAACATGAAAAATTCAGTTCAAGAGCTGGGAATGATATGCTACATTAGGTGACTAACATCACAATGTTGGAAACTATTTATACCTTTAATTTTCTTTTCAAAACACACTAAAGTTGGGGGAAGGCCCACAGACACAAGAGGCTTTATAAATTGAGAAGCTACTTACGGTCGGCAGCTTTTCACGAGTGTTTTGAGAACATTTTCTACAGAACTGGAGGAGGAAAAAGCCATTTGATAAATTAGATTGGGCTATTTTAAAGAACATTAATAGTATTAAGCAATTTCTAAGATATGTTCATATATTCAGCTATCATTTGTTTACATGTAATAACTAACCCTTCTCTTTCTTACAATAGAACTGCAAGGATTAACTACCTAAACTCCTAATCTACTATTTCCTTTGCCCTCATTTTGCTCCTTCTCTGCTATAAAGAAAACATTACACTGGAAAAAGGCCAAATTATTTTCAATCTTTACAAAGTAGGGAGCAATGATCCTACTTATCAACACATGAATTGTGCTCAGTGACTTGAAACTTCAATTTTTATTATGCTGCATGTACATCAAAATACAAACAGCAGACATAGTAAGCTTCTATGAGCAACTGCCAGAAATAAATTTTGTAATCAGTTAACAAGAGTTCTATAATCTTCCAAGGCACTTTATTGCCAGCAACAATTATCAAAAACAGCAGCCATCTCTTTGACCAGCTACTAGCAAAGTTAGATGAGTAAAATGAAAAGCTGGAACTTATTTTTCAACATTTCAGAACCTCAAGGGAATATCAAAACAAATTAGCATATAAACTTATAATGAACATTTCTGTTTTAATGAAAAGGCCAATGTATACTAGTTTAAATACATGACCAGAGTGGAATATTTTAAATATTGGCTAGAAATATAGTCAGAAGAAGTCACATTGCAAACAAGCCAAACAGGGACAGTAGGTAATTTTGAACTGAAATTTTAAAATAAATGTGATTGCTTATAGGATGGTAGGTATGAGCAAAAATAAAGTTCTCAAATCTCAAACAAACAAACAAACAAAAAATGTATATATATGGAGGAAAAGGGTAATGTTTAGGCAGTGTTTCCACCTAACAGTCTCATTAACCTTCTTTGAATTCCCTAGTCCAAAGGTTTAACTTCTCTGAAAGCTAAAGAACTAAACTGCAAAGAAACTAGTTCCAAGGAATAACAGACTCAGCATGCATAACCAATATTATACTACCAATACAGAAAACTATAATCTCTTTATTTGGGAGCAATAAGAATCATTTTAATTTTAAAACTACTCAGAAAAATTAAATGAAGAGGAAACCAGGAGATAGTCATGAGTTGACTTCTAAATTAAACAGAGAGCCACATGACCAGAAAGCCATCATGAAGCACTTTTTCTGATCAACAGAGAGCTAGGCTCTCTACTTTCTTGCAGGGAAAACAAAGCAAAAACAAATAAAACAACAAGAAAAAAAAATCTAAGCAAGTGAGAAACACAGTTTAGAAAAAAATCTAGTTTGCCAGGTTAAAAAATGGGCAAACTTCTCTCAACTGCACTTAAAGCTCCCTGAAGACCACGGCTCTGATTTTTACTTAAACGTTTCCAAGGTGCTTATAACAAGCCTGTCTGTTCATATATTTATACACATTTATACTTATCCATTTATTTACAATATTCAATAAATATTTTCTATCAGGACAACAAATAGCACAGATCTTGGGTCTTCTTTTAGTTTAGATTGAAGAACAATTTAGAAACAAATTTTAAAATAAACAGGCAAGGTTTGAAGAGCCATCTATAGTTCCAAACTAAATAATAGGCCAATTTAAATGCAGATTTTGAAAAAATAATTCTAAAATGATAAACTATCTTTCCAGAGAATTAAGCTGAAGATACACAATTCTACAACTTCCTAATGTTTGTGTTCCCACTAACTTTTTTTTTTAACACTCCTTCTGTGACAACTGGTTTGAGACAGTGTAACGCCCAAAACCTGTTGCTTCTAAGTAACTTCCTACACCAAAGAATTTTGACTTAATGTCAAAACTGATTCTAGAAAGCAAGTCATAAAAGGCTGCACAGCTACAAGTTTTCGCTAGTTAATTAACACTTGGTATCGTCACTTCACTTATTATGAGGACTAGGGTTTGTGGGAATGTGATTTAATTCACCTAAATAAGGCTGATTTCAACCCCTTCTTATACATAGGCCTGTACCATTGGATTTATGCTCTTTATCCAGAAAAGGGTACAATCTCTCTAACCTGTGATATCTGTATAGTGACCTTTTGTGATTCTTGTAATCTCTCAAGATGAAGGGAACAATGTTTCTGTTTAAAAATAAAATAAAAGGTTAAGGCTAGATGCTACTAGACTATATTTCATTAAGTTTTAGAGGGAGTGAATAATCACTACATACTTGTAATTGTTGGAAATTTATAATACTAAAGTGATTTAGTATTTATAATACTAAAGTGATAACAATTCAGAACACTCTTTTTTTAACCAAAAGGGATCTACAGAGTGACTAAGCTTTGGATGGATTTTCTAATACCCCAATTCCTCCTAGAAATGGCATGTTAAGTTGAAAAGAATATCATATAATGGTTCACAGTTTGGACTTACGTTAGATATGAATATGAATACAAATTCTTCTACTTCCTAGTAGTACAATATTATAGCACAGTTTTTTCATCAATGAGCAACAATACCTACCTCTCATAGAACTTTTACAAAAATTTAATAAGATAATATGTAAGTCAGTTATTAAGTGACCCAGAATTAAACACAATAAATGTTAACAATTACTGCTTCACATTTAGCTAAAATAAACTGCATTCTCGATGTCTGTAAGAATTGAAATTTTGTGCTCATTTTGTTTTTACATTGATTCTATCACCTCTGAGTGGCTATTAATTAATGATTTAGGAAATCACATCAAAATGGGAAATTCTTCAAATGCTACTGTATTATTGGGACAGGAAGTGAGTTCTTATTCCAGTTTCGACCATTGACTGAGTGCATTCTCTCTGGATCGCAATTTCTCCTTACGATGACATTCTTTATGACACACTAATAAATGCTAACTATGTAGCAAAGAAGCATGAAGATAGTCAATCAACTTAGCCTCCAGTTATTGATGTAGTGAATTTTATATAAATTTGAGTTGAGTCTTATCTCCATGGTTTTATTTAACTATCATGACAATATTCACCTCTAAACCAAAGAAATGTATAGTAAATAATAGGAGAATAAACTGAACTGCTCATAGCCAGAAGTACTTGCAGCTTTGTTGAAACTAAAATTTGACCTCAGGCCAGATGTGGTGGTACACACCTGTGATCCCAGCGACTTGGGAAGTTGAGACAGGAGGACTGCAAATTCCAGGCCAGCCTCAGCAACTTAGAGACCCTCTGTCTCAAAAAAAAAATTTAAAAAGGACTGGGAATTAACCCCTGGGTTCAATTCTTAGTACCACACATTAAAAAAGGATTTCAGAATAATGTTTACTTTTTCATAAATGAAATGGGAAACTATATCAACAGCATTCTGCATTTCTCTGCCTTAATCTCCTCATAATTTAATTGGAATTGCCTATACAGTATTCTTTCTTTTTATGCAAGCACATAGGAGTCAGTTTTACTTTCTCTAAATATAAACAAAACCTGCCATAAATCAGTTAAATATTTTCCATCTACCCAATCTTTCAAAATCTTATATTACTCAGTTAAATGAGCAAGTAGTTTCATACAAAATTAAAGTCAAGGTAATTACACCATAAACAAAGTTACAAATAACATCTTTATCATTGATGAATCGAGCACTGTTTTTTCATTAAAATTAAGAGAAAAGTACCTCTCTATGGCAAATGCAGAAAACTATAGTAATCCTTACCATTTGTAAAAAGACCATTTATAACTACTCTAAGTGATGACAAACCTGATTATAATAACTAATAATTACTAAGTTTTTTATTCTTTTTTTTCCCCTAAGTTTTTTTAGGGTTAGATACATAACTCAATTGTAGAGCATTTGCCTACTAAGTTTAATTCTAAAAACCATAAGAAAGAAACAGTTATTTAAAAAACATCACTGTACCACAGACACAACATATCATATTAAAAATCATTAAAAAAATCATTATACAGTTAGGCATGGTGTTCCACTTCTCTATTCCAACTACTTTGGAGACAGAAGCAAGAGGATCAAAAGTTTGAAGTCAGCCTAGCCAACTGAGGAATACTCTCTCTCAAAAATGTAAAAATAAAAATAAAAAGGGCTCAGAATACAACTTAGTTATAAAGCACATGCCTAGCATTTGCATGGAAGTAGGTTTAATCCCTAATACTGCAAAAAAAAAACCAATTTTTTAAAAGTAAACAGAATGTTTCTCAAACAATGTATTAAAAAATCACTGCAGGGTGGGCAGGGGATGTGGCTCAAGAAGTAGCGCGCTCGCCTGGCATGCACAGGACACTGAGTTCGATCCTCAGCACCACATAAAAAATAAAATAAAGATGTTGTGTCCACCGAAAACTAAAAAAATAAATAAATATTTTTAAAAAATCACTGCAGGGATTGGGGACTTAGCCCAGTGATAAGAGTGACTGCCTGGTACATGTGTGGCCCTGGGTTCAATCCCTACAACTACCATTAAAAAAAAAAAACAAATCCCCAAACATTGCAAATACCATATTAATAATCAATATTTACTGCTGGATACATGCCCATAAGCCCAAAGATTCAGGAGGCTGAGGCCCTAAGCAACTCAGGGAGATGCATAAAATATAAAAAGGGCTGGGAATATAATTCAGTGGCAAAGTGACCCTATCAATATTCAATATCCTACCAATAATATTTAAAATATCAATATTCAATATCAATAATATTTAAAATATTATTAATATTTTAATTATTTAATAATATTTAAAATATCAATATTCAATATCCTACCAAAATAATAATATTTAAAGAAAACAAGAGTTACCTGCACCCATTTGTAAAAATTGATGTAAGTATAATTCCCATACATTTTGTTAGCAGCAATACTCTACACAATGTGTGTGCTTCCTATATTTCTAACTTTCAATTTGTGCTTTTTTTTTTATGAAGTAAACAATAATCATTGGTTATATTGCTAGTGTCAAATTCATAGTTACTTATCTCCTTTCCAATTCTGCTTTTTCTATCAAATTAAAAACCCTGATGATTTCTTTCTCCAGTAGGAAGCAGAAATAGATGAGTGAAGAAAAAGGTCTTTTGCCCTTGAGACAGAGAGGGGAAAAAAAAAAAAACAGAAGGGAGAGAAAAAGAAAAAGAGCCTGGGAGAAGAAAAGAAAGGAAGGGAAAAGGAGAAGAGCAGAGAGAAAGAAGTTAACCTTTGCTCCAAATAATCCTGAAATGCATGGCACGATAAGCAGTCATTTCAGAAAAGACAAACACATAAAAGATACAACTTTTAGATTTGAAAGACAAATAGTTAACAAATGAAGCAATCTTTCAGTTAGATTATAAAAATAGTATTCTAAAAATAGTATGAACACATGCAGTCAGCTGACAAAACTGTTGTAAAATGTGTCAGAATACATCTAAGATGAAAATACTCAAAACAAAAATACCAGTACAAATAAGCATGCCATATAAGTGGCTCTTTTTAAGCTAAGGGGTTTTGGAAATAAAATGTCTATAAAGAGTAATTTTATCCAGTGATTGTAAATTTAAAACACTGCTGTATTAGTGCATGAAATAGAACGTTAAGCAGAAAAGCAATTAAAAAATTATTAGAAATTCAGAGAACAAAGGATTGCTTGGAGGAGTGAAGAAGAAAGTGTCACTGTATGGCTTCCCACTTCTTCAAAGACTACTGGAATCCTCAATTCAAGGCAAGTGTGATGAAGAAACACCAAGAACCAAAACACTGTGAAAATCTTTCAAACTGAATTTTTATAATTATATACAGATTCATCTGAATAGAAATAAAGGTGTTACTTTCAAAAGAAAACAAAAATATAACAGTAAAAGGACTAAAGAAAATTAGAGAAAATAATTACAGAGAATCACAGTCTTGCAAAATGTTTTTAATACCATATTCTTTTTTTATTTTTTTTTGGAGACAGGTTCTCACTATTTTGCCCAGGCTAGCTTGGACTGATCCTTCTGTTTCCACCTCCCAAGTCACTGGGATTACAGATGTGCACACAATGCTTAACCTATTTTTAAACTTATACAGAGACACTAAATTTCTAATTTTTTCTTATAGTGCAGCTTCTCACCAAGTCCTCTTAAAAGTAGTTTCAGATTCCCAATAATTTTCTTTTTTAATTGGGGGTCGGGTACTGTGGATTGAACTCAGGGGCACGCCCATTTTTTGTATTTTATTTAGAGTCAGGGTTTCACTGAATTGCTTAGCACCTTGCTTTTGCTAAGGCTAGCTTTGAACTTGAATCCTCCTGTCTCAGCTTCTGAGTTTCTGGGAGATTACCAGTATTCTTTCTGAAGCCTTTAAACTTGAACAACTTATCACTTCAAAGAAAAGACTCAAGCAATGATGCTGTACTTCATAACATATACTCTGTATAGTGAAGGTACACAGCCCTGTGTGAAATACTTCACACCACTGGAACAATATAGCTCATCTTCCTAGAACATCAATTTTAGTCATAGAAATACAGAGAAATGTTTGCTTATGAAAACATTACCTAATAAACCTACTGCAGATATGAACATTTAAGAGAATACATGAAACTTCCAAGAAATATCTCATTCCAGGACCTCTTTAGTTAACACCTTAGGGACATGAAGAGGGTGTTAGTGAAAATGCTAAGAAGCACTGATACAAAGAAAAGACTACTGGATTGGAAATGAGAAGGCCTGGGTCTTACAAATTAAAAGTAAGATAAGGCAAAGAGTACTGAACCAGTAAGGACTGAAGAATGAGGCAGAAATTTTTGATTATTTGAATCCAAGATAAAAGGTAGCAAAAATTAGTTGAGTCCCTAAACCACATGTAGAATGTACTTGGGAGTGTGGGGAAGGGAATGGAGGTGTAGTTCAGTGGTAAAACACTTGGCTAGTATTTTGGATGAGGCCTTAGGTTGTCCCAGGTTCAATTCCCAGTACCATGGTGTGGGGGTAGGGGTGAGGGTTCGGGTCTGTGTTAGAGCACTTGTCTAGAAAGCATTTTAGAAAAATATCCAAACATATTCAGATTAAGTAGATGCAAAATATGAATACTATATTGTGTCTTTTTATGTAATGACACAATATGCATGTGCATGATGAGACATGAATGTTTTATAATGAACTACTTTCCTATTATTTCTCTTTTTTAGGTTTAATAATAATATTATTATTATTATTTGCCACTGAATAGACATAATGAGCATAGGTAGGTTAAAATAATAATAGTAGTGATATTATTACTAGGTGCTGGGGACTAAATCCATGCCCTGGTATGTGCTAATAACCACACATCCTATACTGAACTACACTACTACACTCCCAAGGGCTAGGGATGTGGCTCAATGATGAAGGGACCCTAGATTCAATCTCTAGTACCAAAAAATACAAGAGAAGAAAATTAATAGAGACATAAAATGGTACTCTTCAAGTAATGAGTACTTAAGCATATGACAAATAATTCTAGACAGTTCTAGATAATGAAAGGAAATAGCTATTAAAAATTATATCATTTGTAAATTTTATTTTAAATAATTAATTAAAAATATACAACAATGGAGTGGTGAATCAATCAGAGTTGAGTTACTTATTTAAATCAATTAAAGATTTCAGCAGAACCACAGTGTTTCTTTAAAATACTAAGAACACTAAGAGCACCAGGCGCAGTGATAAGCATCTGTAATCCCAGCAACTCAGGAGGCTAAGGCAGGAGGATGAAAATTTAAGGCCAGCCTCAGCAACTTAGGCCATAAGCAACTTGATGAGACCTTATCTCCAAAACAACAACAACAAAAAAAAGGGCTGAGGTTGTGGTTCAGTGGTTAAGCACCTCTGGTTTCAACCCCAAGTACCAAAAAATATAATGCTAAGAGCAGCCAGATATGATGACACATACCTTTGGAGGCTGAGGCAGGAAGATCACAAGTTCCAGGTCAGCTTGGGCAACTAGCAAAACCATATCAAAATAAAAAGGGCCAGGGATGTAGGTCAGAGGCAGAGCAAACTGCTGGGTTCAAATTCCAATACAAAGGAAGGAAGGAAGGAAGGGAGGGAGGGAGGGAGGAAGGAAGGAAGGGAGGGAGGGAGGGAGGGAGGGAGGGAGGAAGGAAGGGAGGGAGGGAGGGAGGGAGGGAGGGAGGGAGGGAGGGCATGGGAGTGTGTGTGTGTGTGTGTGTGTGTTTGTGGTGAAATTTCAAAGCAGAAAGGTTTCCATAAGAACAAGAACAATTTGATGCTTCAGACTACCATAAGCAAGATATCAAAATTTCAGGGTTAGAAAATGAAAAGTACCAACCAACAGGCACTAACAGAAAATGTTGTGGCAAAACAGTTGGGACTACTGAAGAAGAAAGCCAGACATTTATTAGTGCTCACCAAGGACTTTGTAAGAAGAAGCTGCCTCTTATAAGAAGAGGCAAGACAGAAGGATAATGCTTGCATGGGATGTTTTAAGAACAGGACATACTGAAGGACAAGAAAGCACCAAACCAACTGAATTCCCTTACCTCTCACTAATGACTTTCAGAGGCAGTCAAAAAAATAAGTCAGAAAAGTTTCAGAAAGATAACTGATTTGAATACAGTGCTAAGGTCCCTGAAATCCATGAAGTAGTGATGCCAATCATAAACTCTTTGAGCTCATATTTAAAGAAGGCTTAATCAAGCCAATTCATGCCCTCCTCCTTGAGGGAAAGAGTATTCAAATGGAATTTTTAAAAAAATTTTTGTTGTTGTTTATGGACCTAATTTTATTTTATTTATTTATATGTGGTGCTAAGAATTGAACCCAATGCCTCACACATGCTAGGCAAGCACTCTACCACTGACTTATTAACCCCAGCCCCTCAAAACCAATCTTTATAATGCTTTTATATTAAATTTTGAGTTTGCATAGCAAAATTTATAAAAGCATATTTTACACATTGTATTAGTTTCATGATGAATTTTATTATCTTTATGGTTGCAATAAAGTTTCCTTGTTTTAACATATAAAACCTTCAGAAAATAAATGATTCTGATCACTATTCTTGAGACCACTGTCCAAAATCCAGCTAGGGCCAAAGTTCAGGATCACCTATAGTCATTTTTTAACCCTTTCTATTTATATCATTTCATTTTTCACCACTTGTCTATGAACTGAAAATCTTTTATAATCTACCATCTGCAGTCCATTTTTTTAAAAGTCTACGGTAAGGAACACAGATCACTGATCTAAGTGAAGCCTGGGGGTTCACCCTGGTTTAAATGAAATTAACTAAGGAGGCTACAGGAAATAATAAGGTAATGGCTACATGTCTAAGTTTGAGAAATAAACTACAGGAATACATATTTAAAGACAAGAGAAAAAAGATGCTGGGCATGGTGGCACATGCCTGTAATGGGGGATGGAGCACTGCAGGTTCAAAACTAGCCTCAGCAACTTAGCAAGGCCCTCAACAACTTAGTGAGATCCTGTCTCCCCCCCAAAAAAAACAAGGGCTGGGGATGTGGCTCAGTAATTAAGGGACCCTAGATTCAATCTCTAGTACCAAAAAATAAAAGAGAAAAAAATTAATAGACATAAAATGGTACTCTTCAGGTAATGAGTACTTAAGCATATGACAAATAATTCTAGACAGTTCTAGATAAAGAAAGGCAATAGCTATTAAAAAAGTGGAAAAAAAAGTCCCTTAAAATAAACCTAATCATATATTTGAGAGCATCTAAATCCAAAAATGCTAAAATTGAGAAAATTATGGGCTATGTCACAACTGAACCCCTGTTAACAAAGAGAAATGACATTAAGCGGTCAACTCTGAATCACTATTAACCTAAAAGGACCGGTGATTATATTGTACTCTGTACATTCAAAACTTACAAAAAGTAGAAGAGTTGGAACATATGTCCCAGAAACCAATAATCAGTAACAATTGTGAACATTACCAGGAAATGGTATAAACCAAGGTCTGTGCAGTTAGACTGGTCTGTGTTTAGATTCTAAAAACAGTCAACCACTCAAACTGACATTCTTTAACTAGGAGTGTATGTCTTTAGAAATATGAGTGCTCTGGAATATGCAAAGAATCTTCTTGAAGCATCCATTTTACTAGAAGAATTAAAACACATGGAGGCCTTGGCTCAGTGGCAAAACGCCTGCCTCACATACACAAAAGCCCTGGGTTCAATACAACACTCAGTTCCAAAAAAGAAAAGATCCCCCCCCACACACAGAAAGAAAGAAAGAAAGAAAGAAAGAAATACACACACCCGGATATATAATGAAAAATACTAAAGCCAGGTATAGTGGCACACCTACAATCTCAGCAACTCAGGAGGCTGAGGCAGGAGGATCACAAGTTCAAGTCCAGCCTGAGCAAGCTGGCAAAAACCGGTCTTAAAAATAAAAAAGGGTTGGGGGTATGGCTCAGTGATAGAGCCCTCCTGAGTTAAATCGCCAGGAAAGAAAGGAAAGGAAGAGATATTTCTTGAAATCTAATTTGTATCATTAGAAGTAATGCACATTTTACAATCTTTTTTCTTTTGTGGTACTGGGGATAGACCCCAGGGGTGCTCTACCACTCATCTACACCTCCAGTCCTTTCTATTTTTATTTTGTGACAGGGTCTCCCTAAGTTGCAGAGACTAGCTTTAAATTTGCAATCCTCCTTCCTCAGCCTCCAAAGTTGCTGGATTACAGGCCTATCCCACTGCAACAGGCTCTTATTTTCTTTGGTTATTATGTGACACTGGATGTTAGAGGTATCTTGGTGGGAAAGCCTTGAGAGGTGTGCTTTCAGATAATTTCAAGAAGGCAATGAATTTTCTAAGGAGTCAAGTTACATTAAAATGAGCATATTAAAATGTGTATTTGATTGTTCATTTCAAGAGATCCAATATTCTTCAATCATGATCAATCCCCTCAAGTCAAGTGCCCCCCCCCCCAAGAAGTACTTTATCAGAAATACTTACTTAGGAAACCAATTTAATCCCAGGTGCTCTGTCTTGGAATATAATATTCTTTCTACCATGTCATAAAGTGGTCTCCAAGGTAACTCCAAATCATCTCTTGAAAGAAGTTCCTTTTTCCTAGTCAAAAAGAGAAAAAACATGTGTGTGTGTGTGTGTGTGTGTGTGTGTCACACATACTACATAAAAAGCACAGTTAATCACAGTAGCTTTTGCTTTTCCCCATTCAGACACTCACTGGCAGAACATAATATTAGAACAATACACCAGATTCTTGCTGCTGCTCAAAAAGGACTAGATTAAAAGGGGCATTTAAATTTATGCCACCACTATTACAAACAAATTTCCTATTTTACCACACTATTTATGGGGTACTTAATGTTTGCAACACTGTGCTGAGTGCTCTTGGATTGCCAAAGAACATAATGGCCCCTGTCTTCCAGGAAAATATAACCAATATGGGGAAATAATTAGGATAAATGAAAGAATCACACAATATAAACTTGAATGTGTGTGTGCTATGGAAAAGAAGATTTCATGGAGATAAAAATTTTTATTTAAAAGGTTAAATGATACACAAAATTAAATCTATGCTAATGTTTTCTGTGATCTTTTCCCAAAGTGGCTCTCATTTCCTGAAACCTCAAAAAGAAAAACAAACAAAAATTAAAACCTTAGCAGAAATCATAGAAAATGAACTTACTTTAACAAGTTGATCAAAAGGCGGGCAAATCCCTGCATCATGCTGATTTCCAGTTTGGGAACTGATACCAGTTCATACAATAACTTAATAAAAAGAACATGATCTTCTTTGCTAAATTTTCTCCCATAAAGTCGAATATATCTGCAAGAAAAGATAAGCCAAATAATGATGTTTGTGTTCCTCGTTACATAATCTATATTAGTTAAGATGTGTAAGCAATTAAATTGTCTATACAGTGGTGAATGATTAAAGAAAATGTGATATACAATGGATTGTTCAGGTTAAGAAGGAAATTCTGTCGTATAATATAACATGGATGAACCCTGAATGAAGTTAAGTCAACCACTTAAAAAAGACAAAAACTACATTTATATGAGGTACCTAAAGCAATCAAACTCAGAAACAGAAACTAGAACGGAATTTGCCAAGAGGGGAATAGTTGTTATTCAACTGGTATAGAGTTTTAGTCATGCAAGATTAAAAAATTTTAGAGACTTGTTTACAACAAACATAGAGCTAACAATACTGTACCATACACTTAAAAATTGTTAAGAGGGTATATTTATGTTATGTGGGTTTTTTTTAACCACAAACACGTAAAAGGTGTAGTGACATCTTAATTTCAAGTATCTCTGATTTAAGCATTTTTTCATTCTAATCATTATGCAGCAAAGAATTATTCTGTACTTCAAGAGATTACCAAATAAGTATTTTAACAGCAAAGGGTTTATAATAAACCTGTTCTCATTATTACTTGATGGCCAATTAAAACTATACTGTCTTATTGTTATGATAACTGGTCTTCATAACTGGTCTTCAGTTGTAAGTCCCTGAAACTACTTAAAAACAGCATACAACAACATAATTAAAGGTAAAAAATACAAAAGTACAAATCCAGTTTACTGTACTATTCACTTTGTTTTAGGAATGGATATGATAAACTGGGTGTGGTGGTGGGTGCTTGTAACCCCAGCAACTCAGGCACTGAGACAGGATGATTCCAAATTCAAGTACAGCCTCAACAACTTTGTGAGACCCTCTCAAAATAAAAAAGGGCTGGGTGATATAGCACAGTGGTAAAGCACACCCAACTTTAATCCCCAGTAACAAAAAAAATAAAAAGTTATGCTGCCCAATGTGGTAGCATTCTCCTGTAATCCCAACTACTTGTGAGGCTGGGACAGAATGATCACAAGTTCAAAGCTAGTATAGACAGCTTAATGAAACTCTGTCTCAAAATAAAATAATAAGGACTGGGGATGTAGTTCACTGGTAGAACACTTGCCTAGCATTCAAAAACCCTGGGTTTAAACACCAGTACTGTAAAAAATTAATTAAATTAAAATAAGCAAGCATGGATATGGTCTGCTTAGAATCTTGAAACAATATAGCAAATTACAGAACATACAGTTATGTTTCCAAGCATTAATTCAATTATAATTACTACCAAAAACAATTGAGCATTTAACCTCAAAAACATACATTTTCAAATTTTTTAACTTTTAGAGAAACAATGTAAGCAAAAGTACCAAACATAAGCAAATTTAAGAAAAAAGGTGTTTCAAAATTCAATGAGTGCTCATAGAATATTTAAGGAGTCAAAAGTTATTAAACTCAAATTTATTTAGAAAGAATCACTGTATATTTAAATTCATACCCCTTTGAGGAGGGTTGTTTACAAATACACACAAGTCAAAAGAAATGAGAACAGGTCTGGGGATGTGGCTCAAGTGGTAGCGCGCTAGCCCGCCAGGCAGGCGTACGGCCGGGGTTCAATCCTCAGCACTACATACAAACAAAGATGCTGTGTCTGCCGAAAACTAAAAAATAAATATTAAAATTCTCTCTCTCTCTTTAAAAAAAAAAAATAAATGAAAACATTACTATTCCTCACATGATCTTTAGTACTCCCCCAACAGCTAAAAATCAAATTAAAACTATGCCTAATTTTGAAAGTTAGGGCACCTTAATGCATTTCTATCTTCCAGAAACAACTCAAAATTTCTGGTCCACTCAGAGAAGTCTTTCTTATTTTCTCAAACAATTCTAAATTTTTTTCAGCTCTTTTCTGTGGTTTCAGGAATAATCCCATCATCTCACCTTAGTTCCTAAGAGACTGAACATTATATGGGGAAGAACAATGAGACTGCAGATCATTTCGACTTTGCCTATTATTACTATAAAAGTTTCTTAACCACCCTATACTAGTAAAGCATATGGATTAGCAAAGACATTATATTAAAAATCTCAATCCCAGGGTTACCAATGATACTTGAGGCTGCTATATAAACACAGTAGTAACTTCCTGAAGCCTCCCCCGACCTTTGATTTTATTCTAAAATTAGAGCTGAAAGAATCATTCAAAAGCTATTCTTAAAAACTGGCACAGACAGGGCTATGGTTGTAGCTCAGTGGCCAAGCACTTGTGAGGAACTGGATTCGATCCTCAGTACCACACAGAAATAAATCAATAAAATAAAGGTATTGTGTCCATCTACAAAAAAAAAAAAAAAAAAAGGTTGTCTTAAATTAAAAGGAAAAAACTGGCACAAAGATGAAACAGGAGAGTTCAAAGAAATATTCCCTAATTTAGTAACTACTTCAAATCTTGCCAAGATTCCAGATGCCCCTATAGTTATACACTCTCCCCTATAAATACTTTTATGAAAAAATTGGATCAACCTGCTTTATAACTTAGCTACAATATTGCTCTATTGCAATAGACAGACACCTTTGTCACACTAGAGACACAAAATTAACATAACCCAAATTTTGATACTATAAAAGAAATTAAGGGTGGGGGGTGTATTCCTTGAAGGACTAGAGCTGCTGAAAAAAGCTAAACATTGGGGAATTCCTCAAAAACCTTTTATTTCCCCTAATTCCTCACCAACCAGCAAGCAGTTCTTTTCTCAAGCATTACTCAAAATATAACCCAAAGACTTTTTTTTTCAAAAGCTCAAAAAAGTACTGGCATAAAAGTAAAATGAATAAATGGGTCTTCTTTTAAGTTAAGAAGAAGAGCTGGAGTTGTAGCTCAGTGGTAGAGCGCTTGCCTAGCACATGTGAGGCACTGGGTTCAATTCTCAGTACCACATAGAAATTTAAAAAGGCCCATTGACAACTAAAGAAATATTTTTTTAAAAAGATTAACTAGCAACTTATCAATGCAGGAATTATGTTAAAACAATAAAGTCTTACTAAAATAAAAACATTTGAATAAATAGTAATATTAAGGACATTTTAAAATGTCTCTTATAGCCAGGCTGTAGGCCACACCTAATAATCTCAGCTACTCAGGACGCCAAAGCAGGAGGACTGGAGGTTTGAGATCAGCCTAGGCAACTCAATGAGATCCTGTCTCAAAATAAAATTTAAAAAGCTCAGTGGTGGGCTAGGATTGTGGCTCAGTGGTAAAGTGTTCATCTAGCACGTATGAGGCACTGGGTTCGATCCCAAGCACCACACAGAAATAAATAAATAAAATAAAGGTATTGTGTCCATCTACAACTAAAAAAATAAATAAATAAATAAAAGTTTAAAAACTCAGTGGTATAGTACTTGCCTAGCATGTGTGAGGCCCTGAGTACCACAAATAAAATGAAACAAAATAAATTGTCCTTTAATAGCTCATGGCTAGTGCTAAATGACAAGTATTATACAACAAGAAGAGATACCATGACCCATGAATTTTTAGCTGTAGATGGACACAACACCTTTATTTCTTTTATTTATCTATCTGTTTATTTATTTATTTATATGTGGAGCTAAGGATAAAACCCAGTGACTCACACTAGCAAGTACTCTACCACTGAGCCCATGACCCATGAAATTTATAAGCAAGGGGCTAGGGACATAGCTCAGTTAGTAGAGTGCTTGCCTCGCATGCTCAAGGCCCTGGGTTCAGTCCCCAGTACCACCAAAAAAAAAAAAAAAAAGAACAAAACCCCAAATAATTTCATATACTCACTTCAACTCACCACTCTTCATACCCAAAGCAAATAAATATACACTTTCCTGTACCTGTATCAGTTCCAGTCTTTTCCTTCTCTTTCCAACGGTCCACCAAACCAAAAAAATATATATATTAAAGAGAGAGAGCCAAAAGTAGCAGGGAAAAACTAGAGAATAAAAAACAAATTACTTTTAATTTTATTCCAGGAACAAGACCCTCACTATTACATATAATACACATAATTATCTCACAGTAAGGGTTTACTCAGTAAGCCCATCTCTCCTCTTTTAGTTAGTTCCATGGGAAACCACCCCTGGGTTCAATCCCTAGTACTAAAAAGGGAAAAAAAGAAAAGAAAAAAACAAGAGTATCCTATGTTTTCATTCAAACTTGCTGTGCAACTCCCAACATTATAATCAACTCTGGAAAGGATTCTTTTTTTTTTTTTTTGTAGTTGTAGATGGACAGCATGCCTTTATTTTATTTATTTTTGTATGCAGTGCTAAGGATTGAACCCAGTACCTCACACATGCTAGGCAAGTGCTCTGCTACTGAGCCCCAGTCCCACCTCCAGCCCCTGGATATTTATTGATTTCAACACAGTATCCAAGCAATCTGGAACAGCATGGTTCTACATTTTTATTTGCTGAGAATTCAAACTGCTCTATGTCAATCCACTGGGAAAGTCATTTAATTTTCTGTGTGTCTGTAAAACCCAGGTTCCTTCATATGGCTACGATAACAGTGACAACTGATGAATGTATGAAAAATAATGACTTAACTATTACTGGAGTGGGGCTCTGACTACCAGTTTTTCATAAGTTCCCTAGATGGATTAGAACACAACATATGCTTTTTAAAGTCCATGAAAATCATTAAAAATGTAATATTAATAATCCATTTCAATTAATATTTCCTTTTTTTTTTTTTTTTTTTGGTATTGGGGATTGAATCCAAGGACACTTTACCACCGAGCTAAATACATCTCCAGCCGGTTTTATTTTTTTTTTAATATTTTTTTTCTTTTAGTATTTTTTTAGTTGTCAATGGACCTTTATTTTATTTATTTATATTTGGTGCTGAGGATCAAACCCAGGGACTCACATGTGCTAGGCAAGCACTCTACCACTGAGTCACAACCCCAGCAGCCCCGACCCTTGTTTTATTTTTGACTTTGAGACAGGGT